ATACCCAGGCCTACTTATAGGCCTACTTGTAGCTCCTAAAAATTGGGGGAAAGCTGTTTTAATCTGCTCTGGAGATCCTAAACAAGCTAAAAATGAGTTTGCCACGGATTCTGAAGTAAGCTAAGTATATGGGAGGCAAAAAACTAGTGATTTTGTTTATTTTTTAGTTTTTTGCTTATAACTCAAAAACAATGCATCCCACAAAAAAGTGTTTTCATACTTTACCAAAGAACATTAAATTTTGCTTCGAATGACGTTGAAATAATTAAAATCGGTTCAGTCATTCTGCTACAACAGGTCGTCAAAGTTCAGTAATTTTAACCGAAAACTATAGCATACACTGCCATCTAGGGGAACACGCTGTAATCATCAAGAATAGGATGACAAGGAAATTGTTTAAATTACTGAACTTTGTTGACCTCTTGTAGCAGAATGACTGAACCAATTTTAATGATTTTAACGTAATTCAACGCAGAATTTAATGTTCTTTAGAAAAGTATCTAAACACTTTTTTTGTGGGATACACTGTTTTTGAGTTATAAGCGAAAAACTAAAAAATTAGCAAAATCTACCTAGTTTTTTGCCTCCCATAACTTAGCTCACTTCAGAATCTGTCGCGAACTCATTTTTAAATTATTTATAATCTCCAGAGCAGATTAAAACGATTTCCAGCTTTCCACCAATTTTTTGGAGCTACAGCTCTTTTTTGGGCTAATTATTTGCATGGGCTATAGTGGGAATCACTGATATTAGTAAGTACTAGTTGACGCCATTCATTAATTAATATATGCCTTATTAATGGGTTATTTCATTTACTTTGACAAACATTTAGACTTATCTAGGTCCTTACAATTAAATTCCCCTTGGGTGTCCAAAGTTATGGCAAATCTTTTGGAAGCAAACATTGGTTTGTCCCTATGGCAAAAATAAGAAAGAAACAGTCTTTAAATTTACACAATTTAAATGCATTTACTTTGTTATTTTTCGTTGAATTTGATCACTTGTTTTTTAACCACTCATTTATTTATAAACTTGTAGCATGGCACCAGTGTTAAAACAACTGTGAACATACTATCTATTCTTGTTTTTATTGCTTTGCAATGTAAAGAATAGTTATCAACTGTTGTGTAAACTTACATTCTTCCACTTGTTACATGATTGCTGTTTGAACACGAGTTATTAAAATGTTAGATCTATATAACTAAGTATTGAATGTATTGATGCACGTTTTTTCAATCAATATGTATCTTAAGTACTTTAAATAATTGTGTGTGTATGTCTGTATTTGAGTGTCGATGTGTACAGAGCTACAGACTGTATACTGTGATCTGATTTTGATGAAATTTGGTGAGTGGGTACTAATCCATGGTATCTCCAGGCGTTTGTTATTTTATTAAACAAACAAAATGGGGGTTTGTGGATTTTTAATGGCGATTATTCCAAATACACATAAATAACTAAAAATACTATTTAAAATTACTCAACAAATTTTGATGAAAATTTAGTATGTAATAGTACTTTTAGCTCTGAACAAAACTGTACAACTCCCATTGCTGTACCTTTTAAATAATGGAAAAATCAGATAAAAAAACACTAGATTTTGATTCACAGTTTTGTATGTTAGTCTTTTCAACTCCAAACTAAATGGTAGAACCCCCACTGCTTAAAAACATTACGGTTCCAAGGTTATTGCAACTCTGTGATTTTCAACATAAAATATAAAAGTTACTCCCATTATTATCCTTGGGCAAGGGATAAGGGTTACTGACAAGATAATCGGAGAAAGTATGTGTAAGATATAAGATTGTTGATACCATTTATTCATAATATGTTGTTATAGGCATGGCCTGAAAATTTTTAATGTGAAGCCCTAAAAACTAAAATTTATTTTATTTTAAAATTACCTTTGAAAAGAAAGGTGGCGACTAAAGAGACTATTAAAATACATTACAGGACATTGGCAATGTAGCTGTGCAAAAGTCTACTAATATATATTATGCTGTTTCTAATTTTAAGACTTGAAGAGTTTCCACTTTTATTTTGTAGACTTTTTGTCAACTTTAAATTGTAATTAATTAGGATTTTGGGGAAAACCGCCATATTGCTCAAAAACTTGTACATGACATAAGCATGTATTGAAAGTTGTGTAGCATGTATTGAGGCAGTTTTGGCCTTGCTCGCACACCTGTGAGTAGTAACAAGTGATCCATATAATTATCGACTAAAGTACCACAATAATTTTCAATGTCAATACTAGGCTTACAGCTTACTACTAATCATCACTGCTAAGCCAGCTAAGTGGATCCAGCCAAACTTAATACTCAGCTAAATCCAATGAAATCCAATAATCATACACATTGTAAAAATGATTACGCTTCTGCTACTTAGTAATTAGTAAAGATTTAAATTTCCAATACAAATTTGATGAAAAAATATCGTTTATTAGAGCTGGAGTGAATTTAAATGTAAGGTGAGTTCCTAATGAAGGGTGATGTGTCATTAAAACATTTTTCAATATTTGATCCATTTTGAGAGCAACCTACCTTTTGTCTAATATTTTAAAACAATTATCCTTAAAAAAACATGTGTATGAACAGATGATATTCAATGCCTATGTATGATTTTTGTATATCATTATTTTAAGGTGTAGGTTTAGCTTCAATTTATTAAATATATAACTCATTTATAAAAAAAATTAAATGAATAAAAAAATGATTTAAAAGGGTCCCTAAGTTTTACTAAATAACTTCTTGATCAGCATTGTACATTTTAGTAAATTTACGGAAAGTAAATAAAAGAAACATCTTATAACACTTAAAACATATATTTACGCTTATACTGTTACTCATAAGACGGTAAATATACAAAAAAGATGGTAAGTGGTGATCGATTTCGATTGGACACTCCAATCATCATCAGACCCAATAGGCATATTTACCGTCTTGTGAGTAGTATAAGCGTAAATATATGTTTTAGGTGTTATGAGACGTTTCTTTTATTTACTTGCCGCTAAGTTTTATTACCTATTTCATACATTTTTCAGTAATATTTGAACTATACTACTAGAAGAAAAAAATTTAAATTTTTTTCAAAGAAAAAAACTTTGATTTGATAAGTGTTGGGTTTTGCAAGATATGTTGTACGAGCCAAAATTGGCTAACCAGATATAAATAAACAAAGATATTGATAGTTACCTATCAGAGAAGGCCCCCACATGAGGCTGGTAGCGGTGTTCACTAGGCAAATTCTCCTCTGCAAGTACCTTACACCACCACACTTGTAGCTGGTGTCAAAACTAAACAAACACAAGTTCCATTAAATTATACGTGAACACATTATGATTTATGTTCATGGCAAATTAATTTCAACATGCAGATGACTTACTGTTTGGCAAGTGTGATGTGTTTTTCTATGTTTTAAAAACTAGGTATTGTTTATATAATTTTTAGCTTGTAGTGAAATATTTGTTAACGTAAGAAAACTGAACATTTGAGTTGTAGTTTTAGTAGTTAATGTGTAACTGAAAATATTCTTCAGGATTAATCATGTACTGTTTCATTGGTGAACCATTTTTTTAGATAAGGGTGAAAAATTGCAAGCATATTTCTCAAGTTTTACAATGTGGTTTTATTGAATTAGCGTTTTATCTAAACTATGAGCATTTAAAGAGAAAATAATGAAACCAAGCATACACCACGCTATGTTAACAAATTACTTTGGATTCTAGTGTTTGAATCCGTTCTATATTGTAGTATTGAGAGTATTGTAACTACTAAACTTTTCTGACAGCATTTACAACTTTTCTCTATTTAATAGAGACGGTTTTGATGAAATTATTAAAGATGATATTTAATAAATTAAAAAAATTAATTAAATTTTTCCAACAAACTAAATTTTTTCTTATTATTAACATACATTATTTACGCAAAAAAACTTAATTATTGAAGACATTTCATTCTTACCTAATTGAAGGAGAACAGTTTTGGTTGTATGATATTCAAGTCGGCATCAAAGTCATAATACCTTGATGATACCTAATACAGTTTTGAAGTTTTGAATGACATATCAATCATTGACTTAATGATACCTTATTAAGACAGTCTATGAATACACTTGACAGTTCATATAACAAGATTAGCAAAAGCACTTGAAGTAAAAACAATGTCTTGGCAGAAATGTTGGCAATGTCTTCAATATATAAATGTTGACAAGCGTTCATTGTTTCTGTATTATTTTATAATGTTTCAGGTAAAGAAAAGAAACATAAATTATTTTTTACTACAACCTTGTTAAGTTTAGACACAAGATAAGATTGAAAAATATTATGTAAAACAAAGTGCAGTAAAGACATCTTTCTAAATGTTTAACATTGTTCTCAGAATTGCTGGCAGAAGTTTTGTAAACATGTTTTAACGTTTTTATTGTTGTTAAGAGTGGACAGAATACCCATTTTAGGAGTAAGAGTAAAAAAATGAGAAACATAAGTTAATGATCTACGTATTTTGAAGGTTGAAACCATAGGTTAAAAATTAAACCTGATACATTGTAAACATTTATTGTGGAAGCAAAATGAACTCCTTCACAGTTCCAACGCATTAGTTAAAACACTGCATACTAAAACTTTGTTTATGTTACAACTATTTACAATCTATCTATCTAATTTATAAAATCTTTTAATGGTTTTTTTACTACGAAATCTTGTTTTTTTACTAGTGTTTTTTTTTTTTACTTGTTTGTAATTGCAGTATTAATCGTCAAAGATTCTATCAAACGAAAGATCTTGAATTTTCCAAGTATGCCTTTTTGGGGTTTGTACTTTGAACTATATTCACCCCTAGATTTTTGCCACCTTGGATGTTGAATATTAATTTAATGAAGTTGTATTTTCAACATTTCAAAGCATTTATAAAGGAAAAAAGTAGTGTTTTTTGTCCTAATTAAAAAGACCAGTGAGGTTTTGAAAGCAAAACATAAAACACAATGAGAAATTTTAACCCTATTTTATTATTTTAATGATCTACAGCTATCCTGCCACTGTGAAGGGCTTACTCCCGGATATTTATCCATGAAACAATCCAGAGTACACGGTGATTCACACTTAGGAAGATCGAGTTCTTCTATCTCCAGCTTGTGGCTGTTACAGAAGAACACCTACAAAAACAAGATCAGCTTTTGAAAAACTATAAGATATTTACAAGAAATGTTGATTATATTGAACTATTATGAACATCGTGAATATTTCCATTCAATTACATAATCTTTGAGTTGACTTTTAAGCTCAGGACTTTTAAATTATTCGTTTTCAAGCAACTCCTGTCATACTTTGCAATTGCTCCATTCCGAGCAACATGTACACTTTTTCCATCCATTTTTTGTTATAATACTTTAATAAAGGTTTTTACTTTTTATGTATACATATTTAATAGTTGAGAATTTAAAAGCTGTTGAGTGCACAAGTGTGCTGCAATTGGAGTTTAATATATTTGAACTTATCCAAAAGTAAAATGTGTGGCGCTATTTCAAAACATGACTAATACAGAATGTTGTGATGATTCAAACCTACAAAACAGTTGGTGAGAGTAAACATCTGCTTTTAAATTATATTTATTTGAAAACATTGTAGTTCCAAAAGTCTGACATTGGACCCCTTAAAATCCTCTGGGGCCCTTTTGACGGATCTGCACCAAACTTCACACAACCATATTTGAATAATGCCTGAAAGTTTCATTACAATCTGTCAAGCGGTTTCGGAGTCCATATGGTACATACATACATACATACATACATACATACATACATACATACATACATACATACATACATACATAGTTGCTCTATAGATATAGATAATTTAATAACTCTTAATAATTTTTATCACACCCTCTTCAAATTCAAGATATCAGGACATACTCAATTAAAAGTTAAATATGTCTATTCAGTGAAGTATTTTTATATCTGTTTCTGTTAATGGGATGATAATTCCACTTACCTTAACAGTGTCACAAGACCGTTTATCTGCGAGAGTCTCTTTGTGAAGCTCAAATATGAATCCATCTCCTGGTCCTATCATTTGTGGCTTATCCAATCCAAGACCCCACCGCAAGGCAAAGAGTGTGTCATCATGAGTGGAATGAAACCTGAATTTTTCAGCAAAAGTATTGTCTTGTGATTTTTTCATGAACTTTTCATGAATGTGGTGAAGCAGAGGTCCTGCAATCAATGAACATACAAGTTTAAAATTTTTTTAAGTATCAGATTATTGAGCATAAACTATGAGAAACAAAATCATCGTAATAAGAAATAAAATTACTAATATTGGTTTCATACTTGTTGTCAGTTCCAAATTTTCATCGATGATGCTACATGTTTTGGCGAGCTGCCATTGGCAAGCATACAGTCCAGGAATGTACATAAAAAAATCCGCTTGCGCACATAAACCAACAATACAATACAATACAATACAATATTCTTTATTGTTCATTCGTTAAGAATTACAATAGTGTCAATACAATAGTGAATTGTATGAACAACAAAGCTATACAAGGGGATTTTTTAATGTACATTCCTTGACAATGGCAGCTAGCCGAAACATATAGCATCGACAAAAGTTACAATTTGGAACTGAGGACAGGTAATATAAAACCAATATTAGTCATTATTACAGTTCTGGTGCTACTACAATGATTTTTAAATAAAATTACATCATATAAGAATACAGTAGTTTTCTGATTCAGATAATTTTCTCAACTATCTTTTGTTTTAACCAGTTAAGGAATTCAAATATCGAGGCCCCTAACTCTTTCCAATATATACATACCTGCATAAAAAGAAAGCATTTCTTTGCTTTTGTTGAGGTAGATAGACTTTTCAAAAAGCTCAACTAAAAGTGGTGCCATCATATCCGGATACAGAGGCTTGTTGTTGAACTCAGGCCGTGGCTGTGTGACCCATTGTGGCTGCTGTAGACCGTTGAGACTCTGGAATAAATAAACACTTGTGATGGTCCTTAGAGTTAATGAGATATTGTATACAGCTGGGTAGCAGAGTGGTTGTAGTGCTTGCCCAACAATCAAAAGATTGTCAGATCGATCCTGAGAAAAGTCAGGAGCTTCTTGATGGTTGGAAACTGGACACAGCTGTCCTTGATCATTGGGATTTTAATGAATGGACCTGGCTGATATTCATGGTCAGCAACAAAGATGTCATCTTATCAATCTTATCCATTCAACATTCACCCTTCCCTCATCTTCGCCTTTTACGCATCCTGGTGTTGATGCCATATAAAAATAATCTCATCCATTTGATGATTGAAAGCTCAAATAAAATATATTACTTCTGAAACGATAAGCAAAATATTATAATGTGTGTAAGACAAGTGATTCAGAATCGCTTGGCTCAAACTGTTTTACTTAAATTTTTGGCAATTGGTTTTGGGTAAAGCTAACCAGTAACAGACCTAATAGTTATTTGTAATCCACAGTATTATGTCTCAGCAGAACTTCTAATATTCAGTAAAATAGTTGATATTGCTCAGAACCTTACCTTACTTTGGTTAAAAATAATCAAACATGACCTGTTCCGCCTATGAAAACCTTTTAGAAATTTGGATTAGTAACACAATTTTGTTTAATTTCCTCAAAATTGTTTTTCTCTAATAAGATAATATTATTTATCCACTACTCCACTAACAAAATGAAAATTCAGAAATGTTTAATTTTCTGAGAACTCCATAAAGTTACTTCTAGAATGATCCTAGGTGATACAGAAATCAATATTATTTAATTTATGAAATTAAACTGAAATGTTTAATAAATACTTGGTGCCTACCTCAAACTGAATGGTGTCCCATATCTCGTAGTGTGTATCAATGGAGTTGATGTCAGTTCTGCCTGTGTGTTTCTTAAGCAACTCGTATATTGGTTTATTAGCCTCGCTTGGGTCGGGGTTCTTTGTAAGTTCGTAACCCTCTTTAATCATTTTTCCATATTTTGGACAATCTTTTAGTCCTAGGCTGGGATAGTCAGGGTCATTAAAAATCTAAAAAATATTTTTTTTCAGATCAAAACAATTTTTTGAGTATACACTTTTGAAATCTTACAAGAAAATATCAGTAAAATCAAACAATTACATAAAGAAACTCACAAAAAATAATTAAGTTACTATAAAACTGTGAAAAAAGAATGGTTTCAAACTTTTTTTCAAATTTCAATGAAAGAATCAATAAAAAAATATATATAAATTACTAGCTGATAACCAGTGCTTTGCAACGGGAAGATGCACTATACCAAACACCAAAGTAGTTCAAATTGATATATTTTCATAACTTATAAATCGAAAGCAGAGCCAGGGTTGATACAACAATGGTTATGGAATTTTTTTTCGGCATACTTTTAGAATAAAATTATCTATGACAAGGTTTTAGAATAAATAAACCTACCAGGTGTGAGTAAAATAGTTTATTTAATTTGTTTGGATCAGCTGTCTGAATTTGTGGAATACGTGGTAAACTTACAGTTTAGCAAATAAAATGGAAAGGTCAATGTATGTTAGATACAAACATATCAACCTTACATGCCTCGACTCAACACTACAATCCTTCCTCAGTAATTTACACAAAACAGTTTGCATACACTTACATATGCTTTGTCAAAATCCAAAGTGTTATGCCACACAGGGATTGGCTGCCACATCATATTATTAAATATCGGTTCAGCTGGAGGGAAAAGACCCGCAGAAGTTGCCATAGCACTTGTGATGGTCCTACTCATATCTGTTGATGTTATGGTCACATTCTCTGCTGAGTAAGGTCCAATAAATTTACCATAGACAGCCTTCAGTCTTCGTCCTACTTTATACATGAGTCGCTTTCCTTCCTGTAAAAGAATATGATCTGATTACCCCTAAATGTTGACAACTCAATTATGGGTTTAAATAGCTATTTTAGACGTTCCAAAACTTATTATTGAAGTAGATAGTTCCTTAGACACAGCTGTTAATTAGTAGCCCACACAGCCAATGGCAACTAAGGGACCTAGTTTATAGTGGAATCCGAACCACATTTTTTCCTTGTAATTAACGAATTGGTCTAATAATCAGTATAGTACTGCGGATAGTCATAGTACTCACTAGTGCGGACGTTAATCCACACCAGGAAGCATCACATCCACAGTGCATGCCAAGGGCGGGTCTAGGGCAAATTTTCAGAGGGGGCCATTCTATCGACGGTTTGGGGTTATTTTAATTCTAGGCCAGCATGGCCACAACTTCCGGGGGGTTGGAATACCCCCCATTGTTGGAGGGGGGTCCGGGAAATTTTGGAAAAGTTATACTTACAAAGTCGACATTTTAAGCACTCTGACGAAGAAAAAGTTTGATCTCTTGTAATCTGAAAGGGAGAGTTTAAATGCAAAACTTCCTTAAACCATTGATAAACCTTTTTCTGTTCTTACCAGCCCTGTAATTTCACCTATCTATTTTTAAATGTTTTGTTTCATGATGTTGACTCGCATTGTATTCCTTTAACAATGATTATTTCAGAAAAAAAAGTTCCTCACTACATTTTTGACGTTTTTAGTGCTGTTAAAAATCAACCATCAATCTTAATTTGCCTAAATAAACTATAAAAAAATATGTTAAGGTTCAAACTAACTACACAGTAATAAGCACGGTCTAAATTCACTAGACAATGGACACCTAAGTAAATTATTTAAAGGTTTTATACTCACATCTGTTAGTTCACCTGGTGGTCCCGGGAAATGCTCCGGGTAGATAGACTTATAGGGGTTGTTTGGGTAGGGTTTATACAGGGGAGCTCTGGTACCATGTCTGAAAAACTGAAGAATACAGAAATATAATAATTTATTTTTGTAAAAAAACACAACCGACTTCAAACGCTCTAAAAAGAATGAAATAATTTCAATAAAGTAAACTTTTGTATTAGGCAAGCTCACGTATTTTAAGTCGGCGCGGCTCTATGATGATTTTTGATACAAAATTGAAAGAGGGTGTCCATATTGCAGGTGACTATCTATTACTAAAGGTGTTAATCTGCATGTCTTTTTCATAGTTATGCGTTAAGTGTTATTTTATTACCGTAATCAGAGATCGACATTATAGTGGTATTATCAAGTATCTTTAAAAAGATAATAACGCATTTAAATGTTTCTAACTTGGAAAAGTAACGTGTTAATACTAAACTAGCTTCTTTTCCCTATGATAGTATCAAACTAAATTATTTTCCTATTCATATAGAACATTTGTGTGAGTTATTTTCATAATGCATTTATTCTGAAGTAAACATAAAATACGAGAAAATATTTCCTAATATAAACAAAACAGTTCAGTATGTTTTTTTTATATATTTATGTTATCCAGCTACAATATATTGATTTTCAAAATACACACACAATATTTAATTTCAATCATATTTGCAGTTTGAGCCACAATTTCAATCATATTTGCAGTTTGGGCCGCGCCGACTTGAAATACTTGAGCTTGCCTAATACAAAAGTTTACTTTATTGAAATTATTTCATTCTTTTTAGAGCGTTTGAAGTCGGTTGTGTTTTTTTACAAAAATAAATTATTTCACGATTTTTAGTGATTGTATAATTTTTTTATATATTAATTACTTGAGGTTTTTAGATAAGCAAAACTGTTTGAAACAATCAAAATTTCCACAGAACAATCATTAGTTTAAAACTGCTTGAGTCACCTTTTCAGGTTACATAATCAATGGGTATGAAAATAAACATTTTTATATATTCCTTAAGAAGAAAGAGTTGTCCATTACATTAGGCCTAATGAAAAACTAATTGTCTTTTCTAGATACATTGAAATGTCAGACATCATCGTTTCCTGCAATCGGTGTACTTCTACATTATAAAAAGAAATACAGTAACGTCTCAAGCCTTTTGGAACAATATGAAAGTTATTCCTCAGCTACCAGCACTAAACAATCTCTCAAAATTGGAAAATTGGTCGTTAACACGTATAGTACCTTTGGAAAATATTATATGAAAGATTGGTTCAGCTAAAAGTGGTGTAAGTCATGTTGGGGGTTTTGCTTGCTCAAGATATAGCCTAGTCGAATTGCAAATCATCTTCCTCTAGGACTTTCTGAAGCAGGCATAATAGGCTAGTATTGATATGTTATAGGTTATAGTAACTGGGTAGAGAATATTAATAAACATTCCACATCTGCAAATGAAATATGTATATGAAAGATTGGTTCAGCTAAAAGTGGTGCAAGCCATGTTGGTGGTTTTGTTTGATAAAGATATAGCCTAGTCGAAATTGCAAATAATCTCCCTCTATAGGACTTTCCGAAGCAGGAACAATACAGTAGTATTGATATGATATAGTAATTGGGTAGAGAATATCAATAAACATTCCACATCTGCAAATGCATGTTTAGTAATTAAAATATTTAACACTTTTAAGACAATTGGCGATTATGCACTGTCACACTTCTTAGGTCGTGTAAGGAATAATTACATTTAATTTATATTTAGACCTGTTTTACGAATGCATTGGTTTTCACAATACACCTTTATTTGTCAATATCATACAGCTATTAACTGAAACATATATGTTTTTTAAGTCAGAATATTCAATACTAAAAACAGAATTACTGTATACACAAATCAGGTCAAACGTTAAAATACATTTTTTATAGTAAACAAAACGCATTTTTCTCAATGTAATTCATTTAGGCTCCATGGCAAGAAATAGTTTATTGATCAATATGAAGCAACTGTTTCATGAAGAACTGTCTGTAGTTTCATTTAAATGTTTTCAACTAACAGCTGTATGAATGTTATTATTATTTATTGCCTTCTCTGCACAAATGTAAACAATCTGCACAAATGTAAACAAAATAAATGTTGAATATTTAAGGTTTTCAGAATTTTTCACCGAAACTAATATTATACTTAAACATAATATATAAGGTACCAAATAGAAACTCTCCTGGTTATTTTGATGGTGGAACCACACTGATCGGTAAAAGAATCACAGAGAAATTGGTGAACATACATAGAAAAAAAAAACATCGCCACAAACAAATTGAGAACCCCCTCCTTTTGTTGGTAGTGGGGAAGTCGGTTAAAAATGGTTCACCTTTCACAAATAGGCCTTGAACAGTACAAATTAGTAAGAGCTAGGCTATATACTAATTATATCTTTTGAGCTAAAAGTATGTTCAAAAACACAAAACATTTCCTTTCCAGCATAACCCAAAATGTTTATTAATAGTCAAAGGTGTTAGTTTCCGTTGGGGTAAGGGTTATTAAGGCTTTCTTAAGAGGATATTTTGATGAGATATGAAAATAGCTCATCAAATATCTGAAATATATCTTGCTTGGCTATAATTTTCATGGCTAAGCTGTATCCACTACAAAACTGCATACAAGACTTCTGCATGGTCATTATCTGACAGTTGCAGCCTTGACAGAATAAATTGCCTTAAAACCCAGAACTAATATGAAAATTAAATGGATTTTTTTTTAAGAAACAGGCTAATTTCTTTCACTTAACCTGCAAACCACATACTGAATTACATCCAATGCTGTAGTATTGAACCAAAAACATATTCCTATACATTATGTCTTTTGAAAACCCCAAACTTACTGAATAAACTCTTTTAAAAGGCAAAATATTTCATCTATGTTTTCACTTTTTAGAAAATTACTAAACATCCATCTTTTAGCAACTAACTTCAGCAATGTTTACCAATACTGTACCTCAAAAGAATTTATATTACACATAATAATTGAAACCTCGATTAAATTTGTGTTTACTCACACTGTATACATACTGAAGGGATGATAAGTCTCTCTCAGGCTCCGTCTTGATCGTTGGATCACTGTTACTCCAAATTGATCCCATTTTCCTAAAGCAATTAATTATGAAACATGTGATTATTCATAGTTAAATTCAAACCCATATCTTGCCTATAACCATTCTGAGCAGTGACTTTAAACAATTAATTATTGGTCATTTCAAATGAAAGTAAAATCACAAAAAACGTTTTCTGTATTGACATCTTAAAATAATTAAAACTTAATTGTTTATGATAAAATTTCATATGATTTCATATGATCACATGATAAGTATTTTTTTTCAGTTAACTATGGTGTTCATGCAACTCTAAAATATATATTAACAATAACCCTTTCCAGGGCTATGGACGGATATATCCGCCAATCTTTGTTTACTTTCCGGGCTGAAAACGGATATGTCCGTCCCAAGAAATGTCTTTTCTGGGCTAACAAATCGACATACATTGTTTATAATACAAATAATAAACATTACACTGCATTATAAATGGGTTATTTTGTTTTTGTGGTTGGCAAAAATAGTCGCCACAGCTGTTTCAGCTATTATTTTGCACCATAGAGTTTGTGAATATTGTGAAACTGTCACTTCACACATGGTTGTTAGTGAGTGGTGTTTACATTTGTGTTTTGGGCTTAAACTCCAGAATGATACAGTAGATACATTTTTATGGATACAAAATAAAACCAGAGAAGGAATAGCCTAAGGTTGACGGATATATCCGTCTGTCGCCCACAAGAATACTCAAGATTATTGGCACTGGTTATTTATCACTGAGGGCGGCAGACGGATATATCCATCCACCTTATGTTTTTTGTGGGCCTAAGATATCCGTCAAATCAAATTTTATTTTCTTCATAGCTTTTGTACAAAAATTAGTTCAGCGCTAAGAAAAATCTGTTTATGATCCATGAATTATTTTAAGCAAAATGAATACTAAACGTAAACACTTTAGTTTATGGATTATGGCAAGCAATAATTAAATAATTAATTATTTAATTAATTAATTACAATAATTTAAGCTCCAGCCCTTCATTTAATTTAGCCCTCGAAGGGTTAAGTACATATAATTTAAGAGATACCGTAATTATTTTTACTTCCTTCCTCTATACTTAGTATATGAAGAAATTGTTTTGTAAAAAAATTTGAGTTTGAGTTTTGGGTGGATATATCCTTTTTGGGTCCCCCTGAACCCAACAATTTGGTTTTAAAGTGATGTCTGTGTACAGAGCTACAGACCACACCTGGGATCAGATTTTGATTAGATGTGTAATCCCTAGTATCTCCAGGGTTTAAATATTTTTTAAAAATCTTGATTCATAATGGTAATTTTTCTATTAAACCCAAAAATAACCTAAAAATAAATTTTTCTTTCAAAACGTCTCGACCGATTTCGATTAAAATTTAGTATATTATGGAGCTTATAATTAGAAACAAAATGGTACAAGCCCTATTGCTGTAAAAATTACAATTCAAAAGTTTTTGTAGCTTTATGATTTTCCCCATAAATTTCATAGTACTCCCACTGCTTACCCATGATAAGGGTTGTTAATAAGGTAATGGAAGAAAATATGTGTCAGATTGCTGATGCCGTTTATTTATACAGGGTGTCCCTCGAGAGGTGTCTCAAATCGATTACTGGAAAACGGCTTAACGTACAAGGATGAAATAAAATTATTTCCAACTAAATCGACCCCAAGGAATAACGTAAAAATATTTTTAACTTTTTTCATATACAGGGTGTGCCAAAAACTGAGAGTCACTAGTTCGAATCTCGGAATTTTCAAATGTAAACATATGTCATGTTATACATCATTTTAAAGGTATTTGATAGACAAACATTTTGGCAAAAACCAAAATTAGTTATCTTTTTCCGTTTCAAAATGGCGGTAGTTTTTTTGAAAGAAATCTATATTTTTTTAATACTCTGTATTTCCTATACCAATGCATTTAGCACTTCTCCGGTTGCATTTTCTTACTCGTTATGAAATTAGCTTTACTGTGATATGCAACAAGTAACGGTTTTTTGAAATAATAAAAATTCAAAAAAAAATTATTTTTAAAAATTTACAAATGCTCATTGTTCAAAATTTTCAAATAGCAACATATGTCAAGTGGCACATCATTTTATAGGTTTTTCAATTCCTAACAACTTTGTAATTTACACTTACTTCGTATCTCTTTTAGTTTTTGTGTAAATAACAAAAAACCTAATTTTCCTATATCAAATGCATGTTATTTGGGTTTGCCACTAAAGGCTTCATTTCATTTAGTGTTGAACCATGTCAAACCCAAATAACATGCATTTGATATAGGAAAATTAGGTTTTTTGTTATTTACACAAAAACTAAAAGAGATACGAAGTAAGTGTAAATTACAAAGTTGTTAGGAATTGAAAAACCTATAAAATGATGTGCCACTTGACATATGTTGCGATTTGAAAATTTTGAACAATGAGCATTTGTAAATTTTTAAAAATAAATTTTTTTTGGAATTTTTATTATTTCAAAAAACCGTTACTTGTTGCATATCACAGTAAAGCTAATTTCATAACGAGTAAGAAAATGCAACCGGAGAAGTGCTAAATGCATTGGTATAGGAAATACAGAGCATTAAAAAAATATAGATTTCTTTCAAAAAAACTGCCGCCATTTTGAAACTGAAAAAGATAACTAATTTTGGTTTTCGCCAAAATGTTTGTCTATCAAATACCTTTAAAATGATGTATAACATGACATATGTTTACATTTGAAAATTCCGAGATTCGAACTAGTGACCCTCAGTTTTTGGCACACCCTGTATTTGAAAAAAGTTAAAAATATTTTTACGTTTTTCCTTGGGGTTGATTTAGTGGGAAATAATTTTATTTCATCCTTGTACGTTAAGCCGTTATCCCGTAATCAATTTGAGACACCTCTCGTGGGACACCCTGTATAGTGCCATCAACTTGCCATAATAAAAAGAGCTCACTAAATTTTTAAACCAATGTTTTAATATTGGTATACTAGAACCAGCCAATTCATTAATAATATACAAAAACTAACGTTTAAAAACAATATGGCATTGTATATCAGTCATAATTAATTGTAGATATAACTTAATGTTCACTTGCTTACCTAGAATGATGTATCCTCCATTTTTGTTAAGAAAAGTAATAACTCTCACTTATTACAACACAACAAATTACTTCTGATTAAAACAGACATCAGTCGAAGATAATCAGTGAATTATCATTTACGGAACAAAACATGCACATTCTTCACTTTTGCTAGTAGTTTGCAATCTCAGCTTAGTAAATGTGCTATTTATTTAAATATGTTTCAATTAATGTGGTAAATTACAACTTTTTACTTTGTGAAAACAATGTTTATTGGAACTAAGATTAAATAAGATTACATTTTTAATTTAGATTGCTTAGTATGTACAGTTTAATATCTAGTCAATTGGTAAAACGTTTTTAGTGAAAATGAAATAGCAAATAAGGTGTTATAGTAAAAATGTATTAATTTACATACTAGCTAAATGTCTGTTACCCATATGTTGAAACTGTACTAAAAAGTCTTTCTATGCAGCAGTGACTTCTTTAAAGTACTAAAAGAACCAAATCTAAAACTTTAAATAAAACAAATAGTAAAAGAATTTTAATTTTAATAAAAATATCACACTTATCTTTGGTAATTTTTTCATTCGGGTTTTGTGGAGATCTGCTGTTATAAGATAAAAACTACTTGCATTATGATTGTTTTTATCATTAGCGGCACATTATTATCATCAGGAACCTTTATGTACCTTTTTTACACAGAATTTATTTCTTAACATTAGAAAATAAAAATAAATCCAATAGCTGAACTTTTCAAGCTCTGGATATAAATTTTTCCTATATTACAATAAATGATAAGTTGTAGACATAATGCTATTTAAGAACCACAAGATAAAATACATGTTAGAACTTCAAAGTAGTTGTTATCCAAACATTATTTATTTTTCAACAAATTTTTGAGACACAATCATGATCTGCACTCTGCCGCCCACTGAGGAGGGGACAGAGTAGTAGCCAGGGTCAGAAATGTAGAGAGGGGGCAGGGGAGGGGGCAACCTGGGACATGCAACTCTCTGAACTCTTCACCCGTGGTCAGCAGCGACAGGTAGAATATCTGCGGACAAAACAACTTTTACCATTACCATTGACTATTGAATACTGAAGTAGACATCACATCCATATGGACAGCTGTCGCCAATTTATTATTAAAAAAGAAAATAGTTGTGTGAGCCAGACCCAGAATGCGCTTGTGTCTCAAATCATATTTTTTATTGATAAAATAAAAGGATTACCTTATGCAACCACAGTTTCTGGTATGACAACTAGTTTCGTTCCTTAGAACTTCGTCAGGTCATTGTATGCAACCACATCATCAATCTATTAATACATTGTGGTATGTCAGAAGATTCTTTAAAATAATGTCAAAATCACAAAACTAGTCATGTTGATCAAATGAATAAAATGTAATAAAAAGTTATAAAACTGGTTAAAACTGTAAAGACTAGCCAGCACTGTCTTATCACTGTCACTGACTAAATAAAACTGACTGAATAATCTATAATCCATCTACTTTCTACCTTGTATTTTGTTGCTGACGAAGTTGATGGGTCATAACAGTTGCTCACAATAAGTATTTCCATTAGTTTAAAAGTTAGCTTATTCAACATAAATCAATAATGTCGGAGGATCTGAGTGTTTCTCACACAACAGACTAAAAGAAATCCATGTAAAAACTAGTGATGGGCGGATCCAAGAAAATGTCGGTACCGGATCCGGATGCAGATCTTGAAAAATTCGGATCCGGATCTTCGGATCTTCGGATCCGGATCCAGATACACAATAAGTATTTCCATTAGTTTAAAAAGTTAGCTTATTCAACATAAATCAATAATGTCGGAGGATCTGAGTGTTTCTCAAACAACAGACTAAAAGATATCAATGTAAAAACAAAAACACTTTTGTCTTTGTCATTTTAGTTAGACTAAGTAGGCTATGTTTAACAAATAGGACAACTTTCCATTTAAATATCCATTAGGGTTGGCTATTGTAAATTCTCTTTTTTATTCTCATGAACATAAAGCTGATTAAAACAATAATGATAGCAGCATATATTTCATCACGAGAGACATATATGCAATATTAGGCTATATTAATACTTTAGTACTTTTCAATGAAATGGCGACCATACAAAGTAGGTATTTTAAGCCAAGTATGAATGAGATGAGTGTAGGATGAGTCGCGCGATCTTGTAGTCTTGTTAGTGACTAAGGCCGACTTATTCCTTAGACACAGCTGTAAATTAATAGCCCATACAGCTAATGGAAACTAAGGGACCTACAGTTTATAGTGGAATCCGAGCCACATTTTTGTCTTGGTATATACAAATTGGTCTAATTTTCATGATAGTACTGCGAATAGTCGTAGTACTCACTCGTGCGGACGTTAATCCACACAAGGGAGAATCACATCCACAGTGCAAGCCTATAAATATCCACAATTTGTAACCTCCTAGTAGCTGGATTACAGGACGACGCCACCCGTCCGAGTAAAAATATTAATATTATAACAATATTAATAATTAATAACACCATGTATGTTATATTCAAATTACTTGAGAATTCTTTTACATTTCGGTTTGTGTTATCATAATGAGAAACACACAAAATGTTATTCATTATTATCAGAAGATGAAATCCTTTGTACCAAGGACAACTGGTACAAATGACAACTTTAGCCCCTCAATGAATGTATTAAAAACAGCCATTTTGCAGTAGTACGGTACAACATAAATTTTTGTTTATTACCGTTAACCTATTTAACCTAAATTGAGACCATTCTACAATGAGTTTTATCCACGGATGTCAGAAGTGACATAATATTTTCATGCTTATGATCCATATTGTTACTGATCTAAATATTGGTGGTGTTGTCAGTGGACCCATTTTCCTACAGGTAATCCAAAGACAAAATTTTTATTCTTGAGCCATACACCGTTGCGAAGTACATACACAGCTAAGTCATTTCTAATTAATGTTACCATAAACATAGAAAACAAAACATTACATTTTAGTAAACAGAAAACAAATTGACATTTACCTTTACATAGTAAATGTTTGACAAGTTATGGAGTTCCAGGAAGACACAGTCCCCAGGCCTCACTATATGCAGAGGCTTGTAACCAATCCCTCGCAGCAGGGATAGGACGGAGATATCATGGCCTGCGTGGAGGTACATCTTGTGTCCCTGAGTAAGGTTATCGTTCACCTTGGATCTGAGTAGATCGTACACACGGTAATACAATGGTCCTGCAACATTGCAATGAGTCTATAGGTAATGAGTTGGAGAGCAAACTGGTCTAGTGGTGGAGCACAAGGCTTTGGTCCTCGAGGTTCCAGGTTCAAATCTTGCCAATGACCAGTGTATTTTAGCTAAGTGATTATGCTGTGCTGTGACCCTCTATGCCCTGCCTGAAGTTATGTGTAAACTATTCCATGCTAGAGCCTATAGAGACTTAGGTTGCAACTTAAAAATGGTTGGTGGTGAGTGATACTGTTCACAATTGTTGATACAGTTTTCTTTTCCTTGCACAGGCCCTTTATTTTTATATGTAGTCTTTTGTGTATTTTATAGTTAATTTATTTGCATTACTTGTATACAAAGAATAAAGAGAATTTAATTTAATTTGACTAGACAAGTAGGTGTATTCAAACCACAGCGCACCTAGCAGAAAAGTTACGTGGAAAAATGAAAACACCTACGTTCATCTACGTTCATGCGTAGCAGATCAAGTCTGCAGGAGGATTTTTTTAAATCACCCAAGAGGCAATTCAAAAAATTTCCGTCCACCAAACTCAAGCAGACTCTGGCAGGCAAACGGATTCCTTAGTGCGTTCCCACATTTGATAACATGGGGAGCAAATTTTAGTCTATCCGTCTGTGTGTGCCGGCCTTTACACTACAACTATCTGCCTAAAACATCTGTGTCTTCGTACATGGAGGTGGATGAACTGGCCGCTGTACTATTTCCTTTCAAACAAAACTCAAAACATTTGTGCACAGTACAAATTTACAAGGAGTCATCTAATCTTCCTGGATACGCTTCCATGGCCACTTAATGTAGAATTGTGTCAAAAACGGCGAAACACTAACACTCACCGACGTTTCGGCCTTGATACAATGCGAATAGACTCCGCACAGATGACAAATTAAGTCACTGAACTTAATCAGTCTGAAGGAGTCAATTCACCCTGAGGAAATTGTCTAAATTTACAAGGAGTTAAATAAAAAATAGTAGATTCCGACAATTACTATACACAGACAAAAATACTATAACTAAGTTATATGAAAATTTAAAACCATATCAAAACCCACCAATGTTTTGCCTGTATCTTTGTTGTTTCCCAATTGTTTAATTCCCCTGAACAGGATCTTGTATGATTGCTGACATTGATTCCTCTCCGTTTAGTAAGTACAGTTATTTTTATCTTATTTTAAAAAAAATTTCAAAGTCAATATTATTTAAAGAGTCATCACATCACTATTTAATTCTTAGGTAAACTATCTGTTTTGTTACTACTTATTATTAAATTCATGCATTAAATGTATTAAATTCATGCCAGGTATCAACTTCGGACATATCATTTGGCCATTAATAGTTATTTCCTAATTGTAATTTTGAACAATTGTGTATGTTTTAATGTATTATGTGGGCTATTATGTGTTTGTTATGTATGTTTTCCATACATAATTTTTATAGTAAAACAAACAAAATCCCTTACCTGAAAGGATTTTAAGCATTGACGATGTTCCGTTTACCATTTGATTAAAAGTTTCAGCTGTGATATCTCTTATTTTATCTGGGTATATTTTCTTAGTCCATTCAGGCAGCTTGTAACCACTGAGAAGCTAAAATAAATAAAATTATAGTATATTGAATTTTTACTCGATACTATCATAGACAAAAAGAATTAAATATAGACCGTCAGCTGTGCTGCGGTTACCATAGGTTCTGGCGCACACCGCTTGGAGCACCACGGTAGTTACGGCGTACGCGCTACGTAAACTACAGCGGTGTGCGCCGGAACCTATGGTAACCATGGCAACCGCAGCACGGCTGACAGTCTATATTTAATTCTTTTTGTCTATGATACTATATAGTTGTAATTATAACTGTATTTTAACATAGTTTATAGTTATTATACTAGAGTATTGTTTTAATAGTCTTACCATTAACTTTTGGATACTGTACTAAAGAAACATCCCATCTATATAGACCAGCTGATGCCAATTTTTAATTCATATAGAACATAGTTCTTTGAGCCCAGTCTCAGAGCTTGTGTCTACAGTTTCAATTTCTACCTTTACTTTTTTGTTGCTGAGATAGTTGACGCGACATAAAAGATGCTATAGCTTACAATAAGTCCTTCCATCAGCTTGAGTTGGTTAACAAGTCTACATATTTGACAGAAATTAGAAATTTACAACAGAAAAATACTCATAACTGTTTGTGGCTCACTTTAACTATGTCCATTTTGATTTTAAAACTAGTGACAACTTTATGATGGGAATGGAATTTATAGTTCTATCAATAGTCTAATGGTTATACTCAATTTTTAGAAACCGAGGTGATGGGATCATTACTATAAAGAAAATTAGGAACACACCTCACCTCACATTCAAATATATCCCAGAGGGCAAAAATGTCGTAAATTGAGTTCCTTAAATCACCAGTCTGTTGAGATATATACTTGTAAAAGTGGTGTTCAGGGTTCGTATCTGGAAGTTTACTTTGAGCTTCCAGATAAGACGAGTCTTTACCAAATCTTGGACATGATGTAGAATCGCTCCAAAGCTGCAAACTAAAATAAACTCAATGACACATTAAATAGCTGTTCGGTTGTAGCTTTTGGTCCCATAAATCTGTGTTACTTCTCGAGAAAATACAAGAAAAGTTGCAATTTAATAATGAACTGCAAAATCACAAGACTTTAATACTGGACATAAAAATATGGGGTAAATATTGTCCCCATAATGCCTTAATGAATCAATAATTTAAACAAGTACAACATATTTTATAATGATTATTGATAGTCACTAACTTAAAAATATTTCAATAAGTTGTAACAATTCAAACATAGAGATGAGAGTAGTGACTAGCATATAAAATGTATTGATATAGTATAACATAATGCAACAACATACAGCAATAACACAAGGAATGTAATAAAGGCTACCATTCAAAATCCATAAACTGATAATAATGTCACACATTAACACATTGAGCACGGTGCAAATATCAGTGGGTGCTTCCCCAAGGCCTTGACATTTTTTAGATAAAATCTTACCTTTTGTTCCCAGAAGTAAGGACCCAGGTCGGAAATTTTTTTAATGGAATCCAAAATTGGTGGTCACCGGTGACCAAATGTAAAAAAACACACTAAAAATGTTAAAAATGCCTCTTCCACCCTCCCATCAATTGTTTTTTACACTCAAACTGCGTCGTGGAACCCCATGCATAATCCTGGTTTGTCTGAAGAAGTGCTACAGAAAAAAACCGAATAAACAATATTTTTGTGTCATATAACAATAAAAAAAAAACACAAAAGAAGTACCACAATAAGTGCATTTATTGAATTTGTAAGTAGGAATTTACAGGTTACGGGTGACCGGTGCCGGGCCGCAGGAGCGGCGGGCGAAACATACACAGTTAGGTTATGCAAGTAGCGCACACGCACTAACTACCGTCTACTCCTCAAGACCGCACTTCAATGATTGATTCATTTCTGTGGGACCTGGCCGAACACCGGTGATCGGGCCGGCCTGCGCGCAAGTTTCGAAGCTGGTCTTCGGCGACCTGCCCGCACTCAACGTGTTAATTAATCTGTGAATATTTTTCTCTGAATGAACAAGGGTTTACCATAGGCTCTGTGGTTAGGAAATGCAATCAAGTCTTTGGCAGAATCAAAATTCATGGTCATTACCGTAACCTCACAGAACTATATTAAGGGCCTATATGAGAATTACAAAACTTATTAAAACTCACCAATGTTTTGTCTGTCTCATTGTTGTCCAGCCATACAGGTATGGGCTGCCAGTTGATGTTTTTAGACCACTTCTGATAATGCTTTGGAGGAAACATGCCAGTAGAGACGAGCATGGCTGACATCATTGTGCGCTCCATGTTGGTCGATACAAAACGTACCTCGTCGGAATAAGTGGGTCTTAAATATCTGTTGTATCGTTTGCGAATAATTGATCCAACCCTGTACATCAGCTGCTTCCCCGGCTTGTTCACACAAGTTTGAGATTAGTAGAGTTGCTGTTCAGTATTGAAAAGTATGTAACATGATTAACTGGGCAACAATGTGGTGCTATTAACCATCAAATAATTTGCTGAAGCTTTTACAGGTTCCAGACTGGATTCACATGCTAGAATTTTACCATCAATTGCTGAAATTTCTAAAAACAGTAACAGTTAAGGCCTGTTTTGCCAGAAGCGGCTGGTGCGTCTGACGCTTAGCGATGATCGCTAGAGCAATAATCGCTCAGCGCCTATCGCTCGGGGCTATTTTGCCAGAAGCATCTGTTTGTTGCGATTATTTAATAAGTGAGTGGATTTCTTTGGTGGCGAAATGAGAGCTGTATGTGAAATGATATGTAAAAGGCAAATAGAGAAGTATTTGCTAGCTGAGGAATTGGACAATGAAGATATTTTAGAAATGTTGTGCAAACCCAGGAAAGAAGTATGTTCTATGTTTTTAAAGAGACCTGAAAAGGGATATTATAAATTATTAATAAAAAATCACCTCCGTTATAGAAAAGCAGGGTGTGCTGAAATGGCTTCAATCAATTTATTATCTTTTTCGCTATTAAATCCCCACTTTGATTTTGACATGTCACTAACTTTCAAACTGGGTTAAAAACACAACTTTAAAAAAATAAGAACAGTCAACAACAAAACACGTGTTTCTTCTTGTAATAGATATTAGCGACTGTGCCTCCGTCTGCTCCAGGAGCAGTGGTCCGCGATAGACGCTAGCGGCTCAGTTACAGATGCTGGTGGCTGTAGCGATAGACGCTTGCGGCAAAATAGACTAACCTGAAACAATGCAATGCAGTGAGCAGCGATCATCGCTGAGCGATAGACGCACCAGCTGCTTCTAGCAAAACAGGCCTTTACTGGTTTTTTTTTTTCGGTATTAAACTGTGTATCTATACAGTTGGCAATTTTCCAAAAGTTTTTTGTAAGGAACGGTCTAGTCACAGAGAAGTACTTGAAGTACTTCTCTGTGGTCTAGTATTTTTGAATACTAAACCACTATCAACTATTACTTTATACAGAGAAATATATAAACAGTAATCAGTTGGGCGAAACACTGCACTAAAAAGAAGTTTCCTTAAGTAAAAAAGAGGTACTAAACACTTTTGTGCACCTTTATAATGAAATTTCACTCACTGAAACTTTCTACCAGAGTTTTTATGGAGGTACCAGTAATATATAATAATCATCAATAACATTATTTTAAGAGTTAAACTGATGAAACTTATAATCAGTGAAAAATATTCATATGAAGTTAACTTTTCGGATGATATAAAATTGAATTTGGGAAAAACTCACCTTGCTAAGGGCTCCATCTCCATCTGGAAAGAATTCACTTCGATTTTGGTAAGGATCAGTTGGAAAAGAAGGAAAGGCAGGGGATCTCACACCGTGTCTGAAGATCTGGAAACACAACAAACTAATGAAGTTGAAAATAAAATCCACCCTGGTTATGATTGCCAATATCTATTTTACTTTCACCTTCGGCATACCGATGGTAGTATACATAAGATTTTTCCAATAAAAGTAAACTGGTAATTTTTTCCTTATTGACTTTATTAGCTGTTACATTTTTTATTTATTTATTTATTAAACATCATCAAATTACATCAATTCTCTTGACAGGTGATTTGTCACAAAGTCTAATACTATACTACGTTTTAAATAATAAAATAGCTTAAAAATTAAATAAAGCAAATAATAAGCTACAAACCTATGGGAGAAGTAATATCTTTCAAATATAGTCATCTTCCAGATATTCTTCTAACGAGTAAAATGCCCTCTCCAAAAGGAAATTTTTTAAAGATAGTTTAAATTTAGAAAATGAGGCAATGTTTTTAATCCCAGCATTACATGGTCATCTGGAATACGTTTTTACTAGGCTCTACAAATGCATAAACAGAAAATTATTTCAAACCCATAATATTTTGCGGATATGTCAAGAAATTAACTCTCTCACACTTAAGTCACTTAATCAGCTAATTAATTACAAGATAAGCATGTCTGTCAGTTACACCTGGTATCATTGTCATTGATATCTTGTTTTTAAATAACAATGTTATGAAAAGTGGAATTGATTTACCCCTCTACAAATCCCCAAAGATCAACAAATTTAGTTTGTTGAGAGAAGGTTATCAATCCTGTCAAATGACAGACAGACTGTTCCCTTAAATGTTGGATTTACTTTTTGTTCAGTAAGCTAAGCCTTACAGTACCAGTACTTTAATGTTCAAACAAACAAAAAATAGTTAGTTGAATTGTCACTCATCTTAAATAGCGGTAACTTCATTTTATTTTTTAGTTTCCTTAGTTGAAATTATTGAGTATAACAATGCTAAAACTAGCATTGTTGTAGAGCAATAACTATTAGTACATAATATGATAAGAAATAAAACATTAACAACTTACACTGAAGACAAAACATAACGTTGACTCAGCTTCAAAATTGTCTGGCTCTTTTGTAAACTTTTCGATAACGAGCTGTGTATACCTTGTTACCCCAAATCCTACAAATTAAGAATCAAACTCGGATATAATAACCATAGAACATTTCTTATATACATAGATGGTTTATTTAATTTTTAAATCTTTATTTTAAAAGGAAAGCTTCACGAAGAAATTCTCTTTAACTAAAAAATCTATTGATAAAAAAGAAACAAGAAAAAATAACAAAATATTGAAATCCTTGAAACCTAAGTACAAAATTACATAGGTTTTAAAAATTAAACAAAAGTTACCTCACCTCCAAACAGAAATAACAATACACCGAGTAAACACTGTGCCGCCTCCATTGAATTGTTGACAGTTTTTTCTATCAGTTAAATATATCTTTTTACGACTCTACCATTATGAATGAACGATACCAGATTAAGGCCAAGGCCTGTCGACATGTGAATTGACAAAGCTGTAAGGAAATAAAAACTTGGCCATGAAAACTATGATCATTTACAAATAAGGATATTAGAACTCAAAACTAGTCATTTATCTGAAAATATTGTTTTTAAAGTATTGGTACGTCGGCCTCAAGAGGAATGATATTGTTGCTTATGCCTAATTGACAACATAAATAAAAGTATCTGCTAGCCCAGGTTGTCTTCATAAATTCACAAAAATTATAAAAACAATTATTTATGAACTAGGTACTCGGTACTCATATCCGAAATGTGTGGAACGATGCTGTGATCGGGTCACAAAGGTGAAAAGTTCAGAGAGGAGTGAAACATGTGTTAAGCAGTATTTCCACAAAGCCAGTAGAGCAGGTTACGGGGCAGGTTATTTGTAACCTTTTAATCTAATGTACCTAAGGCATGTACCTACACACCAACTGGCTTTGTGTAAATGCGGCTTTAGAGAAGAAAAAAACTCATTTAGCAAATACATAATTGCCAATTATGAAATAAAAAAAGCTGAATATTTTATATTTAAAATAAAAACAATGAAATGGAAGTGAATAATGCCAAAGCTTACGATGACTGAAGGCGAGCAGGGCAGATAGAACAATTTTAATCGGTAGAGTTTTTTGTTTAGTTTTATTGATTGGATGAGATGAATATCCAGAGGTATCAGTTATCTTGCGTTCAGATATTACAAATTCTACTGTAGGCCTACTAGAAATAACATAAAAAAAAGAAAGTTCTAAAAATATAAATAGGTTAGTATTTTTGGAGATGGAATTAAATATGCTAATGTTGATACGCATAAGTTTTATTCCATAATTTGAAATACCATATTAATCAGTATTAAAAATAACATTCAAATACATGTTTACATGTACATCGTTTGTATGTTAAGAATAACTATTTATCGTCCACGCTATGATAACACACTACCTTACCATTTGGTTTTTAAATCACAATTATATTAAAAATATATATGAATATACGATATTGTTCTACATTGCAAACAGCAACACTAAAATTGCTTTTCTACAGGAACACTATGCAGATGTGAAAGCACAAAGCTGTTATTGTACGTTGAAATATTCAATACAAGTGCAGTGGCACACTGTGATACGACGTTACGAGTCTACGACAGGAGCGAAACATCTTGGCTGAGAATACAGTTCAAATAGAATTGTTTTATTAACAAACCTTAATGGGAAAATCTGTATTTGTACCAGAACCTACGGTGAATGGCTGTTTTAACTACTCACCAGAGAAAAATATAATATTTGTAAGTTTGAGGTATACATTATACCCGTGCACACACATGACAGAAAGATCTTCCATTCTCAACTCCAAATTGAATCCATGCAACTCATCTTTGCTCAATCTATGCTGGCTGGTTAATCAGCCAGTGTAAACAAAGGACAGTCCTTAACTGAGTGATTCAACCCAAAGCTACATGAAGGATTGTTTGTTTACATTACCTGTTGCAATCTTCAATCATTATTTACCATTCACAGTTCAAAAGTGATTGAGATGAAAACAAAAAATAATTAAAGAAAGGAAAGTCTTGGGAGAGGAGTTGCTGTTAGAGTATTGCCAATCACACTCGTGGTCCTATTTAGTTGTATGTTATTTACATGGAAGTTCATTACCTCAAATTTCACAGAATTGTTAACTTAATACAATTTCTAGAAAAAATATTTTATGTGTGGACAAGTACATCCTCTAGGAGAAAGTCTTTTGCAAGAATGATTAAAATTCGTAAGTTTTTATTTCAGTAAGATCTTTGTATGTATATAAGCTAAAATTAAAATGTACATACACATATGGAGTTATATTTAGAAGCCAAGATGAAACGCTCCTCTAAACAATAAAATATTTTACCAGCATCTGTATAACACCACTGTAAATATTCGTGGTGTTATGCTAATTTTATTTACATCAAAACAACAATGCAACATTATCAAAAATAAGTAAAAGCTATTCAAATTCTGTAAAAATGCATTAAAATGTAAACTACACTTTATAAAATCTTACTTGTAAAAGTAAAAATAAAATTAATATTTCATTAAATGTATGGTTTTGTGCTGAAGTCGAATTGGCACTGGCTGTTGTATCAACGTTTTGCAAATAAGTTAAACTTCAAAACGGAAATTTTTTGTTATAGTGCGCTGTTTGGTCATAGTACCTCTAAGAGTAAAATATTGGACTTTTAAAATTCCATTTTACTTTCATCTCACAGTTTTAGTGTCATGTTATTGGAAAATCACTGTCAAACTATCTGTCTTAAAAATACTGATAGACATTTGGGAAAATCTTTAGTTCTGGACAAAAACTGACATGGATTTTGGTACAGAACGATTTTGAAAATTCTGTATGTAAATTATTTCAAGATACAAGTTAAGAAGTCCCAATAGCTTCTTTGATATCATTGACTATTGGATACAGAAGTATTAATACAGAATACAGAAGTGTATTAATAGTCAAGGTTGATCTATACTGTGATTTATTTATATTTTTACATGAAAATACTCACATCAAACTTGTGAAAATGAATTGTTAATCCATCAAATATTTCTTTTCCAAAAGCTTCACATACAAACTGAGAGTGCACAAGGGTCGAATCCAATTGATTTTGATAAAATAGGAACAAAATACTTCTCTGAGGTATTAGATTTGTTTCTACAAAATTTGTTCTCAATCGGTTGCAGTGATGTGTATGTGATTGTGTAGTGAACATGTAGACACATCACTATTTATGTTGTTGGAATGAAACTTCTCTTTGATTATAATCTGGAGGTCATTTAGGGTTTATCTGAATCACTATTAAAACTAAAACATTATTTTAGGTTCAGCCTGGGTGTATCTTTTTTATTATCGGGGTCTCCATAACTGATCCTAGCTAAACCATAAACTGATCTTGACATCAACACAACACTATCCTTTAAATCATTATACAAATTACATTGAACTACCCTCAGTTGTGTATCAGCTCCACAAATTATCAATAATTCTTAAAATTTGTGCTAGTTTGATTATAAGATACAATACAAGTTTTATGATAAATTAGAATAAAGCTATTTCAAACAACCAGTTTACAAATCTACGAGGGTCTTCCAAAAAGTAACAGTCGTTTTTAATACAAGATTTGACAAAGAGACCTAAGCGAAGAAATAGTTTTATCATTAATATTTTAAAGGTGAACTCTTAGAATGCATTTAACTAGGAAAAAAACTTAGTTAATTAATTATTTGATATGGCTCACTAGGCCAAACCCCAAACTTTGCAGTGTTTCACCATGTAGTCAGAGAAATATAGGATATGACCTTAAAAAAATTGCAAGAAAACGTTTTATGGTTTTATTTTGTAGTGTTGGGTTTGCAGAATGGTATACTAAAAGTTTCCAAAAATCGGTGCACGAGAAACCCACTAAAATCACAATTTAAAATGGCGGCTTTTACCAACATTGGACAAGTTAAAAAAAAAAAATATTTCACATGCATTTGTTATGCACATTTTTCGAGATATTGACTTGGGACCACCACCTGTATTTATTGGGTGGTTAGTAGTTCATTTTAATAGGCAACACATTTTTGGCCGCCATCTTGGATCCGCCATATTGGACATACATATTTTTTTTTTCAATGTAATGATAGTGTTTTGACACATCATTACAAACTACATTTTTACACTGATTTCAATATCGAAATCCGTTTTTTAATATCTTTTTTCATTTAGAAGATATACTCAATTGAAAACTCTCCCCTATACATTTCTTATGGACGTTTCGTAGTTTGATAATAAAAAAAAAGTTATTTTTCTTATATCTACAGTTCTTATAAATGCTTGCAGTTCGTTCTAGGCTTAAAATATTCAGTAATGTAAGGGCTTTCATTTGAGCTCTTGAGCATTAAAACCAGACGAGTTAAAGACCAGCCACAAATCCCAACACAATATTGAATTTAACTTTTTAGAAATTAGTTTTTATAAAAAGATTTATATCTCGGGTTGTTAAGGCGTCACCACGTTATTTATGGTCTTTAATTACTTAGCAAATGTTTGGCTTCAATTTTATTAATCACTAAATAAAATCAGGCAAATCTGAAGTGAGTCCTGGACCTTCATTTAACATGAAATTATTTTTATTTAGAAATTTGTCTTTAGTTTAAGACATATATCCCCAATTATAAATAACTACCAATAAGTAATCTTTAGCTAAAATCAAAGTCAATAATTTGACGAATTATTTAAGACTATAAGAGTTTTGGGAGTTATTTAGAATTGGGGATATACGTCTTTAACTAAAGACAAATTTCGTAATGTATACATTTTAATGTTAAATTAAGGTCCATGGCTCATTTTTTTATTGTAAGATTTTGGTTAATGATTAATAAAATCAAAGCCAAACATTTACTGATTAATTTGAGACCAGAAAGAACTTGGTGACGTATTACCAACCCGAGTTATATATCTTTTAATAACAATTTATTTCTAAAAAGTTAAATTTAATATTGTTCTGAAGTTTGTAGCTGGACTTTAACTTGTCTGATTTTAATGCTCAAGAGCTCAAATGAAAGCCCTTACATTACTGAATATTTTAAGCCTAGAACGAACTGTAAGCGTTAATAAGAACTAGATATATAAGAAAAATAACTTTTTTTTATTATCAAACTACGAAACGTCCATAAGAAATGTATGGGGGAGAGTTTATGTTTCAGTATATCTTCTAAATGAAAAAAGATATTAAAACACGGATTTCGGCATTGAAATCAGTGTAAAAATTTAGTTTGTAATGATGTGTCACAACACTATCATTACATTGAAAAAAAAAATATGTATGTCCAATATGGCGGATCCAAGATGGCGGCCAAAAACGTGTTCCCTATTAAAATGAACTACTAACCACCCAATAAATACAGGTGGTGGTCCCTAGTCAATATCTCGAAAAATGTGCATAACAAATGCATGTGAAAAATATTTTTTTTTTTTTATTTGTCCAATGTTGGGAAAAGCCGCCATTTTAAATTGTGATTTTAGTGGTTTTCTCGTGCACCGATTTTTGGCAACTTTTAGTATACCATTCTGCAAACCCAACACTACAAAATAAAACCATAAAACGTTTTCTTGCAATTTTTTTAACGATCCCTGTGTAAGTTTTTTTAGTTTGCTTGTACTAATGAATTGGAACCATTTTACTATGGCTTTACTTAGCATTAACACTATTATTCTCCTACATATTTTTCCCGACCATAAATTCCAGTTGGTTGTGAATTTTTGTTGAAGAAATCGAAATCATATCACTACATAACACACTCAACCTTGCATAAGAGTTTAAATAGCAGCGCCCAAACCAATCTTAACCACCAGTTTCAATTTGTTAACACCCAATACTAGACAAATTGATATGGTCCACTGGATATTCCAGCTGGATGTGTATTGAGTGTAGAATCACTTTGATGTTAAGTTGCTAAGTTGAAGGTCCTCTTTTTTCCACTTTCACAATAGGTTAAAACATCTGTTACTTTCTGGACAACCTTTGTATTGCAAGTTAATTGTAAAAACATCAAAAGAAACTCTAGGCCTAAGCAAGCACAATTAATTATATTACACCCAAAAACATTTAAATGACTTAAGCAGCTAAAATATATAATATATATGTTTACTAACATTAGAATTAATTTTCACAGCCCTTAAACAACAAACTATGTGAGCTAATTATTTTAGAAGTTATCGTAAATAATGTGTGTTATCGTATGTACAAACAACTTTTGATGGGAAAGTAAATTTGAAAATTTTAAAACAAAGGTTGACCGTTTTACAAAATTGTTGTTGAATGTGACTATCAGTTTTATTGTTTAAAATATAGCGATAATAGGGTGGCTTTACGTTGGTTTATCTTAATAATTTTCATTTCAATTTTTTAAACTATTTTGAATACCTACATTGAATATGTATTACAATACAATGGAATGCGTTAACTTTGTGTAGTCTTAAAACCCTTCTTGACTAGAATTATTGACTAGAATAGGGATACCTGTTGAATATTATTGCCTTGTAGTAAGTAAATTGTAAACTTACATCAAGTATCTTTTCAGCTTTTTTTACAAAATAATTAAGGAATTCTAGGTTTTAAAATACAATTTAATCATAAAGTTATAATTCATTTGCTGTTACAGCCAACCTGTGTATTGGAAACCAAAACATAATTTAATAGGTTCGCTACCGCAATAGTACTAAATTATTCATTCATATAGACCTGCAACACACATATACAGCAGTCGGTTTCCACCCATTTATTTATTCCGCCCACTGGTTTATACTGCCATCGCATACATGTGACTATCAATATTACTATGCGACGGCTGGTCATGTTAAAATAGACTGCTTCGCATATTTGCATCGGTGTCCCGATGTTATTAAAAAGCTTATATCTTCGTAACGGTATATTTGAAGGCCATGAATTCTCTGCAGTGGTCTACAGGGATGTCTGTCGCATATGTGCGTCACTTGGTCTGTGGATATGATGATTGGTGAAGTCATATGATAGTTGGCAGAACTGTTTTTTACTTTGCTGCATCACTGGCCCGTGGTCTGCTTGTACTGTTAGTGTTAACCGAGTGACACCCGGTCTATGTCTAATATTAAAATGTATACCTCGGTCCGTGGCAATGACTGCTGTGTCGTATATATGTGGCGATCGGTAGCGAACCCCCTTCCAGCGGTTTAACACCCCGTTTTAACACCCTTCTAGCATTCATACATTTATTAGTATTAGATATGATATATATTAATTTAAACCTAAACATAGTAGCTACTAAACACTGTTGTATAACAAACTTACTAAAACTAGAAATCTAGTTAAAATTGATAAATGTTACTATAATACTGACTTTACTGACTAGAACAATTTACCACTTATATACAATTTAAAGCTTTATATATCGGGCAATAAGAGTTAAAAAAGTTGTACAACACCGTACACTAATTGATTAAAAATAGTTTACATTGTTTGTTAGCACCTATTACTTGATACACTAATAATGACATACACTATTCTATCATCGACACAGGGTATAGTAAATTAGAATATTAAAATACATCATATAGTTTTGTTTAGGTGAGTACTTTTTCACTACTGATGTGACCTGCCGGGCGGAGAGCGGGACCTGTCATCGTTGACTCCACGAGTGTGGATGTCTGTGAAAATAAACTCAAAATGTCATAAATCATACAGATTAAACCTTTTTAACCTTTGGTAATAGTAGCCTGGTATTTAAAGATTTTAACTTACAAAAATATAAAATATGTTTTTAGGAAAAAGCATTTAGCTTGGATTAAATAAATATATAGGATGGAGAGGACACAGCTAACTCACCTGATGAAAGGTTGCAGACGAGTCAAAGAACACATAAAATTATGTGTGTGTTTTATGTGTTCTTTGACTCGTCTGCAACCTTTCATCAGGTGAGTTAGCTGTGTCCTCTCCATCCTATATATTTATTTAAAAATATAAAATAGTAGCTTTTCCTTTATTTTCACAGGGGGAAGAATGTACAATGTAAGACTGCAGTACTTTAGAGTTACCTCAAGTATTTTTTTTTTATGTTAGATAAAAGTTACCAAATATATTAAATTCAAAATATCTTTAGACAATAAGAATTTTTAATAAATTTAATGAGTAACGGAGACGATTTACAGAAATATCATTTCTATTGTCATTGAGCTAAATGTAGACATCGTATAGTGTTGATGTCGTTAGCTATACTGTTTTGGATCAAGCTTCTCTTACAAAGTAACTTTGTAAGGTTTGCATTTGTCAAAAGTAGAATGTCAGTGGTTGTAAGGGGAAGACAGCTTTTATGTTTTATGTTTTTTTTAAGGTCTGCAATGACTGCTGTAAAAACAAAAAGATGAAGCAGGAAGAATCCATCCATAAACAAGTTGATTGGTATTTGATTGACAATGTATTTTTATTGGGAAAATATTTAATTTTTTTAAATAAAATTCAATGTAAATTGTGTAAATATAAATATATATGTGTATGTGTGTGTGTGAGAAAAAGTAACTGATGCGATTATCCAGAGATGGGCTACAACAGTCAGTTGCTTTTTAATAGTTTGAAACTGAGCCCAGCTGTCCTTGATAATTGGGTGTTAGATAAATGGTCCTGACTAAGGAACAGCTGATCTCAATCTGTAGCAAAGCTATCATATTTTCCATTCTTCACTCATCCTTCATTCACACTCTGGTTAAGATACACCCAGTTGCATCCACGTTTTAGTAATGTAATTGGTATGTAATGTACCTCGGTGTTTGGAGATGCTCCGCTCTAGTTGCTGCCGCAGTGAGTTGGCGTCCAGCAGTGCCAGATCTAGTGGTGGGGGAGAGAGAGGTGGAGGAGGCGGGGGTGGCGGCACCACACTCCGCTTCACTGTCAGCTCCTTCTCCCGTGTCGTGCTCGGGTCCGCCAGGTTGACACTGTACGACTTCTCAATCAGCTGACGTCGTTTCAGCTCCTGCGTCTTTTCAGCCTCTCTAGTCATCGCTTCGCACTGCTCCCGCAAAACTCTCTCCTCCGACTCCTTGGCTAAACATCAAGTTATGTTTAAAAGGAAAGCCAAGTGATTGAGATTTATAAAAAAATGGATCAGGTTAAGCAGCTTACTTACTACTGGGGCCACTGGTAACCCAAATCGTACTTAACCTCACCTAAACACTGCCAGCTATAGTTCAGCTGGCTTATGTAAAAAAATTAAAAAATGTACAAAACATAACACTGATATATTGTTATTTGAGTGTTGCGAGTTTTAACCACCAAATATAAACATTACAGACTCCAGAAATCCTATTGATCATTGTATACTTCAGCTTACACTATTAAAGGTATAATATATTTAAAGAGCATTTAGCATACATCATACATCAGGTACAGCATAGCATTTATTGTGCAGCATGGCTGTTTTTGAGGCACTAAATAATGTGCATGCATGTCTAACAAGCACCCACTAATAATTTAACTTCTTCAGTAAGTTAACTTACAATTTATTACCTTTGAGAGCCGCCTGAACCTTGCTAAGTTCTAAAAGCAGTTTTTGCCGTGTATTCTCAAACTCTTGTTTCATCTGAGACTCAACAATTTCCCGCTGGCGCTCTTTCTGTGATTGTTCCTGCAACTGACATTTGAACAATGGTTCTTTTAGCAATGATTTCTGGACTGGTTACAGTTTGATTAGTGAGTTTTCAGTTTTGAATTATTTAATCTAAACCTAAATATCATTAACTATAACCAAATATTATATATACATATAGTTTTAAGAGGCAAAAAACTATGTTTACTGTTGATGTATCACAATGATGTACATTGTCTGTGATGAATAACAGTTTTATTTCATTTCATTTAAACATATTTTTCATCATCATAATGTGTTAAATATTTAATTCATTTGTTGTGAAATTCTCAAGCTATAATGTAATTACCGTGACCGTAGTAAAGCTGAGAAATTTAACTGCTTACAAATAACATCAGCTAAGCAGACACATTTTTTTATTAAAAGCATCTCGAGCCATAGAGTTAAGTTTTTGTTCTTATCCTTATGAAGTACAAGATGTAAGAAATAATTTATATTGACCATAAAGTAAAATTGGATTTTAAAAATTAGAAGTTGTGTCAAAACCCCCACTAATCAAATTTATAGGATAGGTTTTTAAAATAGGAGCCATTGGAGCCCTATAAAATATAGTTTTTTACGTTTGAGCTTGGAAATTCCATAAAAAACTTTGTTTTATTATTGCCTATGCCTATTAGAAACAAAAGGCATGAAAGTGCTTTTCCAAGTGCTTTAAAGAAAAATCAATCTGAAAACCGCTAAAATGTTTGTGGATATGCTGAGATGAGGAGGAAACCTAACACTCTCTTACCAAAGTCCGTGACACTAGCGACCAAGCGTCCAACAGATTCGAAAATTTTGATTCTAATTACTCTCTTTTCCCTATTTTATTCAAATCAAAATCCTCAAATCAAATTTTAAAAATTGTCATCAGTGTTGTCATCAAAACAAAAGAAATTGTTATTGATTGATAAAACTTTTTCTGTGTAATACCTGGAGTTTGCAGGATTTGGTTTATTTCTGTAAGTTTTGCGTTGAGTTTGGTCTCACTGTCCAACAAAGCTTGCTGCCGTATCCTTGCTATGGGCCGTTTCTTGATTCGCTCTCAACTGTTCCAGTTCTACTCTGGGAACAAACTCCTTTTCTAATCTTCGATTCAAATTTTCCAATTCAGCCTCTAAGTCAAGCTTCTTCTGCAAAAGAAATAAAATTATAAAAGTGATATAGAATCAGTTTTTTTGTAATGTTAGTAAAATCATTTTAAATTCTTCATTTAAATTGCAGCTTAAAGGGTAGTAATTTGTAGATATTTGGTAACATATAAAAAAAGTATATTGATTATGATAACACAGATTGATAGATGTGGATGTAGCTGAGAATTAGTATATAAAACAATATATAATGGCTTGTGAAATTTTCCAACATTTAAAATTTTATTGATTGCACTAACAAAAAAATTAAACACTCAAAACAATAACCCTCTAAAAATCTAATTCAAGACTTTGCATTGTTCCATCTATCCACTCCACATTTAACTCAACAGTGTTCCAAAGGATAATTTTATTTATCTTATTGTCTGGAAGTTTAATCATACTCTAGGATTATTAATTTGTGGTGTGTGGGTATCTAGACCTTTTTGAATATGCATTTTGCAGATCTTGTGCTGAACAATCTAAATTACTAGCTGGGTTGCAAGTCAAACATAAATGTTTCTGTTAGAACAACATCAAACATCTAATACCAAATACCAGTAATTGTCCACAATAGGTATCTCAGCACCAACATATTCCATATTACTAAATGGTGTTTCATATAATTAAACACTCTTTAACATGATCAAGCATTATAAAAATGTGACACGTAGTTTGATAAATAAATCAAATAAAAATACTTTAATCGAGGTTTAAAATCATGAATGGTGAAATTCAAGGGCTGCAGGAGTAATGTTGATAAAAATGAGTTGTGGAAATGAGGTGGCAATGACCAAAGGGCCTATGTGCTGGAAATTTGTATACCAGTCTGTAAAGAGCTTCCTTGTTGGATGAAACCCTAACTAAAACAGCAAACGTTTTGGAAGAATATAAATATTGATCAAATCAAGATTAGTTTGGCTAAGTAGGATAAGTTTACATGGATAACATGACTAAACCAAACCAATATCAAACCAATGATCCTACAAACACTAACAGCATGTCTATAGAGATAGTTGTTGATAGTTTCCAAGAAGTTACGTTACGCAGTAATCTATTTTCTGACCAGAATAAAAATTATGCAATAGGATTGCTCTACAACGAGCAGTAAAATAACAGAATCTTCTAAAATTTCAAGTTTATCAACAGTCAGTCAAGTATGTATATGCAACACATAAAATTATTTACAACATGCCATAACAATAACACATTTGCAACACTTAATTTCACATTAAAGTGCATTTGAGAATTATGTGAAGGATTCCAGCAATATATCGATGCTGACTGCTAAGATACCTATCGTTAACAATCACCAAAGCAACAAACATACCAATAAAACATCAAAGTTACAGCAAAATTAAAAGAGCAACTTTTGTTGACTGATTTTATGAAGTTTAATTTTGCAATCAAAACACGACAGTTATCAAAAACAATTTACCTGCAGGTCTAATAGCATTTTTTGGACTTGGTTTTCAAGTGCGGAACTTCTAGATTTTTCCTGTTGAAGTTGCAGTTGTAAAGTCGCTACCTTCAAACAATTTTATGAAACTTAACATAAGGAAAAAATTATAATAGGCTAGGTATTATAGTATTCAAAAGGAATTTCAGAATAAAATAGAAATAGATCACTTCAACTACTTAAATAGTGGGTCAATTAATGTTACATTTCAACCAAGAATGTAAGGCAATTAATTGTTTAGTATTTTATCATACAATAAACTCGAAGCAATTTGTTTTCAATATTCCAGTCGACAAAAAAATCATAGGAATGTCAGAATCCAATATATTTATTATTTACCACAAAAAGATTACAAAACCACACAATTTTTGTCTAAATGGAGATAAAAAAAAATGGCTATTTGAAAAATTCTATTGATCCAATTCCACTTTTCTATACAACGACCAAACTAAATAACTAACTTGTAATGTTGTTAGTTGTTACCTGATTATCAATAATTGTGTCTTCTATACAGTATGTTTCCTTGTTGATGTCCAAACTGTCTTCTAGTTCTAAAGTTTTCTCTTTACTTTCAATGCAGTTTTGATTTGTAGTACTCTGGGACACAAGAAAAAACTAATAACTTATTCATTATTTAGGAAAATAGGAAAACAACATGAGTTAGCTAGTTTGTTAGCTAGCATACTTGGGAATAACTAATAGAAATTCTAACGAATAGCGCTATTAGTTAGTTTTTTTGGCTAACTTCTATTTTATTAGTTAGTTTTTAAAAAGAGCTGGAAATAACTTCTACTCAGTTAGTTTAATAGACAACGAATAGATAATATATTCGCTAGTTTTAAATCGTTAGCTTTTCTGGCCAGGCGAAAGTATTTCCAGTAGGCTACGGGTTATTTATTTTACGTGTTCAGTGAGGGTTGCGTGCGTACGTGAGGGGTCAGCGCCCTTGCTGACAAACAACGTGGGGGTGGGGAAAGAGAAAGTCAAAGTCCAGTCGCTTTGGTATGCAGCGGACCCGGGGGGCGACCAATGGCAGCCAATAACAACACCCCAAGCACCAAAGGGTGGGAAGGGGGAATGTTTGTTGGCGATTGATATGTACTGTAATCTCAAGGGTCAAAACAATGTCTTCACTTCAGTCAATTTTCAATATCTGGCCGTGACAGGTGTTAATTTTTTGTTAGTTTCTTAGTTGTCTTGTCGTTATATATATTTTAGTGATAGTTAAATATTTTAAATACATAAGTTATTAGGGTGAACAGTTTTAATTAAGTAGGAGTAGATTAATAATATTTGTTTGCAATGGCGGGCGAGTGTGATATCAAGTGACCAATCTTAAGTGACATATTTCAACAAGTTGAATAAATGAAAGGGTGGAAACACATTAAAATATTTATTGTTTGTACCCAAAACAAAGATAATTAAAGCATCTGTCACAAGTGCTTTGAGGTAAGTGGAGAAAAAGTATGATGGTCTCGTTTTTAACTTGAAGTAGAATAGGCCTATATATATTTTTTTAATGAATATAATTTTTATTTTTTAGTACAGTTAGTTATAGTGTGTTTCTCATGTGTTTCCCATGCTCTTTTAAACTTTATCTCGCCACAAATAGGTCACTTTTAAATTTAGTAGTAAACTATACTTTTATCACACTGGAAAAACTACTTCATCAGACTTTAAAAAATTATCTGATATTTCGTAATCCATTAATTGCTTTCCATTAATTGTTGTACAATACATTTTAGTGTAAAATTCAGCTAATTGAACATCAACAAACTGTGTTTTTACCTAACCGGGAACTTCAGTTGTAACTTATGTCTGTGTATCGAAAGTAATGTTTATGACAGGAAAGGTGAGATGGATCACTATTTGTTTTTGTCTTTTGAACTATTGAAAACAGAGTGATGACAAGTTTTTGTACCACCTTTGTCGGGGAAATAAATATGTGCACTCGAGTTTGAGCCTAAATATATCTGAGATGAATTATCCGATTTTGTTGAAACAAAAATTAAATATAAGCTGGTTTAAATACATTTTACATGGAGTCAATTAAAAAGATTTCCGTTTACCAGAAAAATTTATATAGTTGAAATATCCTAAAAAGTACCGGTTTTTAAGAACTGCACTAACACTGAAGTTTAAAATTTATTTGTAAACAAACCACTGAGCCAATCTTTCTGAAATTTTTATGGCTTGTTGGTAGATTCATTGTTAACATTTCCATGCATTAAAAAAATTTTATTCACAATAGTTTTTATGCTGCTGCTAATTTTTAAAACGTATGATTTCTCCCGTGACTGGTAGCGGGTCACCTGGTGTTTGTACAATATTTCCCAGCCGGGCGGGAGCACGTGCGAATCTGCGACGTTGCCGATGTGTACCGGACTACCACACTGACATTGCTTCAGTATTCACTCACGGCAAACTAATGTGTAAATCATTATTCAGTTATAAATTTACATAAATTTACTAACAAAATATTCACTAGTCATGAAACAAATACATTATAATAAGATAACTACAAATATAAATCTACAAATTAAAAAAACACCTTTGTTCACTGCGAACGCCTGTTCAGAGCGGCAAGCCTAGTCATCACTAACAGAGTAACAGACGAGGAAGAATCAGCGACACCAATTTTGAAAAACAACTTCTTTTAAAGTTTAATAATAGACATATAAAGTAAATTTTGTTGTAGTAATGAATGTTTTTACATTACATGTAATGTAAATGTGACGATGTTTAATTAATATTTCATTAAAACACGATAATTAGTAACCAAGATGTGTCATTATTTCATTACATATGAAATCCTTTAAAACAACCGTCCAACAAACAGCTATCTTCTACAAATGTTGAAAACTAACTTTATTTTCTATCAGTTAGTTTTTCAACTAACTATTAACTTCTATCAGTTACTTTTTAAACCAACTAACTAGTAACTTCTATCAGTTAATTTTTATGGGACTAACTTCTAACTTCTAACTAGTTAGAAATTTTGACTAACTTTCCCAACTATGTTAGCTAGTATGGTATAATATGTTTTAAGTTTCTATTCCTGAAATACACTAAATTCTAATTATATATTTTTTTCAAGGAAAGAATCTAGGCAAGGATTTTTAATTGTAGAAAAGGAGGATAGCAGCTAGCTTACCTTGAAGAAGTGTATGTACGCCATATATACAACTCAATATTTCGTCCCCTGAGGGACTTTGTCAAGTGTAGAGAAATTATTAGGCTTAATAGACCTCTATACTCGGCAAAGTCCCTCAGGGGACGAACTATTGAGTTGTATATATGGCCTACATACACTTCTTCAAGGTAAGCTAGCTGCTATCCTCCTTTTTCTACAATTCTCAATTGTAATTAAGTTCAGCATATTCAATACCAACCCAAACCTGTCAATAATTCAATTGCATTGATCCAGGACCTAAGCTCTTATGACATAGCTTGGGACAATATTTAAATATTAAACCTTATTTATGCTTAGGTACCAATTTTTTGTTTGTAATAAAAAAAACCACAACTTTACATATTAAGTCTAGATGCTCAAAAAATCTCTATTGTATGTTTTGGCAAGACCTACGATAACACACTTAACATACAACATTCTGTTTGCTCTTTTGTAGTTATCAATAAACGATTAATCAGTAAGAAAACAATAAAATGTATGTAATAAGGGAAAAATATCCTAAGACAATACAGTTAAGACACACACATTTAAACATGACATGGATAAGAAGAGAACTTACAGTGTTTTTTGTTTTCAAACGTCCGCTGTTTTTCTCATCTCTGAATTTTTTGAATGCAGCTTTGATTTTGTCAATATGTTGGTTGTTTTCCATGAGGCACGGGTCACACAAAGCCTCAATTTGTTCTAGCTTGGAAAGGGCTTCTTCATACCTGTTTCAAAAAACAAAAGCATTACCAAATCATTCAAGAACTATAAATATACCGGACCGGTATCAGACCTTATACAATGTAAAACTATTATTTTCATATTTTACATTTCAGCTTAAACTTTGTTGCCGGACCACAAACAATTGGTGAAAACAATGAATTGGTTTTGGTTGACTTTGAAAGGTGGCAGAAATAAGTTAATAAAACCACAGTTGCAAGAGTATGAGTGTTGAGTATTTAGTACGGTATGTGAAATAAATATTAAGGGCTCTGTCTTAATTTTTCTTCCTATGAAATGGGTCAGTCTCAGTAGTAAACAATATTAATCTCAATCGTAGATTATATATACTTCCAATTAGATTTGTCATCCTTGTGAATCAGACTTAGGTAATCCATTAAGGTATGATTAATTATTTAAGTCAGATTAAGGCACGAATATTTCTTTATGGTTTATATTGATTGTGTTTTTTTTAGCAAATTTATATTATATTATATTTAATTTATATTATATTTTAGCTTATTTCCTATTTGGGAAATTCGCTATTACCTTTATTACCGTAGGTCTCATGGTAAGACCTAGACCTAGACTGATTTGCTTTTTCGTTTTGAGGTCCCCAGAGGCCAAAAACACCATCCGTTCAAATTCATATACCTATATATATATGTGTCCGTTAGCGCAATAACTCAAGCAAAAATGATCAGATTTTTGAAAAATTTGGTACAAACGTGTAAACCTACGTTTATTTGAATGAGTTTGCAAACCAGCATATAATCGAACAATGGGAACGGGGGTTTGTGGTGGGTTTTATGGGGTAAAAATTGATTTTTCCCATTTTTGACCCTAAAAACACAACATTTTATAATTTCTCTCCAAACCATTTTGAAGAGCTTAAAAAAATAAATATTTTTCTATATCAAAGCGTTGCTGTACACCCAACAGTTACGGAAATAATTAAAAAGTAATAAATTTAAAATTTCCATGTTACTCTTATGGAAAATAAATAAACAAACTGTTGTAGTTTGCTTGTTTATGGATATATTTTAACCAAATTTGGATATTGTCTTCATTTAATAATAAGTTATCAACATTGTAATAAAAAAACACACCTTAATATGTTCCCTGTAGCAGCAAACCTAATTACTCACTAAAATTAATGTTATTTAAATGGAAATAAATCTGACAATTTTAAGGGAATATTTTAGTAGTAATCCAGCCAGGCAAATGGAAATTCGCTTAGTCTGCAGGTTTGCTGCGGCGGGGGTATTTATGTTTACTATCTTGTCTGATTCTGTCTAGTAATAAAAACAAAGAGTAAAGTCATGTGGAACATTCAATCCACCCTCAGACAAGACTATTTAATTCTCATCAACTTTCAAGATTACAATATTTAGGCATACACAAATGATGAATTGAACACTGTGATTTAATCCAATTCTAAATCGATCCACACCACTTGCACTCAATAGCTGTATCCAACAAGGCTTGTGCCTAAAGAAAAATGCCTTGGTGGACTATGGAATAACAAGTTCTATTTGTAAAAACAAATTGAAAGTGGTTCAACTCACAGATTCTTCCAATGTATCGTGTCCTGTTGCAGCTTCTTTATGTCCATGATGTGTTGAGCAATCAAAGTTTCCTTTTCAAATTCTATTCTTTTCTTCGCTTTGTTGGTTTCATGCAGTTGTCTGATCAGCTGTTGTGTACTCGGGTCGGGTTTGTGCTCTTTTTCAACATTTATCTGTAACAGTTGGTGAATTGTTTTACATTTGAATGAAACGCAAATATGACACTGCTACAGTTTGACGAGACCCGATTGTCATGACGCAAACTGGAACAAATTAGTGAACTATTTGAAACTAGTTCTACCCATTTAGTTGTATGGACCTTAAATTCCAGTTAACATCCTCCTAGGTATTTTAAATGCAGGTTTCTTTTCACAGTCATAACTTGATAACGGTTTGACGGATTTTAATGTTTGAGGTGTCAAATTAAAGGTATTTTCACGTAGATGTGCAAATACGTCTCAGAATATTAAGAAAGGGCATCACTTAAGTACAGTTAAGGGCTAAAGTTTGGGAGCGGTGGCGCTATCTGTTGACATTAGATCAATCCATCAAACTCCATTCCCTTTGTTTACCACTAAACATATGGACGTAGTTTGAAACGCACAGATCTATAAGTACGACGTTGGCACTGGAACCCAACAGCACATGTAAAAAACAAATAATGCAATGAAAAAATATAATTTTTTTCAACATAATATTTTTTACATTTCTATAATCAGTCATAGAAATTACTTTAGAGTGACTCTATGATTGAGTTTTTACTGTATATGTTTTTTGTTCTTCATTATTTTATTACAAGTTGCAGTTTTGCTCGATTTTGAGCAACAGGCTATCTAGTTTTATATGAATTATATTTTAATGATGAAATTCTGAATTTAGTCATGACCAGCACCAACCCTTCATCTTTATTATTTGGCTGAACAGGATCTTTATATTATCGTTGGACAGCAAAAAGGGCAAAACGAGAGATGGTTTGGCTTGATTTGGAGAAAAACTACTGAAGCAACGTCTGGCGGCCGTGTGAAAAATCCCACCTTAAAGGGTTGATTGACTCACTGTGCAAATTACATGACATTATCACAAGTTGTTTTTACCAAGTGGCTTTTAAAAGGCAGTGACGTCTTTGCCACACATATTTTACTCGCATGTTTTTATATGGGAATGAAATGTCTAGTTTTATATATGGCCAAAGGTATTAAGTTACTCAATAATACTAACCATAAATTTACTATCAACGATTACAAAGACAACCTATATTTTTGGTGAAAGGGAATATAAATTTAGTTACGATCGTCTGCATCAACAGACCCACAGTCACTCACCCTTGTCACATCCCGTAAGTGTTTCAGTTCGATCTCTGCGTTTGTGAGTCGTTGCTTCAGCATGTTCAACTCGTCCAGAGTTGTAGAGTATTTGGAGCTCAGGCGAGACAGCTCATCTTGCAGAATTACTATTTTGTCATCCCTCACTACAATACTTTGATTTGCATCAGCCAAGTCGTATTGGATTCTGTCATTTTGTTCCTTAAGTTTGGCCGCCGTCTCTTCTAGTTTCGTTTTCTCCTCGGTCGTTTGTTTAAGGTGGTCTTTCAGCATGCTATGATGACTCTGTAAAACAAATCAGCGGCAAATTAGAGTGTTTGAGGGTTGCATTTTTACTCTGTATGTAGAAGGGATGTCTGGAAATGAGCTCCAGTTCCGGCATGCGTTCTTTAACTCATTATTATTGTAGCTATTTTCCAACTTCTTAGCTTACAACGATATGAGGGAATATTAACAAACCCATCAAGTATGACTAAATTTCTGTGATAAGATTTGTGAGATGCAAGGGGGTCAATCCTTAGTAAGCCAATAATAATCCTTAATAAGACAAGTTGATGGTCTGCATGGATAAAAGTGTTTTGTCATGGAAAATATGCGCAAGGGGTGGGAGGAGTTTTCTGATATTGGTAAAAACGTTCATGATGTTTTGCACAGCAGTGGTCGTTCATCAGTTTCATTTCAGTCAATAACCAAGGTTAGCAACGGGGATCTTGGTACTGTATAACTAAATAAGATGTCTAAATTAATAGGGAACATCTCTAAGACACCAAGGTCAACGGTAAACTTTGGTAGTCTTAAACAAGCTTAGGTACAAACTGATAGACACACCTGCTGCTGGCTTCATGGTTGCAAAGTGTTCAGCTTTCTACGAAGTCACTAAGCTCTATACACACACTTTTTACTTTAGTACACTTTTCTACATGCACATCCGTCAACTAGGAACAACTTCAATAGGAATTGGCTCCAATAAAAAATGTAATTGCAGAACCTGAATAGCAGTAGCGATAATTTCGCCTCACATTGGTTAGTGCAACAAGACATCGTAGGTAAAAAGTGGTAACAGTCTAGAATAGTAGTGAAAAGTGAGGGAAGTAATTATCGTGGAGATAGTGCAAGATTAGTAGCTTGTTTGGATTTGAATAAAGCTTTTTGGAAACCTTAATTTTGGGACAACACTTGAACATTCTTGAATCTTAAGTTTTTTATAATGAATATGTAATTTTTTTTACAGAAAAGATCAAGCAACTAACTAGACATTACCTTCAAAATATAAGAATGAGAAGGAGTGGCGTCCGACTGTGAGATACTGGCAGAACCTGAGTCTGAACTGGTACTCGCATCTTCATTACCTGCAAAATACATACAGTCATAACTAAAATACTACATACTGTGTTAAAAGCAAACATTCATACTATGTTTAGCATTTTTTTAGTACAAGATTAAATAAAATAGAGTAACTTTTCTTTGTAATCAGCCATTTAATTCCAGAAGATATATGTCAAGTAGGTGGACTAACTTGAATTAATGTAGCCTAACAAATAGTTTTTCGTGGGTACCAATGCATTTACATAAATATATACTGTCTAAATAAATCTCATTCTCACACTAGCATTCACACTATGTTTACTTAGTACTAACATTTCATACTATAATCAATAAGGTACATTCAATAGAATTTACATTTACACTGTAATGATTAATTTTGTGCAAGTTAGGAGGCCTACTTGATCGTTCTCATAATTTTTTTAAATATCGAAAACTGATAAAAAAAAAACAATTGAAGCAGTACACTTAGGAATTTATTTTCTATGCAAAATTGTTAAAACTTGTTATAATTTGTTATTTTTTAAATATTTTTACTAAGTTAAAACATTGTGCGTTAACTTGCTTAGGCGGGTCAGCTGTTCAATGCAAAGTATTACATTAAGTAGTAGTTTTGTAGTAGCCCAAATCTATATATCTAATTCCGTAAGCCCAAAATTTTACAATGAAATTGTGAGGTAACGGGAGGTCGTAGAAAGCTGGGAGAGGTCTCATTTTAAAGGTCTGGGCATGAAATTTTGGGGAAAATTATTCATTTTTCTTAATTATGCACCAAAAGGTTGTTACGGAATAAAATAATTCACATTAAAATAGCATGGGAATCTAGGTCATGTCTGCTTTGTTTACTTTAAAACATATGGTTTAACTTTATTTAAAACATATGGTAATATCATTAATATATGTAATATGTACTGTATGTATATTAACCCTGCAGAGAGGTTGAACATACCTATCGACTATATCAATTCAATTACACTATCTGGAATGCCACCACAAAAATTAGTTTTAATAGTTGTTTCAATATTGATGTTCATAAGAAATATGAATCTAGGGTCTGGATTAGTTAATGGAGTACTATTGGTTGTGTTAGGTATGTCTGAAAAAGGTGTAAAGTTAGTAGTAATTACTGAAGTAAGCAAAGGGAACATATTTTTCATGCCAAAAATAATAACTTATAATATGGTATGTAATAACTATTATACATATTATAATATTAAAAATGTTAAACGATAATCAAGGTAGGGTGATCCATGAGACTAATAATTTGTATAAAATAATTACTAGATATATACATAGGGGCTATTGCCCCTACAAGCCACTAGTGAATACTAAGCTAAATCAATTACACACTGTTTACAAACAACTTTAAAAAGTAAGATATCAGATAAATAAGCATATAGCAGCAAAGTTATAGACTAAACAAATAAACTGTACTCCGTTCACAAAATTTAGGCGCTTTGAGGGGAAGCGATTCCATCTCTCCACCTCACTCTAACTTTGAAACAACAGCCAACAGATGATCACTTGATATATAGATTAATATAAAAAAAGTTATGGGGGAATCCAGGAAACCTTCTCCTTTAACTGCCTAAATTTTGTAAAAGGGCGATAGTTTCTTTATTGGGATGTAATTACAATTTTAAATAGTTTTAATACTATGTAATGTTTACTGGACTTGGAAATAAGTGTAAAATAAAACCGATTTTACACTTATTTCCAAGTCCAGTAAACATTACATAGTATTGCAGCTACAAACATTAACACTATTAACAGAAAATAGTTTTTCAAACAAATTATAAGAATATTACTATAAATAAACTTTAATTATTATTTAATACTGGGACAGTCAAATTATATTTTGATTGACCTGATGATTTATTCAGGTAATTAGGCCTAAGGTTTGAATTTCATACCTTCTCTCTCGCCTTTTTCTTCGTCTGAATCCTTTTTCCTAGAACAAGAAAACCCTTTTATGAACTTAACGTAATAACAAAATTTAGTTCAAAACTTGTTTAAATCTTGAGTTATCTTTGTTGGTTGAGAGAACTATCCAACAGATACAACTATTGGTTATGGTATAATTTGAAACTCTAAAACACTGCAAAGGTTTTATAGGTTTAGTGTAATTAAACATTAGGAAACATTTTGAGCTAATTTAATTAATAAACTCAACTGATTTTAATAATCCGTGAATTATCTTAAGTACATAACTACTAGATTCTCCAAAAGCTGGCAAGCACAGATGTTAAAGAAGTACTACCACTACCAAACATTTTAACTGTTCCAAATATTTTTAAAAAACAAATTTCTAGCTCTGTTTTACACAGTTGTTTAGAGGGTGTATAAATGAAATTGAGTGGAGGAGGTAAAATTAAGAATTTATTAAAATTCTTATTTATATAAATATGTCCAAACTGACTTTGGCAAATACTTACATGCCACTGTTGGCAGAAGCATGTTGATTGTGAATCACTGTGTCTTGACGAGAGAAACCTCCTTCTTTTCCTGTGCTGACCCAAAACGGAGGATCCTCATCAGAATCTTCACTGTCCACAATTGCATCTCTCATTGCACCAAACTTCTTACGTTTGTGATGCAGCGATCTTTCACTCCAATCTGAATCACTTTCTGATTTTTCACATAAAAGACGTTCTTTACCGTCAGAGTTGACTTTCTTTGTTGGTTCTTCATATTTCATCCTCTCCATGTACAATGATATCGATCGTCCAACAGCTTTTCTCTTAGACTCATGACTGTCACTTTTCTTAGTGTATGTAGTATCAGACAACTCTTTTCTCAGTTTCTTTACTCGCATAGGACGTTTGGGACTTGCATCAGTTTTCTTGGTATTTTCAGAGAGAGTTTTGCTTGATTGAGCTGAATCAGGATAGTTTTTCCCTTCATTTGGCCTCTCGGGCATACTTGATACAGTAAGGGTTCGTTTCCAATCCATTATTCCATTATTGCTTTCACCCCTTGAACCTTTCCCTCTTTTACATCGAGGCGGGAGCTCCAAACTATTGTAGAACTTATGTCTGTTCTCGTGAGAATACATTTTGTTCCTAGAACAGGTAGAATTACTTCTCGGTTTTGAGGACTTTTTATTTTCCAAATACTTCTGAGACTTTGGTGGAAGTTTATTTTCAGGTCTAGAATCACATCCAGCCTCCAAACTCGGGTGATCCGGTTTTGTTTGACACCTATTCTTTGGATAATTTTCCCCATCGTAGTTTACACCACCATCCAAAGACTTTTCCAAAGTAGAATACTTCAGGCTCAACACATCTACAGTGTTGGACTTTTTCATATGGTGGTGGTTTTCTCCAGTTGCACTAGACAAGCTACTAATCTTTACATAGCTCTTGTTTAGTCGCTGAGACCTAGACTGTTCTTTCTGCGTCAGTGAAAGACCTGTCTTGGATATAGCTCCTCTTTTAGGTTCCAGCATATCACAGCTTAGACTAGGATTCAGGTTAGATTTGGCGTAATGCCTCCCCTCCAGAACTTTGTTCAACAACTCTTCCTTTATTTTCTGTTCCTCAGCCAATTCCCTGAGAGCTTCATCATAACACTGCAGCTGCTCATCAATACTCCTTGCGTCCAAACAAGTCACGTCTGACTTGGCAGGCTTGCTTAGAACATCCACGCTTTTACTCCAGTTGTAGGAAGACACTGACACCGACTTATTTCTGGAGTGATGGTGAGTTGGTTTTTTCGCTTCATCAAGTAACTCCAACGAGTGTGATTCTTGGAAGACATTCCGCTTCACCACCGTTCCCACAGGCGATTCTTCTTCCAGGCTGTCTAGCGACTGGGTAAATACGTCATTTGTGCTCTCTTCAGTTTCCAAAGAGTAAACTCCGCTGAACTGTTCACTATCGAGCTTATCACAAGACTGGGAACTTTCTATCTCACTGTACTTGGAACCACAATCATCAAGGTTATCTAGTGACTGAGATTCTCTCACAAACCTTTTAGTTTCTTTTTGTGATTTATTCACAAATTTCAAGTCCGTAATGACAGTTAAATTGTCCATAACGTTGGCATTTTCTTCTTTGGTGTTATCAAGAACATCAGTTTGTCCCGTGTCATGTACTGCAGCATTTGTGATAGTAAGATGAGTGCTTGACTTTTCTACTGGACTTGGAATATTTGCTGTTTCCCATATTTCATCTGAACACTTCATTGTTCCATCTCTTCCTAATGTTCCATCAGGGGATATCTAAAAACAAAACAGGCAAATATCAGTGAAAAGTCATAGGCATCATAAACATAGGTTTGCTTTGACCAAAACTTAGTTTTCTTTGTACCAGGGATAACTAATTTATAAAATCACTCTTTTATAGGGTTTACTATAATTTTAATGTGCATATAGGGTTTGAACGATGCATTTTCCTCAAGTGGGGGAGTGAGTCTAGTAGAAGGTCTCCGGTTTATATCTCGCTGATCACCAATGGATTTAATCAGAGTGATAATGTTACAACCCTCTAGCCCAAGCCAGAAGTAATGTGTATGTGTACAAGGTTCTGGGCTAGAGCCAATGTCCTAGAATGTGAGGTTGGGACAAAAATAGAAAAAAATACAACGACCAAGGTTTTTTGTGTGCAATTTTCTTCAAACATCTCTGCTTCTACAACACATAAAATATAAGCAGTTTTGATTAAACCTTCTTGTTTCGTAACACCCTATCACAACATACCTCAATTTTTGTATTTATACTTAGATTAGAAATCAATTCTGCACTAAAATGGCCGAAGACAAAAATGATTATTGCAGTTGAAAGCAACTCAGATGAGCATACACACCATTATATCACTGTCGGTCAGATCTAGGGACGGAGTGCGCTCCAGTGTTATCCTACTCCGGCGGTCTGGCGTGATGATGAGCTCCGGGATTTGTGGAGGAAGGGAAGGGTCTGGGGTGAGAACCAGCTCGGGCAGTGGGAGGAAGGACTCCAGGGAGGAGTCTGGAAAGTCTGGAGGTGGAGGCAGGCTGCGGTCGAGTGGCAGACTATCATCACTGTCCCAGTCTGCGTCCGACTCAACTCTGATGTCGTCCATGCCATCCTCCATGTTCATGACTGTAACATATCATCAAATTAACAGGAATGTTTGAACAAAAAACCCTTTGTAAAGCCGATCTATTTTCAAAAACATTATAGCTAATTTACCTTTTTGCCTTTTGCTCTTGATGTTCTAATGTAGTCACTGTGAAGACAAAGGAAACTAGCAGACAAAAGGTCACAAGATTTGACACCAGATCTTTAGTGCAAATTTCTTAACCAGATCTTTAGTGAACATTTCTTAATACATGCTAAGAAAAACATTAAAAATATCAAGGGGCGGTTAGATTTGATTGATTGATTGATTGATTCTGTAGGGGCGGACCTTGTCCTGTTGCACGTCAGCCACTGATGGGCTTTTTGCGCTCCCCACATGGTACTTCAGAGTCCGTCAAACCTGAGTTGCTTAATGCGGTTAGACTTACTGTTGACTGCTGGTGGAATAAAAGAGTGATCAAACGCTTCCAAGTCGTCACCCATACTATTTCCATTAATGTTCGTATTGCCATTTCCATTTCCATTTCCATTCTCAACAAAACTATTTCGATGCGATTCCAGAGTTCCTAGGGCCATTAAGCTGCGGCGTCTTACCTGAAAATAAGTATTTCTTTCATATCTGTGGGGTAAAAAATATTATATACTTTACAGAAATATCTAATGAAATAAAAAAAATAAAACACAGCAATAAAACACTAGCATGCAAAATAGGCCTATCGGTTCAATAGACTGATAATTTATCGTGACTGAAATACAAAAAAATTAAAATTTAATATTTAAGTATGAGATTGCCTGCCAAATCAAAAAGTTAATGCTTCAGGTTTTGAGTGTGCTCTGAATTTAATAAGTTCAACTTTTTTTTTAAACATTAACCAAAAATATATTAACTTAGACAGTTCAAAAGAGAGAACCTAACATTTTTCTATATTCAAAAAAATAAATTTTCACTTAACCAAAGTTTAGCTGGAATTTGTAAAGCCATGGAAAATGAACTTGCAAAACTGCTGGGAGTTTCTTTTTCAGTTCCTGTAAATATTCTTTACAAGAAGAGGCCTTTTTTAGGTCTTGCTTCCTGAAAAAATACTATTTACTAACACCAAAAGATTGAAATAAAGTAAGAATAACTCAATCAAAAAAACGAATTAGCCCAACCAAAGCCAAGCCGAAAAATCACATCTATTACAGAAATGATGAGTGTAAGGTAAAACAAACATAACTGAATGTGGACGCAACATCTAGACATACCGGTACCTGCGTCTCATCTATCATCCCAGCTTGTATGATCTCCCAACTGCGAGGGGGGTTGAGGGGAGGGGGGGTGATGCAGGAGCGGGGGGAATCTTGCGGTTCCTCCTCCGCAACCAGCGAAGTCTGCAACCGTTACGGCAAAGCTACTAGCCAACCACCATAACAGCGAGTGTAAGAGAGCAGTTAGTTTGTATGCGACACTATTGGATCAAGAGCCTTTGCATTTCATAATTCAAAACATATGTATATCACATTGGCCTTTATTAGGGTGAACAATGTAAGCATAAATTCATCAACTGTGAAAAACCAATTAGAAAATTTTGATTCAGTAAGGCGTTACATATACACGCATATAAACATGTATTTCGATATTTTAAAGTTAAAAAAATTGCTGTTACATGATTGATTGACCAAATCGTTCTTACAAAAGCACCCAATGGAGTTTTTGCCTTGTTGGGTGTGACTGATTGGTGTTGTTTCCCTCGTTGGAGATTTAAGCTTGATCTACACTCACTACACAAGAAAGGACATGGGAAGGAAAAGGACAGGAAAGTTTCTGGTGAATGCTTTCTCCTAAGATTCTGGGACATAACACCCAGCGAAGCTACTTGCGACACTAAGTCACTCCTAGAAACAATTGAATGCTCAAAAGAGCAGTCAATCGACATTTTCTTGTCAAGGGGTTTTTTTCACTGTCTGTCGTAATGGTTCTCATGGGCTGCCCTACGCAGGTAAGGAAAGGGAAAGGATCCAGACAAAACTTTCAGGTTGGACACAAAGGACGCTCAGTCAGAAATTGTTCAGCGAGCTACAAGGGCAACCTCACAATAGAAATTATACATGGCAGTTGCCATTCCTAGTCCCGTTTAGTATAGCCTCAGTGCCAGACTTTGTGTGGTTCTTGTCCTTGCTTTCCGTCTATCATCCGTTTCGATTCCTGTCTAGTGAAGCCCAAGTCTTCAGTGAATTGTCTTTAGTCTGATGCAGCACTCTCAAGTTGAGATTTTGCCTCAGGTAGAAGCTCTAAATAGTATTTTTGCCTCATATCAAAACACTCAATTTTGTTGCTGCCTACTAATTCTGACAAAATGTATTTATTCATTTTTATTCATTGCTTTTCACAATTATTACATTGTGTTGCATTATTCTAGATGTAGTAGGTTTCAGTAAGATAAAACTTTAAATTAGTGTCGTTTCCTAATAATATCCTTGTGTTAACAGAGGTGAAGTGGTTGGCTCTGCTATTGGTCCAAACAGAATTTAAATTATAAAATTTGGTCTACAGATGGTTTTTTTAAGTCCTTACAATTTTTTTATTAACCAATTCACATTGGGAGAGCAAAAGATAATATCCCAACTCAACTTTATGAAACTTTACATTAGGCTTAATCCTAAGACTAATAACCAAAATAATTTTGAATACAAATTGCCAAAAAAAACTGGTATAACTTTATTGGTGTCTAAAATAATAGAAATGCCTATTAATATATATAATAGAAATTACATTTCTTTTAAATTTAACTTTGCAGGGCAATTATGAAGATGCATTTTTACCTGATACTACTAAACTTATTGATTATGAGTTTATCAAAATTTAAACTTACATATGTTGGAGATTTAACCGTTTGAGATTCCCCACAATCGTCTTCAGGGTCTACTTCATCTTGAATCTCTACAGGTTCAGTCATCGGGACCTATATAAATAATTTGTCAAAAATGAATTGTGTAACTAAGTTTCAAACATCATTGCATCTGCAATACTTCCTAATGTCAAACTCTATTGTTAGATACAACAGAAACGCATTTTGTTGGGGTGGATTTTTTTACAGCAAATAGTTTTAGTATTGAGCACACTTTAAATAGGTAAAATGGACAAAGAAAACATACAAGGAGGAACTTGTGACTGATCAGATTGTAACCAGTTTCATACTTACTTGGGATGGATCCTCGACAGTCTCCGTGGTATTGTGGTCAGAGCTGTGTACCTCTTTGTCTTCCACAACCACAATAGTAGAAGGACCAGAGGAGCTGCCAGGAATCTTCAGCTCCAATGAAAGCTGTTCATGACCACCTATCATTGAATAGTCTTCTGCAGTCCATCCTGAAGCATTCACCTCATTTTACAAACATCAACATTTGAGTATACAATATTTTTAATTGTCGTGCAGTAAGGTGTTATCTTATGTAGAAGGGGCAAACTGAGGCCCTAGATGCTTCATACATAGTTGATGATTTTTAGGCAACATGTCATTCTCAAAATAAGTTCCTGATATTGTAAAAAAAAAGAAAAGAGAGGAGTTGGGAAAATGCACAATTTTAATAGGTGAGAATAACAAGATTAATAAAAGTTAAAGGACTACCATATGTAATTGATATAACCAGTGAACAAGTATTGTATTTTAAATAAAGTCGTTGGTAAGGGTGTGAGCCTTAAATTCAGCCTTAAAGTAAGTTTTTTCTCCATAAAGATAACATGGGAGGTATTTACTTGAAAACTTATTATTTTACTAAAATATATGACACATGCAGCTAGAAAATGGCTGAACCGCCTCCCTTCTAAGGCTATTACTGTATTTTATTTTCGACTAATAAATAACACTATGAATTTGAGGTTAAGGGTGTAGCATAAAGCACAAGGGCCTAGGTATTAAGGATTTTTTGAGAGGATGGCAGGCTATAGTTGTAAAGTTTTGTGTTTCCTGTGCCAGTTTGGACTCTTTCCCCTTCAGGTAAGCCTGCTATCCTCTCAAAAAATCCTAAATAACACTATGAATTTGTTTTCTAAAATATATCAGATTATTTCATATGTTATTTTGAGCCGCACAGGTTCACAAGTTTCAAATTGGGCTATCTTCTCAACATTACGTAAGCTAATTTCCGATATTCTCCATTTTCTTAACTAAGACTTCCAACCTTAAAATCGCAGGCATAAAACATAGAATACGAAGGAACAATTTATTTTTGTGGTGGTATAAACAAATCTCTAGCACCAACAGTGCTTACAAACTGAAGTCCTCCACGTGAGCCTCTATCTGCTCTCTTCTTCTCTGCTTGTCCTCTTCTCCGTAGCTCTCCACGTGGGCCACCATCGCCACCGTCCACTGTCTTCTTTACTGCTCGTACTCTTCCCCGTAGCTCTCCACGTGGGCCACTGTCGCCGCCGTCCGCTCTGTTCTTTTCTGCTCGAACTCTACTCCGTAGCTCTCCACGTAGGCCACCGTCTGCTCTCTTCTTCTCTGCATGTCCTGTTCTCCGTAGCTCTCCACGTGGGCCACCATCGCCGCCGTCCGCGCTCTTTTTTTCTACACGTACTCTTCTCCGTAGCTCTCCACGTGGGCCACCGCCGCCGCTGCCCGCTCTCTTCTTTTCTGCTCGTACTCTTCTCCGTAGCTCTCCATGTGGGCCACCATCGCTGCCGTCCGCTCTTTTCTTTTCTGCTCGTACTCTTATCCGTAGCTCTCCTCGTGGGCCACCGTCGCTGCCATCCGCTCTCTTCTTTTCTGCTCGCACTCTTCTTCGTAGCTCTCCACGTGGGCCACCGCCGCTGTCCGCTCTCTTCTTTTCTGCTCGTACTCTTCTCCATAGCTCTTTACGTGGGCCACCATCCGCTTTCTTCTCTGCACGTACTTTTCTACTCCACCCGCCCTCTTCTACTCCACCCGCATTTTTCCTTGTAGCTCACTCTCAACTTACTACAGCTTACATTCTACCACCACGGTTTTAAATGCACCTAATTGTTCCTTGTTGTTATTTTGAATTAATTACTTTACATTTGCTTAGCAACAGACTTGAATTTACATTACCATAGGTACTGTTTGTAAACTTTATATTAAAGAGGATGTTGTCTAATAAAAAAAGAATCTAGTGAAATGTTGTTGCTATATAAACATTTTTATAATTGTATTGAAATATTTAAAAAATTAAAAAAGATTAAAAATAGTTCTTTTATAACAGTTTGATAACACATTCATTATAGACTGGGACGGTGGTGTCGTCCTGTAATCCAGCTACTAGGAGGTCACGAATTATGGGTATTTATAGAAATGCACTGTGGATGCGATACTCCCTGGTGTGGATTAACGTCCGCACTAGCCAAGGCAAAATGTGGTTCGGATTCCACTATAAACTGTAGGTCCCTTAGTTGCCATTAGCTATATGGGCTATTAATTAACAGCTGTGTCTAAGGAATATGTAACAAGACTACAAGATCGCGCCACTCATCCTACACTCATCTCCATTCATACTTGGCTTAAAATACCTACTTATCCAAGTATCTGGTTACTGGTAGTTTGATAGAAGATGAATGGCAACAAATTATATACTTGTTAATATTTTAACATTAAAAAGTTGAAAATTATCCATATACTCTTGCTAAATATTACTGTAGTTACCGTTGTTGTCACAAGCGTCAAGAGAAGCCCCGTACTTCAACAGCAGTGACACAATGGATGACTGTCCAACACGGGCCGCTAGCATGAGAGGTGTGCGGTTTTCAGCATCAACAACATTTACCTGCAATATCGTTTGTGGGTTAAAATAAATCTATACTATAATATGAGTAACTAACGTTTGCGCTCAATTATTTCAAAAACGGCTCCTATGAATTCCTCCAAATTGTTAGAAATGTCTTAGTTTTAGGCTAAAAACAATATCCATGCTAGGCTCTGTTCTGGGAAAATTATTTTTTTCTTTAAAAACTAAAAATGAAATTATAATATTTTTAACATTAGTAGTATGGACTGTCAAGTATCTATGGCAGTTTTACGAAAATGTAAACAATTGAATTGTAACATATGCTTGTAAAAAATTATCTACAGTACAGTAGCAAACTACAAAATACAGTACAAAGGAAAAAGGACATTTCTATGAATGCTATTGAGCATTGATTATATAATAAATTTGGGGTGTATAATGTATTACTAACCAAAGGGATAATTACGACTGTTCAAAAACGTAACTGCAAAACATCTAATATTTAACTAAAAGTCTAGAGGAAAGGCCAAGGACGTTTTGTAGTTTTCGACAATGTGCCCCCGGAATTGATGCGTTGTTCCACAATCCCGTAATTAGTTGCGACGTTCCGCGATCCCAGTGGCTAACGCAATAACGGCCAAAAAATGTTATGCATCTCATGAGTTTTGATATTGAAGTTTAATGTAGCAATTTTCAATATAGATTGCTTGTCTACATGAAAAAGTTTGTTAGGTAAATTAAGAATGAGTGAATTTCGACCGAAAAGGAATTGACTTTACAGCTTAATTAATCATAGCAAAACTGAAAATATTTGAAGGCTTAAAGGTTTTATTTTTGTAACCTCTTCTTAAACAAATCAAACTCCTCGAGCAATGCTCTGTCCCCTGGTACTAAATAATAAATCAAAAATCGGACAAAAAAATAAATTCATTTAAACAAATTTGAGAACAATATTTGAATACAATTTTTTCCTCCTTTTTTTTCATTTGATAAGAAATATTTTTGAGTTAGGCTACATTTAAAGTTAGCCTACATATTGTAGTTGTGTTATCTGTTTTCTGTGTGTCTATTGTGAGAACTCAAAACTTACTGAACCTAGAGGGTTGAAATTTTACACAAATAGGCTATGGATTACTAGCAGAGTACACGTCCTTCGTACGGGGTTGGCATATAAGTTTAAAATGCTTATTGCAGTTATAATACCCAAGCTTTGCGTTTGCAATGGGGGAGGACAAAGTTTGATAAAATTTGCTTCTTTAAATTGACGGTATACTAATGGTAAACTTGTAACTAATGGTAAAAACACATCTACCATAGCCAAAATGTTCTACCACTTCACCTAAACAATAAATAAAAAGAAACAATTACGAATTCACAAATAATCACAAATTATTCATGACATTAAAAACATAAACATAACTGTAAACAGTCCTTTTTTGACAGTTCTCATTGCGTATCACAGTTTTTTGTTGCTGCTTAGTTCAATCATAGACAAATAGAATAAATATAGACCGTCAGCTGTGCTGCGGTTAGCATAAGTTCTGGCGTCCGCCGCTAGGTTTGCCGTGTAGTTACGGCGCATACCGCTGCAGCGTCAGCTGGTCACATACGGCTCCTGCGCTCCTCGTCTGCAGCGGTGTGCACACCGCTAACACACGGCATTAACTACACGGCAAACCTAGCGGTGGGCGCCGAAACCTTCCTTTGACAGTCTATATTTATTCTATTTGTCTATGGTTCAATTCACCTTTTTACATCAATGCTAAAAAATTTTTGTGCTGCACCCTGTTGGTAAATTGTATAACTTTTTAATGCTTTTGTATATCATAGAACCAAATTTTTTAGTTGGAACAGCTGACTAAATTCTTTAATCTATTACTTATTTAATACGCAAGCAGGTTTTTTGTGACAATTACTCCTCCGAAACTACTGAACCGATTGACATGTTTTTGGTGTCATTGGAAAGAGCGTAACGTGAAGTTGTGCAGGAAACTTTCTTTTTAGGGAAATAATTAGAGAGTGAGGCCCTGGGGCCCTTTAAAGTTTCGTATTTCTCCATAAGATTAACATGGGAAACAATCATTGTTTTGAAACTTCAGCTGTTGTCAGAAATTAAATATTAATAATTGGTCTCCATGGAAGCATGAGAAAATTCACGACGTTTACATTTGCTTTAACATTTAAATGTAAACAACCAGAACTGTCAAATGCCTATTTCACAATTTCAGACAGCTGATAAAAAAAAAAAAAAAACAGCTATGTGGTAGGTTTATTTAATCTTAAACTTTATGATAGATTATTTATTATAAATCTATTTCAATGATTAGGAAACAGATTTTTCCCGTTGCGAAGCAAAAATTAAAAGTGAGAAGAAGAACATATGTTAATTGTAAACAGTCAATGTGTAAATTATCTATGTTGTATTAAAAATGTGTATAGTTTTTTGGTTTGTGTTTAATGATATATAATTTATTAATTATTGAATTTGTATTTTAAGGATTTGGCATGAGTATGCCTATGATAAATAACACCATTTCAGGGTTCTGCCAGTTTTTGCCTAACTCTGTTCTGTAGAGTTTAAAGTCCTACACCTTAAATTTTGGTCTACAAATTGGCTAAATAACTTAGGTATTGTACATTATAAAAGCTGACAGCCTTTTTACGTTGACTTAAACTGTAAGCTTACCTTTTCCTGTTCATAGGCAGTTAGAAAGTTAAAAATTAACCCTTTAAACTTAAACTGGAATAGGACTGTTATGTAAATTGTGAGTATTTCCATTAGTTTATAAACTTTTAGTTGACTCTTTTAAAATCATCGGAAATTATGACTGTTATTAGTTTTTAAACAAGTCATTCGTTTATATGTAACTCCTGTACTTTGCAATTGCTCGATTTCGAGCAACATGTACACTAGTTCCCTTTAAATATGAATACTCATAAGGATAACATGGGGAACTGCAGAGCCACTGGGGCGGAGCCCGAAAGGATTTTTGAGATAAGAATATGCCTATATGTTAATCAGGAATGTGAGCTATCATCATGCCAAATTTCAGCCCAATCCGTCCAGTGGTTTATGCGTGATTGAACTTCAAACAAACAAACAAACAAACAAATAAACAAACACACAAACTTTCACATTTATAATATTAGTAAGAAGATAAGATGAAGACCGGCTAACACAAAGGATTATTCAGTATTTACATCTTTAAATTTCAGCATAAATCTATAATGGCCTTGAGCTTCTGGGTATTTGGGTTTTCTTTTACAAACACAATTTGCTCTATTTACATTTATTTTCTTAGTTTCATTTTGATAAAATTACTGATTTGTTCCGCCACACAGGTGGTTTAGTTTAACCAAATATAACTTTAAATACCCCCACCGTAGTAAACCTGCAGAATAAGCAAATTTCCATTTGCCTGATTTAATTTTCAATTAAATAGATTTCAATAACATTAGGCTTAACGAACGAGTACATCTGGGTTTGCTGCTACAAGGCGGGTAATAAAGTGTGTTTTTTAACATTAATAACTTAACTTAGTATAAAATAAATAGATCTGCCAAGTTTGATAAAAATATATCTATAAGCAAGCAAACTACAACAGTTTACTTATTCTCCATAAGAATAAAATGGGAATTTTAAATTTTTTGAATTTTCCCCGTAACCAATAATCATTAATCATACAAAAACACTTCAATATACCACATTAATTGTTTTTAAGCTATTCAAAATGGTCTAGAGAGAAAAATTGGGAAATTTTATGTTTTTAAGGGCCAAAAACGAGAAAAACCAACTTTTACCCCATAAAACCCTATTCCCATGGTCCAATCATACTGGTTCACAAACTTGTTCGAATAAACATAGGTACAAAATTTAATTGAAATCGGATCATTTTTGCTTGAGTTATCGTGCTAACGGACACATATATTTATGAACTTGAACAGTGGTGTTTTTGGCCAATGGGGACATCAAAACGAAAAAGGAAATTGGTCCGGGACCAGGTCTTACCATGAGACCTACAGTAATAGCTTATTCCCTCAAAAGAGATACAATTGATTTTTTTATACCAACAAATTGGGTGTGTAACTGATTACTGCAGAGTATTTGTTGAACCACAGGGGTAGTTGAGTTGTCATAGTTCTTGCCTCGTGATCAGAAGGCTTCCAGTTTGATCCTGAGAGACGTCAAGATATTTTTAGTGATTCGATCTTTCTAATTGGTTTAATAAATTATCCTGGCCTAAGAACCAGATAGTCTTAGTCAGTAACAAAGCTGTCATTTCATTTGCAAACACTCATCATAAAAATCTAATCTAAACTACACAGTACCTGGGCACCAGCTTGTAGCAATAGTTCCACAAGGTCTCTGTGCTCTTGCTCCGTAGCAATGTGAAGTGCCATCTCACCTGCCTGAAAGTTAATTATGAAGTTTAGATAAACAATGAATTATAAGAATACCAATTGTTGTTGACGTACACATACCTATTATAACTAATTAATATCAGTTAACTTCCCCAGACCAGCATTAAATAAAGAGTGGGAGAAAAATTCAAAAATGTACATCCAGACGGATGAGTGATTTTGAATACGTCAATATTTTGTGAATTAAAAATAAGTTGAAGACTTACCAAGTAGTGCAATTTTTTGGTAAGCCAAACTAGCAATATAAATTACAATCAGTTTGTAAGTTTGTTATGTTTTACTATAGACCTATCTTGTGTACGCAATTGATTTGGTTATTTTAAGAAACATTTTTCGCTATAAAAGAAAAAAATTAAAAATAAATTTTTATATTGAACAGAAATGTCTGTCACCTACTTTTTTGTACCAGTGGACAAATGCAAAAGAACTACTTCATTTTGGTACTACACTACATTCTACCTTGGCCACATTCAAACAAACAAATTGTAACAGCTTCAAATAGCATTGTACAGGTATTATATATTTGATGTATTTTATTAATGTTTAGTACATAAGTGTAGGTTATTAATTTTGCAAATCTATCCATCTATACTTCATTATTTTTGTGGCTTGTTAACTGCATAACAGATTTTTTATAGTTAAATGAATTAAAAAATCAAGAAGTGTAGGCCCTACTCAGGATGAACATAAACTTTTTCATTTAAATTTTCGTGAGCAAAGTCACGACGGGTTTGCTAGTATATATTTGTATAGGTAGTTTCAAAAGGTATTTCATTTTTGTAAGTTTTAATTATGGTTTAGACAAGATTCAGGTTATCATTATTCGAACGAGAGGAAGTGCGCCTACACTTTAGTATTTGTCCTACACTCATCCGAATGAAAAATATCGATGTAGATTATTCGATATATAGATTGATATATTCATTCGAATGAGTGTAGGACAGATACCGGTGTGCAGCCGGAAGTGCTACGTATAGGTATGTACTTTATGGGTGAATAATACTTACGTTGTTTGCACTGTTACAATTAGCACCATGTTTGAGCAGCAGGGACATTATGTTGAAAAACCCCTGTCTGGCAGTGATGTGAAGAGCAGTGTTTCCATTGTTGTCAACACAAGAAATGTTGACACCACTGTCAACCATCAGACCTACACATTCTTTGACACCACAGTCTACAGCCTGAAAGAAAGCAAGAATTGAAGAAATTATATTGGACTGTTGGGTAATATAACTTAAGTATTTTAGTATTGACGAGAGACTAAAAAGACTGTTTGTAATGAGTTCCAGTAGGTCTAAGGCTGCGGGCACACTTTGTGAATTATTCGCCGAGACAAAATACAAAAACGGATAACATTAAATAAAATGAAGACAGCCACACTAAGTGCCATGCGATCTTCAACCACCTGAGACAGCAGACAGAAAATCACGTCTGTAAGGGTTTTAAGGTTGCGACGACAAATATGCTCCTCATATCATCTTCCGGCTCCAGCCACACTCGGCAGCAAGTCACACACTCAGTTCCTGCACTGTATAGCTTATTCAATTTTAGTTTGACAGTGGTACTGTGCAGTTAGTTAGAAATTATGTTATTTTACAGATAACATATGTTCGTTAAAGAAATAAGCGTTCATCTATGAGATTTAACCCTCATTAGGATTACATGTAGGCTTCTGGTGCAATAGGAATCCGAAACCTCTCTGAAGAATCTTTTTTTCTTAATGTCACCTCCAATTTAAAGGAGCTCGTTAAAAGTCATCCTAAAAAATCCTACAAAAATAATTTGTAATTTGACAATATGTAGCCTATTCCCTTAGCAATGTTGTAAGCAGGGTTGCCCCCTTAGGTAAGGGAAAAATCGGGACATAGCCCCTCTCCAACCAGATTAACATAGGCTTAAATACGGGCATAAGGAACCAAAATCAGGACTGTCCCAGCAGAATCGGGAGGGGTGGCAACCCTGGTTGTAAAAGTGCAATAATGGCAATGTTTTAAGGGTAGGCCTATGCACCCAAAATTTGCTTGACTCTTCCTTTTTATACTTATGCAATAAAATAGCAACAGGTACTCTTGTATGTCAATTTTCTAAATGTATTTTGTAATTCTTATGTCACTAGTTCAATAGATGGGCCGTTTCCTTAATAATTGAGCTTTTAACTTAACGTGTACTTATCATGGCTTAAGTTACATAGGTTTAAAAGGGCTCGTTGTTCCTTACCAAGCAGCTGGTCGTATTTAATAACAAAGCTAAATGACAAGGCACATTATTCTACCTGTCCATCACACGTGGCTCAAAATATACCTTAGCAGTGTTGCCTTTTCAAAAAATTTATGTTAAGTGGGCTATTTATATGCTAGTAGCAAGGTTTTACTTTTAACTCTATTAAGTATGCACCATGGTGGTTGCCGTCAAACAAATCTACTCAAAACTGCAGAGAGGAGATGTAGGCCTACCTTAGCTTTGGTTGAGTTAAAAGTCGTTAAGTTAGCCTAATAAACTACATAAATGAAAAAAAAATGTGAAAAGGGTAAAAAACAATTACTTATCATAGCCTACGGTAGGCCTGCTCAATACATGGAGCACTGAGGTAGGCCTCTACCAAATTTTGTAAACAGACAAAACAGGGCCTAACTTTAACTAATAGGTATTTGGTTAAAAACTCTGATTTCCAATGGGACATAGTATTGTGTTAACTTATACAACTTAAGTTTGATCTTAATACCTAGTCTAGCAGATTGTCATAATAGGCCAAACAATGATAATTTAAGTTAATCCTGTTTAAATGAGACGCCTTTTCTGCAGAATCTTTAAGCGTACGTCATTGCTTGATTCATTTGAATTTTTCTTATAAAATCCCAAAACGCACTTAAAACTAGTGAGATTGAGAGGATGTGTTTTTACCTCAAAAGCCAATCATAATATAGTCCAATATATATTCAGAACAGGCTACTCTTAACTTTTAGTCAAAATAGGCCTAAATGTGGTCAAAATCAGCTAAATGACACAACTTACAACTAACTTAACTGGGTTATTAAAAACTATTATACTCACCTTTAAAAATGGTGTCATTCCATCACTATCACTAATATCAGAGATAGCCTTATTATTGAGTAGGAAGCAAACCACATTTGTATGTCCCTGAGCCGCAGCTAAATGAAGAGGAGTCCTATTATATTCATCAACAGCATTTATGTCAATTTTCTTTAGATGAATTTTCACCTTCTCCAAATTACCTTGCCAAGCTGCCTTGTGTAATTTTGTCATAGATTTATCCTTTCCACTAAAATCAACTTCGTACCCATATCCTGACTGCAATCCCACAATATGTTCATCTTCACTGGGCACTTTTTGACCTAAAGGATTTGTTATCTCTACACATATATTGCTGCTGACTGTCCTATCTTTCCTGTCCTCTCTTTTTCCTTTAACAAAATTGATTACTTTCTTCATTATAACTAAAACTAAACCACAACTACTCTGGACTGCTTCAACAAATACTGTTTGGTCTAATTCCTTGAGAAAATCAATACATCCTATCCTACTCAGTGCATGAGTGCAACACCAGGCAGCAGGCGGGTGTTAACCTAAACACACTGCTATTAAAAACATGACAACAATTAACCAAACGATGTATTTTGTATCATTCATTAGATGAAGGAAGATGTAAATTGGCTATACTCACGTTACAGTCTACTTTAGTTTACATGATACCAATTTCTTGAGAGCAGAGCACTGGTTTGTTTTGTTTATACGCTGTGCCGCGCGCGCCGTTGCCGTTTTGGTGACAAGTAAACAATAGTTTTGTGGTTTTGTCTGCTAGACTCAAAAGTCAATTTACAGTCATCTGGGTACAAGTGGGGCAACATATGAACACAAAATTTGCTTTGGTTTAGTTATGTATAGCTAAACAGTGAGCTAAACTATGTAATGTTGAAAGTTTAAACTTAACATACTAGTTTGCTCTGCCCGTGCTTCGCAATGGGATGAGAATACAGATCAGAGTAATAAAGCGGTTCTTTAAATCTACTGTAAAAAGTGTTGAAAAAACTTCCGTCATTGATTATAGGAAGCAAATCTCAATTGTATCGTTCTGCTTACTTGAACGAATATTCACCACACGCTGAATAAAACATGTGATTGGAATTTCTTCCGTTTGTTTTGATTTTCTGTTTATATTTCGTCACCTGCATGGCAACCCATAAAGGCCCATGTTATTTTTTTTAATTTCAAATTCATTTTTTGTGCTAATTTTTGAGCCTATTTTAATTTATAAACGTATTTTACCAAAGTTTATATTCCTAATTAATTGCTTCGTTTAGAATTTTGACATGAAGAGGTGGTAAGTCTGTAAGATAGTTTGAGAGTTTGATTCACGATTTCCTCTTCAATAGCAGCTGGCAGAACAACCGCCAAGTTCAAATCAAATTCGATTTGTAACCATTTTTTTTTTTAACCTGTAACCATTATTTGTACCACTTATCTTAATAGGCATTTGTATTTCCTTTTTGTCACTGACCTAATATTAAAAATACCTCTGTTTGCCTGATTATATTTTTACAAAAAACTCTCCTTATAGTGTCAGATTTAATCCCTATTATAAAACATGGGCAGATGGGCTTGCAAGGACAGGCAAGGTAATAGAGAATTGTTTTAGTGGAATTTTAATAATAGTCTATATTATATTTATAAAATATATAAATAATAAATATTTATTTTATAACAGAGGATGTTGATTTATATGTATGTTTGTATATTTGGCAGTGATAATCTCAGACCCCGCTGGACCGATGGCCACGAAATTTGGTACATATGTGTAGAATCTCATGGAATAGGTTTATTTTACCATCAATTTCGTGATATATCTAAACGGCTCCGCCCCAGTGGCTCTGGAGTTACTTATATAGGCTAACTTCTCTGGAGTACTTGGAATTAAAGAATTTTACGGCTGTTTCAACTAAAGAATTTGATTCAACTGTATTGGTTAATAGCATTAAAAAGGAATGGGTTTACCAACAGGGTGCTATTAATTGTTTAAATTTATGACAACAGCTAATTTGTACCAAGCAGAAACAAAAAGCTGTGATACATACTTTATACTTTTCAATGAAATGGCGACCATACAAAGTAGGTATTTTAAGCCAAGTATGAATGGAGATGAGTGTAGGTTGAGTGACGCGTTCTTGTAGTCTTGTTAGTGACTATGTCCGACATATTCCTTAGACACAGCTGTTAATTAATAGCCCATACAGCTAATGGCAACTAAGGGACCTACAGTTTATAGTGGAATCCGAACCACATTTTTGCCTTTTTGGTATATACGAATTGGTCTAATTATCAGGATAGTACTGTGGATAGTCGTAATACTCACCCGTGCGGACGTCAATCCACACACATCCACAGTGCATGCCTATAAATATCCACAATTCGTGACCTCCTAGTAGCTGGATTACAGGACGACGCCACCAGTCCCAGTCATGGAATGGATGGACTTTTTCAGTTATGTTTATGCAGCCAGTTAATACTAATAGTAAATTAATAAAAGTAGGCTACATATACATACATCAGATCTAAGGGAACATAATGATTGTTCTCTTTAGCGTTCTCAAGCTGCTTGCCATTATTTTCAAGGAACCAAAATGTTCTCTTCTGCATCTTGACCTCGTTGCAAGGCACGGGGTATAGCGGCTAGTTCAGATATAAAAAATGTCCAAATTTGATCAAAGTGTTTATAAGCAGAAGACTACAACAATTATTTACTTATTTTCCATACTAATAACATTGAAACCAACAACGCTTCAATACTAAATTGTTTGTTTTTTTTAGCTATAAAAAATAAATTTTTGAAAGAAATTGCTACATTTCCTTATTCTATAGGATCAAAAATTGGAAAAATCTATTTTTACACCATAACACCTCTGTTCCCATAGTCCTATCATGCTGGTTCACAAAATTGTTTGAATAAACATATTTACTCGATCATAACCAATTTCATGAAAATTGGCGGCGGGACCACAAGAAAAATTATTTTATTTTTCATTATTATTCTGTTATGAACTTTTAAACCAAATACTAGATACCATATCAATTTATGTTTTACCATTACAGACCTAACTGAGTGTTACGGTGTTACCAAGCTAAAACAAAAATTTTGGGTTGATTTTTCCATTAAATTTAGATTTTCGGAGTTAAAAAATAATATTCAAACAGAAGCCAAGAACATTTAAAGAATAAATGATAATCAATAAGAAACTGAGTCTGTTATACCAATGAAACAGATTGGTTATTTACAATTCAACCAAACACACGTGAGAAACATATGTTTTCTATATGTGCGTAGAAACTGGAGACTTATCAGTCTTTTGTTCCGGATCAGCAAAGGTTATCTTGTAAGGCGCCTCATTGATGAAGCCAGAGATGAGTGCGCTTTTAATAGCTTATCTGTGACTATGAACCTTGGCTTGTCTACATGTCAAACGTGCTGTATTGTTGTCCCTACGCATCCGAGCATTCTGTCTAGCGATAGTAACAATTGGCAACATTGAAATTTTTTTTTTAAAGTCAAGGAAACATTTGTTTACTACAATTAAAACACTTTGAAGGAAGGATGTACTGATACGAGTTCAAAAGGAGGGATTGGTAGGTGGGGGATAGCCAACCCAGATTTTGTTTCCACAACATTGGGGGCTTGTATGTTTGTATTAGAAATGGCATTTAACTCTATTTGAATAAAAGTTACAGGAAATTCTAGTTTATTAATCATGTTTATTTTAATCCTAAAGATTAACTTAAAAACAACTCAGCACATTTAAGAATGGTAATTTCAATTGGCTCCAGAATTAACATATTAGCGTTTGCAGACGATGTCGTCATTTTTGCAGAAACTTTAGAGGACCTACGCCAACTAACAAAAATATTTATGGACAAAACAGGACAATTAGGATTAAAAGTAAATGATGGGAAAACCAAATATATGCAATTTTCAAGAAATCAAGGTATAGCCCAAGACCCACTGCAGGTAGATGACCATACATTTGAAAAAGTAGAACATTTTAAGTACTTAGGGGTTATCTTATCCAGGGAAAACAAAGAAGAAATAGAAATTCAAAATAGACTAAATCTGGCAAACAGATGTTTCTACGCTTGCAACAGACTGATGTCCTCTAAGTTACTGTCTAAAAACACCAAAGTTAGAATTTATAAGACAATAATCAGCCCAGTATTATTATACGGAGCTGAAACATGGAAACCAAATAAAAAAGAAGAAAAGAAGTTAATCACATTCGAAAATAAGATTTTAAGAAAAATTTATGGACCAATTTATGAAGGTGGTGAATGGAGGAAGAGACACAACAGAGAACTGAGAGAACTCTACAGAGATCCAGATGTGGTGTGTGAATTTAAGTGTAGAAGAGTTAGATGGGCTGGACATGTTTTACGAAGAGAGGAGCAAAATAAGTTAAAATTAGTTTTACTAAGAAATCCCGAAGGAAGACGACCGAGAGGAAGGCCAAAACAAAAATGGTGGAGCCAAGTAAAGAAAGACATGGAGCAACTAGGAGCAACTGAGGAGGATGCAGAGGATAGAGCAAGATGGAGAGGCTTTGTTGGTGCGGACAAATATCTTCTTAGATATGCATGGCCCTGGGAGTAAGAGTAAGTAAGTAAACTTTGTGGTAATTAACTGTATCCAGATTGGAATTTTACTTGATCTCTTCATTAAATTATATAAATAGAAAATAGATATTTAATATTGTTTCAGTTCCAAGAGTGAGTTTTGTAGATTGTGTCTATAGCTAAGTAGGCCTACAGAAATTAGATTCAATTTTGTGTACATATGTATCGGTGAGCCTAGAGCCAGTGGCGTTTCAGCGAATTTCCCATATAGGGAACAAACTATTACAGTAGGTCTCATGGTAAGACCTGGACCCGGGACCGATTTACTTTTTTGTTTTAGGGTCCCCAGAAGCCAAAAACACCATTCGATGAAATTCCTATATACAGGGTGTCGCGTAAGTTACCCAAATGAGGAAATGAAGCAAGTCGTCTCCAAAAACCGTCTGAATGGAGAAGAAAGCTGTTGGTATAGCGCAAGACAAACAATAATTCCTTGGTCACAAGATATTATCACTTGGATCAAATCCAGTTGTGATTGGCAAGATTTGAACCCAGGACCTTGGGGCTGAAGTCCCACGCTCTAACCATTAGTGTAGACCAACCTTAATTCAGCCTAGTTAAGAATAATCAATTAATATTCATAAATCATTCATTATTCCATTAGGCCTAGGCTACTTGCAATGTAAGACTGATACTTGTGCAGCAAAGGTTTAAAAAAAAATAAAAATTTTAAATTTTTGGTCAAAGTCTATATAATATCTTTACTTGTTCTCGGATAGGTTAAAATACTGGTTCAAACTACTTAGATGTTTGCCTTGGTTGTTTGTGTGTTATAAGATTCCACTTTTCATAAAATATTGAACAAGATAATATATGGACCTACGTTGCACAAAATATTTTATGTGTTAATATTGACACGTGGATGTTGAATAAATTAGAATCCTACAAACAATTGATTATGAGAACATTAGATTTGCTGCAAATGTACTTTTACTGTACTTAAAACTGTTATCACATTTTGATTGATTGCAGACTGAAGTTATAAGAGTTTACTGAAACTTCTAAAGTGTTCTAGTAAGATGTATAAACAAGTTGTAATTTAATACCACAATATTATGACATTAATTACAATAATTATTTAATATCTATAGTTGATTTGTTTCTTGCGTGCCAAGCAGTTGAATCGTACTGAAAAAATATATCCTTATATATAATACGTGAAGGCAATTTCTATGAAACACTACTCCTCCCTTAATAATGGACTGATTTTTAAAACGATGTGTCAAACAAAATTAAGTATTTTTTTAATAGACGCCCCCTTTCACAACTTCCTGTAATAAAAGTCCTCAGGCTTTGCCCCATAGGCCATCAAAATCCCAATGTATTTCTTATGAAGATAGGATTTTGTTTGCTTAAACAGACGAATAATTTGTATTAATTACAGCTGTTCATAGTAAACATATGAAACACAAGAGCGTTGGTTTTCAGAGTGAGTTCGTTTTCAGTTTTGATAATTGGAGTGGAGTGATTGATGACATTATCTTTGAGTTGACTCTTGAAGATATCAGAAATTATGACTGTTATTCGTTTTGAATTAACGCCTGTAATACTTTGCAATTGCTCGAATTCGAGCAACAAATGCACTAGTAATAGTATATTACACGACAATGCCAGGAAGTAGGTGTTTATGGCACTTGTTTTACTTAACCTGTAGATTTGTTGGTGGTAATGTGGCAAATGTGACAATTTTAGACAATTAGTAGACCCTTCCCCCCTCCCATCGCCAATCAACCTCCCCCCAAAAGATAACCTATCTACTTTCCAATACACACATACAAGTTCACACACAATCACACTACCACACACAAATATACTCAGCTGTCCTCAAATCTTTTTCAATTAAACTTGAACTTGAAACTTGAAACACTATCTTTGACTCTAAAAACCTCCATTTTGCATTCGGTGTCATATTAGTAGTCATGTTAGCAGAAAGTATTCTTTTTGCAGCTAAGCTACCATAACCATTGCAGTACAAATTAAATAAAAAGAATAATAGTTTAATATGCACAAAAATCTTGATTTTCAATGTTTTATTTTTGTTGTGTCTTTTTTTACATAAAAGGTTAAGGTCGAGGATCAGACAATTTGATACTCACAGTGAAGGTCAATAGTTGGTGCATACTGGTTATTACCAGATTTTTAAAATTGCTTTCCTCATTACATAACAGAACCATGGAAGTTATCAGCTATAAACTACTATTATTATGCTTCACAACTTTTCATATTACTGTATATCAGTACACCCCATTGACAAATGGTCGATAAAAATTACCAATTATGTAATGCTAGTTCAGGTTTTTATCATTATTATTTTTTTTACATGCAAAAATTAGAATACAGTAGACTCCCTCTTATCCGGACACCTTTTAACCAGACATCGGTTTAATCGGACTACACTCGGTAGACGTGACATCTCTTTATCCAGATAGTTTTTTATTAGCACATCAGTTTAGCCAGACTAGATCAGCAGGAAGTGGGTGGTACTGAAACGACTGTTCTCATGGGAAAGATTTGAGACCAGTGTTTACGTGTCTAAATACAATGCTCTCCTAATTTTAGGTCAAATACTGTATAGAGTACCTATGCATCTAAACGGTCCGAGATTTTGGGGACGTCGGTTTAACCGGAAAAACCGTTATCCGGACTGGCCTCGGTCCCAAGGAGTCCGGATAAGAGGGAGTCTACTGTATGAAAGTTTCAGAAGAAATGAGTGATAATTTTCAAAACAATTTACTAATTCCTTGATGACCCAACATTTCTAAGGTACCAGGACACGTTCACCTATTAGGAATATCACTAGAATCAACTGCTCTAATGGTATACCTAATTGAAATTGTAGTGGCTGTTCATAATGTTTTTATTCAATAAATTGTTGTATAATACTATCCAATTCGATCTAACCATTTTTATGAGGTCTATGTACTCTAGCTTGCTCAGAGAACTCTCATTATTGACAAACATAGCTGCTGTTAAATTGATGAGATTGGTTAGTTGACAATCAGCTGGTCTTAGTCTGGGAAGTAGCTGCTAACAAAAGACCTACACGTAATACAATCATATACAAATTAAAATATACATCCACATGCCTGTTACACAGTCATCCGTAGAGGAGGGGGAGTGGGGACCATGGCCTCCCTCCTGAGACAGAATTTTAAATTCATTATGTTTGTGTAGAAGTCTCACCCCTCGAACAAGATAATGCCCCCCCCCCCTGAGAAATGTCCTGCATAGCCACCCATATAGTACCAAGTTGGTTTGTGTTTTAGAAAAACTGATAAAAGTATATATTTTCTTTTGGCAAGAATTTAACTTTTCAAAATCATATGTCCTTGTGTGTTTTGAACAAACTCATTATTTATTTAAAGATTTTTTTCTGAAACAGAAAAAATATTAGATCTTAAAAATTTATAACAGCATAATGTTGAAATAGTATGATTGAATTATGAAAGAATCTAATTTAAATATGTATTTGCAGATGTGAATAAAGATATTTTGATCACAAATCAAATTTTGGAGCGATTTGATTTTTACTTCAATCAATTGTTTTATTGACAGTATGAATGTAAAATAGTAACAATAAACCTTGAAACAAATTTTACCATATTACTTAACATCTCTGTAATAGATACAAGTATTTGTTTTGATGACTAATGTAAAATACCTCATCAAAAATCGGCGACCTGTTTCTTCGTAAAAGACACAATCACTTGTTTTTTAAAGATTTATTTGGAAAGTTTCTCAGATAACTACACAAATATTGCATAAGATGATAAACACGGACCTTTGCTCTGTGGTGGACGGTCTGAAAGCCTCAGTTCAGTTTAGTTGTTCTCTCGTCTCAGCCTGGTACACATCAAACCTCTTCTCGCGGTCTCATCATTTTTCCAAAATTTCCTATAAGTGGAACATTCAGATCTGGGATGGTGCTAAACGGAAAAGCTGAGCTTGCTGCCCGAGTTGCTAAGGCAGCAAAAGTAAGTTTTTTACAAGATTTTATATTTATTTGTATTTCTGATTATGTTTTCTTTCTTGATCAAATGTACTTTGTGGACTGTGGTAGGCCTATACGCGTATAATTCATAATTGATAACTAAAGCATAGGGTTATTAAGTAAATCTGAATTACAGTAAATAAAAAATAATAATTAATTACATTACTAATAATCGTACCTTTTTACTTTATGAGTGTGAAAACAAAGGAATGACTTTGAAAATGAGCATTACATTTGTTACAATAACTGCAATGTTCAAAATGAGTATAACATATTACCTCTACTTTTTCTGCATTCCAAATTTGTATAGCTTTTATTTTGTAATCAAATCTTTAAAATGCTGCTTTGCATCATTGTTTGAGAGAAATTGGGTGGGACATTGTAAATTAAAATCCTATCAAATATTACTGAAAGGGACAAAATGTAAATCTAGGAAGTGGTGATAATCTCATTACGTAATCATTGATTCATAATTGTATAACAAAGAAACCACAGTTGGGTTGTAGAAATATATCACTTTTACTTTATGGCAATGACACAATTTTGGTTACATGTACAGTAATAGTACAGCAATAGTGGCTAAACTACAGGTGCGAGAGTCTTGTAGGAATGTCTTCAGGGAGCTAGGCCTGCTTACTCTTGCCTCTCTGTATATCTTGGAAGCTGCCACGTTTTCCAAATTTAAATGCAGCCTAACACAAGGCCAGGACATTCACTCGTATTCAACTAGAGGCAGAGAACAATATAGGTTGGCCCAAAACAGGTCCCGTGCAGCCTCAAGCTTGCCCTCTCAGACGGGGGTGAGATTTTTGAATAGTCTTCCTGAAAAAATAAGGAAAGAAAGGAACAAAAAAAAGGTTCAAACGGATTTTAAAAAGATATCTGATTAATAAAGAATACTACACTGTGGGTGAGTTTTTTGACACAAATGAGTAGATAGTGTTCGGCTGCTCTGAGGTTCTAAATCAATCAAATGACAAGTTCTGTGTAATTTTTTTAATCATTCGTATTATTAACTGTTTTAAGCTGTTGTATTTATTTGTTTTGCTGTCGCTTGTTGTACCTGTATTAAATGTTGACGGATGCCATGCAATTTTGTATTTGTTTCACGGCAATAAAGATATTATTATTATTATTATTATGTTTTAAGTTGGAATGCCTGTATGGGTTGAATATGGAGTGAATTTGTTAGAAACTAAATTTAAGACTCACTATGCACTTTAATGTTACTAGTGTCCCTGTTGCTCGAATTCGAGCAATTGCTGAGTATTACAGGCGTTATTTTAAAACGAATTTCAACCAAGTCAGCAAGTTTGCAGCAAACTGAAAATTAGCAAACTTATTGACTGTTTACAATTAACATATATGCTCTTCTTCTCACTTTTGATTTCTGACAACAGCTGGAGTTTCATAACAATTTTTGTTTCCAATGTTAATCTTATGGAGAAATACGAAACTTTAAAGGGCTCCATGGCCTCAGTCTCTCATTATTTCCCTAAACAGAAAGTTTCCTGCACAACTTCACGTTACGCTCTTTCCAATGACACCAAAAACATGACAATCGGTTCAGTAGTTTCGGAGGAGTAATTGTCACAAAAAATCTGCTTGCGTATTAAATAAGTATAGATAAACAGATTTGTAGCCACAATCAAGACAGTATTTCAAGGGCAATTCAAACTTTAATAATGCTTTAAAGCGTTTTACATTAACTTGTTTGTTGAGAGCCGTTTCCTTCAACCCCAAGAATGAGACAAGTTACTGATCGTTAACCCCCCCCCCCCCTCCCTCAACACAAATTCCTGCAGGTGCCAATCATGATACTATCCAACTAAAGGTCGACACTAGAAAGTAAAAACATTTTAATGCCAAAATGGTATCGATATACACCAATAAGTATTTAGAAAAAATAATCAATGATTTTAGTTACGACAGGTTGGGAATCTCATAAATATCCTTACTTGAATTGTAATGTTGGCCTGTTGTGTCATTATCTTAGGGTTTGGACTGTTTCCTTAATCCGACCATGGCATATAACACAACAATGTTGTTGCAGTGTCGCTATGAGCAGTTGGAGTTGTGTGGCATTGTCACGGTGCTGAGTCTAGCCTTGGTGCTGAGCTACCAGCTCTACCTCAGCATGGTGGACGACTGGCAGGAGATTCCTCAGCAACGTTGGCGCGTACTGATTCTCTCCCTCACACTACTGCTGATGAGTATCGCAACCTGTCTGTACATGTGTCACCGCCTCCAGCCTATCGTACGTTTACCCCCACCTCCGGTAAGTGTCAGAGGCGTAACACGGGCCAGTCTACATAGAAAGCTTTCAAAGTTGGTTTTTTGATTCTGCAGGCTCGTACTGCAGAGTGTAAACAACCAGCCGGCTCTCAGTCGATGGTTAGGAGCTTGTGGAAATGAGTATCGTAGCAGTATGTACCATTGTGGAGGTTGAAACTTGCGCAGCCTCTGGAAAGTTACCCCAGTAAAGACTCTCGGTAATAAATAGTTTATACTAGTTAAGAGTTACTTAAGGTACAGTCATTATTTTGTTTTGACTAACAATTTAATAGTTACGACTTACGGTTATGCCAGATATTTAATACTTAGCAATGAAAGACGATTGTTTGCTAATTATCACTCTTTCAAATCTGCCAACCTCAAACAAGCAGTAGTGATAATAAAAACATTTTATTGGTTGGTTTGCCTTGCCACAACAAAACTGTAAAACATTAAATACGTTTGTTAGTATTGTTTTGATTTGATCACAGAAGATATAATCAAAAGTCTACTGTAGACTGTTTTTACTTTTCATACAACTCAAAATGGAAAATGTCATTAAGTTTTCAAGCAATGAAACACTTCAACTTCAATAAAATAATTTGTCAATCTTGAGCATGCTACTTTATCTTACTAATAGGGATGGACGAGATTGGATTTTTAGTTCGAGACGAGACGAGACGAGATTTTTTATTTCTCATAAAATTTCGAGACGAGATCGAGACGGGATTTCCCTTCTCATACACAACGGGAAATGCACGTTCAAAATTTTTACCTGATTTTGTAACATTGTTAGATGACTGTTTAAATACAAAAATAATGATAATAGGCAAGAATATTTACAATCTTTTATTAAAAAACATCAGCATAACATTTTTTTATTAATCACGCTTAACTTAATAAAAATGCCTACGATTAGGAAACATAGTGATATCAGTTAGGATAGAGTTCAACTTATCCCAAAATAAAATAAATCATAAAATAAAAGCAATATTAATTTTTATAAAATAGTTACTTGTTTTGACTTTTTATAGTAATAAAACATTCCTTACACTGCTTACACTTAACAAAACTTCTCAAATGTTATTAAAGTAATATTATTCAAATAAAAAGTAATATTTACATTTAAAGAATTAATTAAATAAGAACGCCTTCTCAAAGGAAACGCAACTACAACACGCTCCTGTATTGCGGGTATTGCATTGACTTTCTGCAGGCGTTTTTAATTTTTTTTTTTTTTTTTTTTTAATTCTCGTCTCGATAAAAATCTCGGCCAAAAAGAAATCTCGTCTCATGTAACGAGATTTAAAATTTCCCGAAATTTCGAGACTTGACCATCCCTACTTACTAATATAAACTTCAATAATTAATGTAAGGCGGGACTGTTGTTCTAGCGTACTCTGACTAGTGTCAACAGCCAGCTGTTCTTGATCACTGGAGAGAGACCTCCGAGCTATGACAGCATCACGAAACCAGAGTTGGTCTACGTCCCTCCACCCCCCTACAATGCTATCTTTGACGTTTGAACATAAGCTGTTTGGTTGGTCCTACTTCAAATGCTACTTTCAAGATATATGTAAATATATTGATCCAAGTCTGTGTCATCCAATGAGAAGCAAGTTTTCAGCGCAGTGACGCAGTGAAACAGTATTAACAATTTGCTAGTGTTGTGCAATCTAATGCTTCAACTTAATAAACCAAAAACCAAACCTTCATGACAAGGGTGTTAACGATATTGAATAAATTAAAACTACCAAAGATACTCCCATGCTCGGTAGGATTATGTTTTTAATGGTAGTAACGACTACATCAGTCGGACTCTTGAATACAAGCGTTTATATACTTTGTGTTAAACAGAGGGCAGACTTCTAAAAAGAAAGATTTTATCTATCCATTTTTTGGAGCTATGAAATGATGAAATCAATCTAAATTCTTCAAATTTTCCAAGCAAAATTTGTTGTGCATCTCAGTGATTTAGGATGTTTTGAGAAAAAGTGTGTATTTGAAAAATTGTTTTACATAATTTGTTGATTTTTTAAAATTATTTTGTTTATTATGGAAGAGAAACAGAAATACACTATAATATTCAGTCAAAGATTTACTCGCTAATAAACTGTAATAGTATACATTAGTGGATTTTTTTTTCATTTAGGTGCTTTGAACAAAGTTTCCTTGAAATGTATGGGAGAACCTTGAGTTTTATTCTAACACAAACCCCCTTTTTTGTTTGGTGCATCTTGTGTGTCCTCATAATCTAGTCTAATGTAAATAATTTTAAAAAGATTTACATTGAATAGCTGCTTCTATATTATTGTATTTATATTTGTTTCTACATTGTATTTTTTTTATTCTGTTTGGTCTTATTGATTTTGTATTCATATAAGTTATGTATCTACTTTTTCATTGTTGTATAAATATTTTTACACTATTTGTTCTTATTTTACTTCCTCTTCATTTAGTATGCAAAATGTGCATGAAAAAGCTGTGTAAAATTGCTGCAACTATCTTTTAAAATACATATTTTTCAAATATGGTAGTAATAATTAGTAATGTTTAATATCTAGCTTATGTTATAACTTTACTCTGACTTTTAACATTGCGCAATACAAAACGATGCATCCGAGTATTAATTAACAAATGCATAGAACTAATGCATTACAAATCGTGGCTAGTAGGAAATATTGAAGGAATACATGTTTGAAAATTTATAGGAGTCATATTAAATGATCAAAAAAATCTATAAATAATGTTTTATTCCACATACAATCAAAATTTACTTCCAAAACAGCACAAAATATATTAAGCTTTAAGGACTAGAGTAAGTAGGAAAGCAAGGAAAGTCTCTCCTCCCTCATTCCATGATCTAAGTTAAGTATCTCAGTGTAAAAAAGAAATTTATAATAGGCCACAAGTTGTTTAAAACACTGATACGATGTTTCAACATAGGATAAAATGTTTACAAGAATAAAATTGGTGTGTCCTTTATACTGCTCAACCGATTTAAACAAAAGAGGACTAGGGACTAGGGAGTCTAAGAGTAAAAGTGATTTTCCCACTATTACAAGCACACCTAAAACAATGCGGTTTGTAGTTTCTAAAAAAGGTTCTGGTAATTTGATAGCAAATTTCATGAAAATTGATCTATGATTAGATTATACAACTATACATTTTATTTGTTATATTTTACGGTTGCAGATAAAAATATTTAAACTTTGACAGATTTTTGTGCAGTAGGGTTTCAAATTTACAGTTAAGTTATAAAGGCTGCTCCAGACATCAAGCGCCAGTCGCCAAGCACAAAATATTTTACGTTTGGAGTTCTAGTTGTCTTGCTATTCGCCGATTATCGAGTAGACGTCTACAGTTGTTTTCCGAGCAATTGTTCGTTTCAAGAATATAAAATATTCGTTTACATTGATGTGTGTAAAATACCGACAATGAAAGGGAAAACACGAGCACAAATGTTTACTGGTTGTCACATTGACAAAGACGTATCCACAGACAGTACTCACGATTCAGCGGGTCACTTCTCGGTGCTTGGTGAATGGCGCATGTCTGGAGCCGCCTTAAGAGAGACCACAATATCACTTTTGTTTATTTTTTAGTTATATTTGTACTTTTAAAATATAATTGTTAGTACTGGGCTCTCTAATCCCCTTTGGTGTAAACCTTTTTGAACGGCAGTAATAAAGTAATAAAAATGCCACTGGCGTAGATATGAGAAAAAAAAAAAAAAAAAAAAATAGAGCAGTAATTAAAGACCGGCAAACATACGGGTGAACAAAACTTGGCTTAGGACACAAGCCTAAACCTTTGGACCAAGGTTGCCTATCCAGTGTCCACGACGATACAAACACCGAAAGATTGTTTTTGAAATGCTAAACTTTTTCAGCTGAGTAAGCAATTTTCATTCAATTTATCAAGAAATACACAATATTTTGAATGAACCCCTCTAAAAAGTTACAAGACTAACCAAGAAGCAACAAATAAAAAAATTACTCTAAAATATGGTTGAAATATTGAAGTATATGGATTTGGATTGTCACTGGTCACCCAGCTCTATGAGTAACTGATAATCATTACAATGAGGAGGAGAAGGTGGAAGACTCTGTATTGGCTTGGGTCGCCTATCAGTCTCTACGACGTTACAGTATGGTACAATTTGTAAGCACATCGCTAACAGAACATCGAGATATGTACAAAGTAAACCTGTACAAACACTTCCTAACTTTGAGCCAGTCAACTACAATAACATACAGCGGTTTCTAGTGTGTTTTTACGTGGTCAACACCATGATGAGAAGGAGTCTTATAAATGTTGAAATATTACGGTTTAAGGTATTTTTTCCAGGTTCTAGTTCGCAACTGTTACTGCAGACTAGGCCTTGAGGGGATCACGACAAGTTTTGGTTCAAGGTAACTTACTAAAACCATTTCAAAACATGACATTAATTCGAAATAAGTTTGAAAAACATTCGCTCAATGGATAAGAGCTAATTTGACAATTATTATCATTCATCTTTACTAAATATTCATGTTACACAGCTGAAATGTTAAACCTACACAAACAAATGTTTAGGTAACCCTATTCATTACATCCCTTTATTACTTTGCAAATAAAAAACTACGGTATTATTTAGCTGAGGCGATTTGATACATCTGAAGTTTGTTTAAACTGATTGATTTTAAGGATACTTGACTAATCTTTACATCATGGTGTTAAGTTAAACATTGACAAAGACTGGGAATCATTATGATAATACCTTTAGGCCTATTAACTACTTATAACATACATAACATCCTATTATGAAATCTAATTTAAGTTATCATATTTGTTACAAGTCAATGTCATTTAACAGGTTGTGATTAACAATCAAACAATTATTTATGAAGGCATCCTCTTCATTTTCACCATAAAAAACGTCCATACAAAATAGGATATTGTTTGTAAAATTAAATGTTTATCTTTCATAAAATTCTCTTAGGAAAAAGTACTTCATATGTTTAACTTACATAAAAATATGAAAATATGTACGAAATATGATTTAGTGACTAAATGTTCAAGCCTTTAAAGACCAATAATGTTATTCAAAAATGTTCCCCTAAAAACGGGGGGGCCACCAGTTGACCGACAAGATACTTGGTCGTCTTGCCACTAGACCGTCTTTTTTAATTAAATAGATAAATACTGAAAACCAGTACGTCGATAAGTTATTTCATCGTCAGTCCAGTTGACCGGCCTGTAAATCTAAATTATTATATACGAGAAACCAACTTGTCGTCAATCCTCCCGACCGACTTACCACTTGCTCGTCTTTTAGGTGGGGGTGTGTTGAGCGGCAGTGCCAGCGGCGCGCGCAGCTGTGGAGGGCACTGCAGGCATACCAACTTCTGTATCTTGTAGGGGCGGTTTTCATTCCGACGATTTTCAGCTATCACAATGCAGCGGACTAGCGAGGTTCTTATTACGTGTAATTGTTTGTTTCTCAATCGATATTTTGTTATACACAGTACAGTGAATATAAATAGGCCTATATTAGTTTACTTCAATGAAATAAATGTTTTATTTAGCTAAATAAATAAAAATACGCCGATTGAACAAATAAAATTGTTACAGACAACAGGAAGTCCTTAATATGATCAAAAAAGTGTTTATCTTTATTAAAAAATTACTGAAATTTGTTAACTTACTGCTGGCGACAAGGGTGGTGCCATACATAGGTTTATCAATAAATAAGATAAACATGGACAACCTTATGCAGCTATAAGTCAGGAAACATTTGTAGAAACATTAAAAAGCAATACCAATTTATGAAATATGATAAAATATTTACAGGAATTGTTGACTACTGTATATACATCGTGAGTATCTCCAGCAGTTACACACTGGTGATCTTTGAGTTGACTCTTTTAAACTCATTGATTATTACTTTTTTTCGTTTTGAAATAAATTCTGTAATACTTTGAAATTGCTCGAATTCGAGCAACATGTACACGAGTTTGAATATTAAATTAACTAACATATTAATGTAATAGGAGGGTCAAATATTGTTAACAGTGGTGAGGTAACTACCGTTACATTTATTCAATTGAGAGATAAATACAAATTGATAATACCGGTTATTTAAAGCTTTGTTGTCTATTTTTCCCTCTCTTAAAAAAATAAAATAAAGAATGAATTTAGACTTTTGGTGACATTAGTTTGTACTATTTCTCCTTAAATGACACTGCTGTCTTGGTAAGCAATAGTTATCTCGGTAAACTATTTATTTGCTGAAGTGCACAGTGTGCTACTTAGCCTGAGAAACATCTTTTGTTTTATGATTTTGTTGTAGGCCTATTGAAAACCTTGTCTAGAAGGAATTCCCATTGCCTGTGTTACCGGGGAGAAGTTTTTCTTAGTTAAGTCTGTAGACGTCTTCGGTTTTACACAGAAACATGTAATTATAATTGAAGAAGTACATGTTTTATCCTCTCACGTTGTTGCGTGGACAATACTATGGTGATTCAATTCTGTGTACTTCAATTGTCTAACTGGCCCTAACTGACGCATCCTTGTTTTTTTTTTACTAAATAATGTAGTCTTTACTTCCGTGGATCTTTGCGTTTTATTGTGTAACTGTCCTCAAGTAAGTCTGTGTTCTGAGTAAGTACTTCACGGCACTACTGTATATTCAGATTTTCTAATGAACTATCATAGATAAAAGGAGTATAGACATGTATGTATGACAGAGTATGTCTACTCCTTTTATCTGTGGTACTATTTCCAAGTTCATCTGGACGACCCTGCAAATCGTTTCTAGTAAAAAAAATTTTATTTGGTTTATGTTTATGAACTTGTATGAGTGTTGTTAACTAAAGCTAAATTCACATCAAATTAATTTATTTAATTTATTTTAATAGTATTTCTAATTAATTTCAGTTTTAAGAACATATAGTAAATAAATCCTTGTTGAAACGGCTGTACTATCCATGCAATTATTGTCAAACTATATGTTCAAAGATTCCTGGACGGCAATGTTATAATACTAGTTGGAGCAGAGGTACTGGATCTAGGGTTAATACAGTTTTGTGACGTGTAAGGTATATCACTGCAGAAGTAGTTAGCTCAAGAATTATGACGCGGATGACAAAGATTGGTAGCTTTTGCTATAATTATAAAAAAAACCAAGTACATAAAATCATTCACAGTTTTTTTTCACAGTCTATTGAATAGCCTGCAGTTAAGTTCACTCTAATGAAGAATATAGACGTGGCCAGAGTTCCAAACGATTTAAGTAACAACTGTTTACATGAACTATCCTATATGTAAGTTTTTTTTTTATAGTGTGCAATGTACTTATTGAATTTTCATTAGTAATATATCATGGCTATATCGTTTATGTAAAAGTATCAAAAGATAGTAAAACGAAAACGAAACAATGAACCAAGACCAGTGACCGAAACAAGTGTCGAGCTGGCGGCGCCGCGCCTACCTCGGGATTCCCCGAGGGCAATAATTCATCTTTGAAGTAACACCGGTAACACTGACTCACTGGCCGACACGGATACCCGCCTACCACCCCCTTTGTGTCGTCACCCTATGACCACCGGTCGGTCGGCCACCCATCCTGGAATGACGATGAAATAACTTGTCGACGTACTGGTTTTCAGTATTTATCTATTTAATTAAAAAAAGACGGTCTCGTGGCCAGACGACCAAGTATCTTGTCGGTCTACTGGTAGGCTCCCCTAAAAACGTTGATTTTCATATCAAAGTAGGCTTCCTTACCTTCTTCTGAAATCTAAATTTTAATCAAAACTGAACTAATACTGCATAGATAGTAATTTTTCATCATAAGGGAAAAACAGCCATAGAAAAGTATAAAATGCATATGTTTGACAATTTGGTACAGACACTAAATAATAATGATTCCAAAACTAAGGATATTTAAAATTAAATTATAAAAAACCATAAAAATCTAATTCATTGAATATGGTTGGGTAAAATAAAGTTATTGTAGCTTAGATAATCATGATTCAGAAAAAATAAAGGTCAGTTGACAATTTTTAAGGACCTTTGGAAGTTTAGATGATTTGTTACACAGATAGTGCAAAAATTAACAATACATAAAAATAACTTTGTTGATGAAGTATCCATTCAACATTTTAACTTTAGTGCAAAAATGTCTTGGCTACAATTATTTTTGTAAAAAACCTTTATTTACATTTTATTATAAAATTTCAAAAAAAAATTATCAAACTAGACACATTAACAACTTTAAAAGGGCATTTGTTGTACATCATACAAATCATGCTGTTTATATCATAAAAATATATCTATCCTAAAACCGTTTGAAACTGCCTCAGGCACAAATGTATAAAAACTAAACTCAATGACAACATTTGGTTAAAACTATGGTGATGTATCGGAGGGTGGGGAATCGTGGGGTGGTTTTTCCTCAGAACCGATGAGGAATTCGAACAGTGTTGAACTGTCCATGGGGTTGGGGTTGTCTAAGGTAGCCTGCAGATACCTCAGTATAGACCCTGTTAGCTCTCCTACACTCCACTGTCTGTCTAGGAGAACTCTGCAAACTGTATCCAGCTGCAACCAAAATAAGAATTGAAGGATTTTTTCCAAGAATAGTCCTTTCTTGATACTTCTGTTGGCTCTTGGTAGTTTTCCGTTGAGGTGTGCTGGTGGCTGGACTTTGAGAAAGGCCAAGCTTAACTTGAAAGCTTGAGTGATTGAGCACCAAGTCAGAAAATATATCTTAGATCAGCTTTTATTCCCATGATACTATTGCCATTCCAGAGAGCGTCAATGATCAAGAATTCATGACGATTCCGGGAGACAATGTTCACACAAAACCTGCTGGAGATGGTCACGATTTCATCAAGATTAATGGTTATGTCACAAAGTAATGGTTGAATATTAGTGCCAGGATAACGGATTATAGGCCTGTTTCCAGTCCTGCAATTCATCTTTAATGCAAAATCTTAGATAAGGCATGCTTCAGCATCTTTAGTGTTTTTTAGACAAACTTAGTTACCACATTCACTGATATTTTTAGGTTGGCCAAAGGGATCAGTTCAGGCTGAAAATAATCGTTATGCCAAGCTTGGATCATCTCATATATGTAAGAGTACTAGCTGTTTAATTTTTGAGTCAAGGCGAGCTGAGTTATATTTTTGCAATCATAGAAAGTGTGTGGGAATATGCATAAAATTGTCTATTTCACCTTTTGCCGCAATGTTGAGAGATTATGATCATGTTACTGCGATTGCGGAAGATGTTTTGATTTTGCCATAATTGCAGAAGACGATTTTGCCATGACCACGGGAGATGTGAGATTTTACTGTGACTGCAGAAGACATTCTCGATTTTTGTGTGACCGCATAACATAAGATGTTCACAATTTTATTGTATCCACAAGACATGATATACAATATTGTATAAACTAATTGTAGTATTATTAAAAATCAATTCTTTCCAAAGTAAACCGATTTTTACCCAACCCGACTTTACCAAAGTAAAAAGTCCTGGCCAGCAGACCATTTTTTCTCAGTAATTACTAGAGAATTACCTTAAGCAGCTTGTAGTGACAGCAGGTGAAGTACAGCAGATGAGGCACCCCCGCCACACTGGCTGTCAGCCACTGTATCAGCACCTTCAGTTGTGGCTCCCCCAGACAACTACTGCCACAGCCCCAGTTACCAGTTGCAACTGGCAGCAAGTTGCGTTCACAGTCTCGTCTCTGGCCCACCAGCGATACCTTACAACCAATAACAATTAAAAACCACATCATAGAACAGCAACATCATTCAATGACTTTTTTAATGGTTGCTGATGACTGATGAGTTTCTAGCAACGGATTTAACTTTAACTTGTTTCTTGCAAGTTACATTAATATAAAAGGAAACTAAATATGACTGTTTTGGGGAACAGTCAACTTTCAAATTCAAATCAAATTGAACTACCAATTTACTTGTTGTAGATTCCCCAATTGAAATATCAAGGTCACTAGGCCACTCACCAACTGAGCAGCCAGCTTGTGCTTGTGTCTAGCCAGCTCCAGACTGAGGCTCCTGGCCGCCATGGCCAGCTTCATCTTCTGTTTGGTCTCAGAGTCGTCTGGCTCTCCTTGTTCACCTCCCGTCTCCAGTGGGACTCCCACAAAAGACTCACTGAGCGTTCTCTTGAGCAGACTGCCTGCAAACTGCACCACAGCCACGTCCCTCAGTCTCTGCAACATAACAATAAAAAAATCATAATATATTAGTGATGGGCGGATCCAAGAAAATGTCGGTACCGAATCCGGATCTTGATCCAGATACACACTGTCATAAGGGTGGGTTAAAAAAACGTAACTAACATAATATGCCAATTTAAATCACACTGTTTAAAATTAAATTGGTAATGTTTAAAGATTAATACATCTTATATACAGAGTAATCTCCAGTTGAGCCCATAATCCCTCATTTTTTGGGGACACTAAAACTTTTAAAAATCATAAAATGAAACTTTGTCCTAATGTTGCACGACCACCAAAAGGGTATCTGTGTATATTTTACTATAGTTTGATCTTGAGTATGCTATATCGTGGTTTTTGCATGCAGCATCCAATTTATTTATACCTGAATCACCTCTTGTTGGAAAAGGGTTTCTGTGTATATGTTACTATAGTTCGATCTTGAGTATGCTATATCGTGGTTTTTGCATGCAGCATCCAATTTATTTATACCTGAATCCCCTCTTGTTAATCTCTTTCTTAAATTCGTTCCAGGTCCACAGGACTGATAGACGGGTATGTGAAGTTCTACAGGTAAACACAGGGTGTCTGTGTACAAGAAGACTGTACTGTGTTCAAACTTAGAAAAATATTAGATGGGGGAGTCTTGACTTTTTTATTCACCCTGTATGGGCACAGATAATCTTCTTGTACACAGACACAGGGTATTTTACCTGTAGAGTTTCACATACACGGCTATCAGTACTGTGGACCTGCAACGAATAACAAAGAGAGATAAGCAAGGGGTGATCCAGGCATACAAGACCAATGTTTTCCCAATTTTATTACTAACACAAAGCTGTCTGTATCTATGAACAAGACCGATTAACCAGATAACACGGTGGTAAAAATTATTACCGGTGTAAACATTACTACCGGTTATTATTACCGGTTCGGTAAACATTTTTACCGGTGGAAGTGCATTTGCTCAGCTATCATTACTGTGGACCCGGAACAAAATTTGGTGGTAAAAATTATTACCAGTGGAAGATGCATATGCCCGCCTATCATTACTGTGGACCTGGAACTAAATTCGGCGGTAAACATTATTACCGGTTGAAGTGGTTGAAGTAACCAGATAACACGGTGGTAAAAATTATTACCGGTGTAAACATTACTACCGGTTATTATTACCGGTTCGGTAAACATTTTTACCGGTGGAAGTGCATTTGCTCAGCTATCATTACTGTGGACCCGGAACAAAATTTGGTGGTAAAAATTATTACCAGTGGAAGATGCATATGCCCGCCTATCATTACTGTGGACCTGGAACTAAATTCGGCGGTAAACATTATTACCGGTTGAAGTGGTTGAAGTAACCAGATAACACGGTGGTAAAAATTATTACCGGTGTAAACATTACTACCGGTTATTATTACCGGTTCGGTAAACATTTTTACCGGTGGAAGTGCATTTGCTCAGCTATCATTAAACATTATTACCGGTTGAAGTGCATATGCCCGGCTATCAATACTGTGGACCTGGAACTTGGACCTAGACAGCTTTATGTTAGCAAAAAAATCGGGAAAAAATCGGATCCATCAAAACCGGATCCAGCCCAAGATCCGGAATTTTTTGTATCCGATCCGGCGGATCCGATTGTCCGATATCCGGATCTGACCATCACTATAATATATATTCAAATATTATACTAGAATTATGTAAAAACCCAGAACAAAGAGCTATTTTTGTTCAACGAATATTAAAAAGTCTTTTAATATTGACTTTATAAAATGTGTGCCTGTTGTGTAAGAATGATAATGTCATTTTAAACCTTATGTACATTTTATAAGTGTGTTAATGTTAATTAGTACAAAACATTGTGCCTGTATAAAATAACATGTAAATGCTTACATTAAGTTAGGCTACCTAAACTCAACGGTACGTGAATATAGCCTACATGTAGCTTTACATCATTTGTTTGAATAGTGCAACTTTTCACTCATGAAAATTTTCTTATCATAATTTACTTAATTATGTGCAGCTAATCACAATTTGGGCTAGGCCTACTAAAGATATGTAAAATTCTAAACTACCATACAATTCAAATCACCACACTGGTTTGCTTCTATATTTCAAATGTTGCTGTAAATTATGTTTGAAGTACATTGTTTTTGTATGATGTTGCATGTAATATTTATTTACCTGCCTATCACATTCTCCATCAGCATAGTCTCCAGCCTCATCCAGCCACCTTCCCAACTGCTCATACACATCTTCCAAGTCTGCATAAAAAAAGTCAGTCAATATGTCAGAAGAATGGGAACTAGCTCGTTGAAATTTACCAACTACTATCAAATTCAAATAAATCAAATCAGTTTTATTTCCACAATGTATAAAAAGTTTACAATTTTTCAAAAAAATAAAATACAAATATATTATAGTCTTGAAGCATTATACAGTACATTGTTTACGTAAAATAATTCTAGTAAAATTAAATTTATAAAGTTATAATAATATAAACTTAAATACTAGTTGAAATATGTTTGCTCTGGCTAGAATAATAACTAATGTAATAGGTAATGGAAATGAGTCTACATAGGCCTCAGTGGTCTAAAGGTTAATAAAGAATAGTAACTTTTAAATTTGCATGACACCAATAGTCATTGCTACATAGTACATATACAATTTTACAGACCTGAGCTATACTCTGTACTGAAGCTGTATCGTGATGAGTTTCCTCTCTTGTAAGGTCGGGAAGGTTCCCTCATTTCTCTCCGCCTCATCCTCCCTCTCTCATCTACTGACTCTTCCTCCAACATGAACCCTCTGGAGCCTCCTCTTCTCATCCTAAAACATGCCATGTGGTCAAATATCTATATATGTCTGATTTAAAAAATAAACAACTCAGTTCGATCCTCGGCTTATCAAACCTAAGAAATATGGCAAGACTATCCACAACAAAATACATTGCAGTTCATTATGGAGTTCACAATCTAACTTTTCGTTAACTAGTAAATATGAAAAAACAAGTTTACAAAGAAAGTTTGTCGGTTTGTTGCGGTTTATTGATAATCATATAATAAAGACTGAATAAAACACCAGGAAGAGATTTCAGTCTCTGGAGGTATGCTTGTACATACCTGATATCATTGTCTCCTGTACTAGAGCCTGTCACACTGATACCTACAGCATAGCTAGACTCTGAGCTCTCACTGGACTGTGCTCTGTCCAGTGCTTCTCTCAGTCGCTGTGCAAACGTACACCTTCGCTCTGGTGTGTCCAACTGCGCACTGTAGTTGTGTTCACCCTCCTCTTCTTCCTCCACTGTACACAAAATAATATTGAACATTACCAACAACTAGAGACAATCAGGATTATAATTTTTAACTGGTAGTATCGGCAAACAAATATGGAAAAATAGTTTCCCACAAAATACTGGTTCCTTAGGAAAATCGTCTGGATAGCTGTGTGAGTTTGGTTATTTGGTCTCGCTCCTCTTCAAATTTTAAGGTTGCTTGTTTTGATCCTGGATTAAGATACCATTTTATGATGATTTTTAGCCAAAGGTTAACGTTACAAGTCTACGGTTTTCTCACCAATACGATAAAAAAATAACAAACACTCGTTCACTCTCTTGCAAGAATCAAACCATCTAGGTGTAATCTCATTTTGGGTAAAAATTTCAGATTCTGACGACTTAAAATGGACAAATGTTTTAATGGACTGGACACTCAGGTAAGGTTTAAAAGTATAATGTGACTTACAAGTCTCACTGATGCTGGTCCTAGCAGAGAAGTACTGATCACCATCGTCAGAGGAGTGGCAGGAAGAGTAGCGGCTGGCAGGGTTACGGGAGATTGGAAGACATTCACCTGACGAGCCCAGGAGGATGAATCTCCGTCGGATGCTGACGGGAGGAATGGTTGCTAGAGGACCCAGCTCTGGCTTCACCTTCTGCAACGTTTTATACATTTGTTAACCAAGTAATTTTTAATTTTTTATTCAACAATGTACATTACTGGAGTGTGCTTTGAGTGGCCCAGAGGGAACTATTCAAGATGAGGCTCCTTACAAAAGGATATTAGTTGTAAAAATAGATTGTTTTCATTTTTTGATGAAATTTTACAGCATTTTCAGCTAACCCAAACAATTTGGTCATCTGCAAAGGGTCAGGTGCCTATTAGTTTGGATTAGCAAGACTCTGGTACTATTTAAGAACAAACAATCCAAGCACATGAGCTATAGTTGTAACTTTACTCACCTGAGGTGGTTGTACAGGCTTGCTGTACGCTTCATCATTCTCCGGGGGTGTAGAACTGAACGACTCTCCGATGGGCGACAGCCGTCTCGTGGTGGGTGGAGGGGGAGGGGCGGCGCGCTGTCTGAACCCCAGCAGAGACTTGTTCAACTCCCGCAAGAAATTGTCCTCTTCATACTGGCTCAGTGGAAGCTTAGAGTAGTTCTCAGCATCCATTAGCAGTGAGGTTAACTGTGGTAATACAAATATATGACATTGAATTGTAAAGATTACAAGGATAGAAGTATGAAATGCAGGAGTTTCTGTTTCTGACAATATTTGAATTTTGAACAATGTAAGATGGTGTCCTACAAATTACTGCATTGGAAAATTTGTACTATTTATGTCTCAGGACTAAGTAGGTTTTTTATCTACTTAGACTCTATTGCACTAGCTAGACATGTAGAAATTCTACAAAGAGCATCAGTGATCTGAAATTGGGGTCTGACTGAGGTTTAACAAATGGTTGTTATCTTTTACATTTTTTTGCGAAGTGGCAACATAAATTTGACAACAGAATCATACCATAAAGTGTTTACTTGTACAACCTACAGTAAATCAATTATCTAACTGATACTTTTCAAACTTCCACTTCCATCACCATACCCTTCTAATAATTTGATTGATATAAGTAGGCGAGTGTTGTCAGCTCGTACCGTGACAGGTGCATTGATCAATTCTAGTGTAGCCTTGTAGCGGGGGTCAGTGACCCTAGACACCTGCACCACCCCCTCTAGAGTGACCACTTCGTTGTCCTCCAACGCTTCACAGAACAGCAAGGCACTGAGGATCTCTGGACACTGGAACAGCTGCAGGCACTCCTACAAACATAATACACACAGGTGGTGTGAGTTACCATCATGTGATGGGAACATTTTATATTGTTTGATTTGAATACAAAAATGTTGAGTTAGATTCTGGATTCTATGTGTGATTTTGGTTTCAGGCCAATTAGGATACACAAAAATTCACAAACATTTTTTATCTAAAATTTATCTGATTAATAAAAAAAGGACCTTTTCCGTTAATTCACTACCACTAGTTTTAAGAACAATAGATTATTAGCAATAGAAGTGGTAGTGAATTAAGCTTTGGTTTGGTTAGTTTAGGTTAGGTTAGTATAGGTTAGCAGAGAGTTAGAAAAATCTAACCTTATTCCACCAGTGATAGTGAATTAACGGAAAAGGTCCAAATAACAAATTTGGCATTCCGGGCCTGAAAGTTCAGGAAATTTACTAGTAATTTTGGGTTGTTTTGAGGAACGGAAATCTTCCTATATTATCAAGGTCACCGCAGATGTGTGCGGAATCTACGAAATATAAAACTCACAATGTTCTACGTATACATAATATGACCAGGCTTTTACCTAAATTGAGAAAGTGACGATTAAAAGAAAACTTCCAGTATTTTTAAGGGGGGTTCCAGTTTGAAATGATGATTTTGTCAATGACAGTCTGACATGTGGCAATAAACACTTTCAACTTACCCACGAGCTACCGCTGCTGAGTACATGTCCGCCGATCCGAGAGCTGGTGAAGCAGACGACGAGGTGGTCAGAAGGGGCTCGGTCCAACCGGCCTTCATGTCTTATCATCAGAGGACACAGAGGCAAGCCACACTCCAACCAGTCCTCTATAGTCAACCACTCCTTGCCTGACATCACCTATCAAGTCAAGAGATTCATTGTAGAGTAAATCATAACATTGGTGAATATAGACACTGATAAAAATGTGTGGTGTGTGTCATTTACAGAATGTCCATTAACTAAATTGGAATGGGTTTCCTAAAATTTCAACCAACTATCCTGGTATAGGCTACTCAAAAAGGGACAGTTCCCAATTGTAATGTTTAGATCTACCAAGAGATTATTTAAATTATTTTAGCAAAGCAGTAAGAGTTTTCATATATTTCCATATTTTAACTAGAGACTCAGAGTAAAAAATCAAAACAAAGCTAAGTCACTTGTAGCATACCTGCCTTGAAAAAATAATTTTTGATGAAGGCACTCCATTCCGCTCCAATAGATCGAAGTAGTGAAAGAAACTTCTTAGTTTAGCCTTTTGGAAGTTTCTGAAAATGAAAAAAGACAAATAATTATTGCCTATTAAGCTTTTGACTCTTATAAAATGTTATAAATATAATTAAAAACATAATAAAAATACTGTTAAGTTTGGTTTCTGATGAGGGAGTCTTTTATCTATTGAAGTTACATGTTAATATATTCTTATCTGTTTAACAATTTTTACAGTATCACGTGCGGCATATCTATTGAAGTGGATTTTAATATTGTCTCTAAATCACAGCTCTTTTGCCATCCAAAGGCTTTAATATTGATACTTGCAAAATAAAAAATATCTAGTAAAATTTTAAATAGAATTTTTTACCCAAGTTTCACAGTGAGATGAGGATGCACAAGACTTGACACCAACAAATTTGCAAAATATATTTCAGATTTAATTTGGTTTATAGGCCTAGCTAAAAAAACTGGTACTTTATATAATAAAGGGTGTCCCAATAAGAACGCCGGATGAAATGTTAATGAACCATATATTTTCACGCTAAATTTACAATATGAAACATGAATCCTAAAGCATAGTATTTCCGATTAGTAATAGCATATTATGTCTCGTAAGTGTCCACCTGCTGCCTGCTGACAAGCCCGACATCTCTTGACAAAGTTTTCCATCACTTTTTCACACACTTCCTGTTGAATGACAAGATCAATTTCCTCCTTCAGGTCTTGGATTGTTTGAGGATTATTGGCGAAAACAAGTGACTTTAAATATCCCCAAAGAAAGTAGTCACACGGTGTTAAATCGCACGATCTTGCTTAGATGGCGATGCAGCGATGTGTGCTTCATCGCTGAACAGCAAAGTTTTTGTCATTTTCATATTGATTGCCAACCGTTTACGGCCGTATACAGGATCTCTTGGCTTGATCTCTTGTGCGAGTTGAATTTTGTAAGGGCCCATGTGAAGGTCTTTTACAAAAATTCTTTGTACTGTGCTCCGAGCTAGGCCTAACTGCTGACTACGCCGACGAATCGATGTTCTTGCGTTGTCTTCTAAACTATCATGTACAGCCTCAATATTTTCAAGGGCGACCTGCCCGACTGCGCAATGGTCTTTTAATGTCCAAAACTGAGCATATTTTTTCGAACTTAGAAATTAATCCGGACAGATGACTCATTTGGTGCATTGTCCCGGCCGAAAATAACGCGCATCTTCCGCACCGTTTCAGCGAAACGTTCCCCGTACTTGTAGTGCACTTTAACTATGACCAAGCGTTGATCCGTCGTGTAACGATTCATGACTACAAATGGGACCTAATACTGATAACATAGCTGATAATTTGGGAATTCCTATCGAAATACATATAAGGATAAGACGATCTTGAAATCCGGCGTTCTTACTGGGACACCCTTTTGAAATTCATTTTTATCTACCCCTAAACATGTTATTGTTATCATTACATGATAAATTAGGATAGTCTATTTCACCTTTTACAGTAACTTGAAGCTTTGCAGAATTGCTAGTACCTTTTATTTAATGATTTAGCACTATTTTATGAAATCAAGACAACACCTCATCAGAGAAATAGTGAACCTAAATCTACTTCTACTGTTATTAAATTATGATAGTTAAAATTTGTATTGTGTAAATGGCTTGAAAGGCTAGACAGACCCAAGGCCTGATTGATTTAGGCAAAATGGCAGAATACTGAATGTACAGTAGACTCCCTCTTATCCGGACTCCTCGGGAACGAGGCTAGTCCAGATCACGGGTTTTCTGGTTAAACCGACGTCCCCAAAAACTTGTTAAAACAGAAATCGTGTACTGGTACTGTCATATTCGACTTTAATTTAGGAGAGCATTGTATTTATATAGGCCTACGTGATCACTGGTCTCAAATCTTTCCCACGAGAACAGTCGTTTCAGTACCGCTCACTTCTTGCCAATCTAGTCAGGTTAAACCAATGGGCTGATAAAAATTGTCCGATTAAAAGGTGTCCGGATAAGAGGGAGTCTACATTAAACTTTTCTGTGTTACCGCTTAGATGGGAACAAATGTATCTCCTGTTTTTTTGGTCTAACTTAGGGCCTATAATATAATTTTGAAAGATTTATTGTGCTATAGATTCAAATTTTTTGTATCACTAGTTTATGAAATTAGTTTTTTTTTATAAGTTTACCAACAAAAGATCTAGAACAAAAATATTATTAAATCCTGCCATCCTACAGATCGGATTTTAATTATTTTCTTAAGTTGTTTACACATAGGCCACTACTAGGTTAAATTTTCCTGTCTTTCTAAATAATAATTATTACTTTAAAAATTATTTTTCTTCACTTTTAATAAAATAAATTCATCTATCTATCATAGAAATTAAAAAATCATAAGTAGTCAGGACCAGTGCAACCATGCGACCAGGGTATTTATGCCGATTATGCTTTATGCTCAGACCTGGGTATTTATGGCGATCATACGGAGAAGTAAAATGCTAGTAGTGACCATATGAAATTTTGTTTTACACATTTTATTACCATTTTGCTATCCTTACAAGGTAATAATTGCAAAAAAACATCTCAATCTTCTCTAACTTTAATACAAATTATAAATACCCAGTTTTTGGGTATTTACCCGGGCCTGGGGTAAATACCCAGGTAAATACCCAATTTATATTTACCTACCCACTGGGTATTTACCCGGCCCACATCACTATCGATTTCATAAATACCCAAAATACCCGGGTATTTATGGATTTTGGGTATTTACCCGGGTAAATACCCAGGGTATTTACCCCGAGTTTTAAATACCCAGGTATTTTACATCACTACCTTTATATGATGTATATATTACTATTTCGGGATTAATAAGATAAGGATGCAGGGCTGTATAAATAGCAATACAAAAAACACCCAGTATTAAAATTTGTAATGTCAAGAAAACATGACAACAAGAAAAACTCACTTACAGGTCCAGATGTTTGAAGAAGTTTGTAAAGTTGAAGTCCTGGAGGGTCGGGTGAGTCTTTGGTGTTCTCTTTGGAAAAGTTGAGAAGAACAAATGGGCAAGAAGTGAAGCAATGAAGTTCCTATCAAACTCAATCCGATCTTCTGTAATTTGACATAACCAATATTTCAAAAGTTGAATTAATGAAAACGATTTGTATACCATCATACACACAAAGTTCATTATCTAAGAGGGGTCATTTACATAGGTGTTAAGTTTTTCACTACTAGCCTACCTGTAGGACACCACTAAACATTATACACCAAATATAAGTACACCATTTTAAAGTGGTTTTGATACTAACAAGTAAATTTATGCAAAAGATTGTCAAATATCGTGGATAGGCAAGATAAAAAACATAATAATTACATAAAAAAAAACAAGATTTTATAAACACATTATCTTTTGTGCAGGTCTTGGTGAACTTAAATGTCTGAAGGTTAAAAAAGTATTAAAAACTACATATTTTAACATACATCAGAAGTAAAATATTTGTTAATCACAACTCACAACTTGGTTACAGATAAATTAATCATCTAATTAACTCATAGGACTGCATATTTTTAGGGCCCATGCTTAATTCTCTGGGAACAATAAAGTGATCGTCTCCAACAATCGCAGCAAAATCATGAGAATCTTCCATGGTCGCAGACACATCAAAATTATGAACATCTTTTGTGATCACCAAGACATCATGATCCTCTCTCTCCTACCATCATGATGAAATCTATCTGCTGTGATTGCTGCAAAATTCAATGTCTTTTGCGGACACAGAGACGACAGCAATACCAGAGAAATAACGATAGTCACCCACCATCTCAGGAAACCCCTAACCATCTCCCGCAATCGCTGTGAAATGGTTATACTACTGTAATTTCCTGATTTCCACCTTTGTCCAAAAATAAGGTTGTGAATGACTTTTGTCCTGTCCTATCCCAGGTTTTGGGATTCCTGCAGACCTTTAATACGAATAATGATACTTCAAAAGTGAAAGAGATAGCCTACTTTAAATGATACTTTAAAGAGACAGTGCTTCTGCTGGATAGAATATAATTAGAATTTGAATATTTCCTTGCACCCACTCGCCTTAAGCGCATTGGCCGTTGGCTCTCAAACAGACATAACGCGACAGCAGCGAATGTGTTACTCTCTGACTGTCCTGAGGTTTTCCCCTACACAATCAAACAACGTCCCAAGTTCCTAGCAGTAGCCACTCACGTTGCTGTTGTAAGCTGAAGTGCAGTCCGCCAGGAGGTCTGAGGCTACGAAGGTCCAGTGCACGCCGAGCCATCGCAGGGATTGTCTCTCCCAAGATGTGAGCCTTCTCCGTCTCACTCACCTCTGCCAGGAATGTCTCCAGCATCGTAAACACTGTCAGGTCCGGACTGTCTCTCTCATCTGGGTCCAGGCCAACACTATCACATATTGGTTTGTTAAAATTTACAATAACCCTCATAGACGCAGTATAGTACATTCAGTCATGATTATACAATATTGTAGTGTTCTTAGTTTAAATGATATTTAAAGGCTTGAGACTCAGCATATTTGAATATAGCCAGAGTGAAAAAGTTTAATACAGTGTCTTTCCATAAAATAATTTAAATAACAAAAATAACCATACCTAGTAAAATAATAATAAAAATATTAGTTTTTAACTCAAAAATATATCAAAGCTTGAATATTGATAAGTTTCAAACAAATAAATAGAAACAAACTAAACAGAAATAAAAAATGCGGCATTCCACAAAAATCTTTTATCATTTGAGAAGTAATTGGTCTAAGAAAATCACAGATAAAATCAACAATATTTGGTTTCAAACGCATAATTGATTATTAGGGACAATTATAGCGTAAGATTAACGTTCCTCACTTGCAGAGGTTGTGGATGCTCTGCAGTGCTGACACGTGGTCACAGTCGTCCGTCGTGAGGTGTTTGAGATGGCGCTGTAGCATCGGCCACCACGGCAGGTCGCACGGCAACATTACCAGAGCCATCTTCCCCCTCCCCCACTGCCGTCACTGCACTGTAACAACACACCAACATTACTCCTTGGGCCAAAGAATACTTCTAAGGGCAGCAGAGAAATCTGTCCTATTAACACCCATGTCGAAAACACTAAATGGCTAAGAAGACCAGTCTACAATAAAAATATTTGAATAGGCACTAAAACAGCCTGGGTTGTGTCAATAGTGTTTTGACAAAAACTCGTTATTTGTCTGAGTAGCCAAACAGCTACCGTGCTCACCTTCAAATCTGAAGGTTGGTAGTTCTATCCCAAGCAGGTTTTCTTTTAGACTCAGTCATTGAGCTACCCACCATGTCATTTTGCTGTCGACTCATGAAACCATTGTTATTTTCCAACTTAGTTTGTTAATGGTGCAATATGACGAAAAATATAGTTCATCACAAGGACAAAAAGTGTCTTTTTAACCCTCGCTCATTTCTGTTAAACTTGAGCTCGGGTTGATAAGAGTCACTTTAAGCCCTTTAGTGATGAAAGGAAACTCCTTCCCCAACTAAATCTTATTTATGTTTCTAAACACTTGTACAAATTATTTTAAAATTTGCTTAAAAAATACAAAATCCATTTGAATTTGAATGCACTCTTAAGTTTTGTGAGGTAAAGGTAGGTACCTACTATTATTTTTAAGAACATAAAACATTTAGTAGACATTGGTGCTGTCATAAAAATTGCAGGGGTAGCGGATTTTTATCCCCCTGGGCAAAACTGACGTCACAAACCAGGGGGTAAAGTTCCGGCCGCAAACTTTTGAGTTGCACAACATCCGTTCGATGGATTAAAGGTGGAACTAAACGTATATTTTCATGGTTGTGAATTTAATCATCAAAATATAAAAACGTAGAGCGTACGGGCCAGAATTTTACCCGCGGACTTTTTTTACCCTCTTCATGAGGTCAGCTCAAAATGTACGGCCCGGATTTTCCGCCCTCAAACAAACTTTAGAGCGCTCAGGTTACTACGTCATAGTGACGTCAGCTTTGCCCAGGTGGATAAAATTCCGGCGACCCAAATTGCAGTGCTGGAACTCTTACAATTGTCTAGGAACTATTAAAATATAGGAGTGGGAACGCTCCACGCACACGTTATCACAATTTGGGCCAACTAAATTTCCTCATATACACAAATATATTCTTGATTTATCAACTTCTTTACTTAAAATAACTGTCTTTTACAAACGAAGTGTATCTAAAATGGTTCTAAAATCAACATGGTTCTAAGTGGTTCTAAAATGTTCTACAAAACGGCATTAAAACTACAATTTAAGTCTATTTACAGTGTGAATCTAATCCTCAGAAACTATGCCAGTATAATCTCAAGCTGGGGCTGCTGGCCAAATATTTCAAGGTGTACGAATGAGTACCAAGCAAAAAAACACAATCAAGGTGGATTCAGATGCTATTAAAGTTTGTAATACACTTTTTATAAGAGGCAACTGAAGTACCTACTAAAGCTAACTCTTGCACCACAGTAATATGTTGAATTTTGTTGATTTTATTGAATAACAAAAGAAGTATGAGCCAATTTTAGTACCATCAAGATTTCATTGTAAAACAACTGCTAAACAATATTGAAAAATGTATTTCAATATTATATTTTTACTCTTATAATCCACCCTATTGAAAATTATTAACAAAAAAGTTTATTGCTTGATTAGGACATGGTATAAACCACAATGTCGCAACTAGCCTAGACTAAGTGAACATCTTGTTTTTATATGAGTGTTTTGTTTTTTTAAAGTTTAATAAAAGGAAATTTTGTTACTGTATAAATATGTGGTGACCTAACTCAACAAACAACTCTTTTTCCATCCATTTGTCTAAATAGTACGATATAGGCTGATGATATCAAGTTTTAGTTTAACCCTTGTCTGCTTAGGTTTTAAGCCTTGTCAAGGCAAAGGTTTGTTCAACTATCCATTTTATATGTTCTGAACATACAGCATTAAATTGTTTCTTTTTTTCAAATAGGTAAGGCCAAACTTGTGGTTTATTATGTTTTTATCCAAATTTAATTCACCCAGAGAGAAAATCTCAATTAAGTTTCCCGAATATAACCATAACACTGAATTATAAACAAACTTGTATAATATCATAGATTTACATATGATGAAACAACTTAAGGTGAAACCTCAAATACTTCAAGATGGTTTACATTTTCTCTAATGATATCAAACACTTCAAGTCCAACAGAATCCCATAAACATCCCGTTGACACACTAATGATTCATCCATAAAGAATTACAACAGAGTCATCAGACTAAAACAATGATTAGTTCAGGCAACAATTTATCCTACAATGACTAAACCATAGACAATTGCCGTGGATAAATCATAATAATTACAGCGAGGAATGCATGTTGAACTGAGAATGTTGGCAATAAGTACAGAAGACACGGAAGCGTTCCTTGATGAAGTGATGACAAACAGAGCACGACTCATCTCTGGAAACGGGAAACACAAATCTAAATTTAACATATTAAAAATGTGAGTTTACAGAGGAGTTATTTCCGGACTCATAATCACTGGCAGTTTTGTCAGGATGGTACAAAATATGTCACTGATCTCAGCTAGATATAAGCAGAAAACATGTATTTAACACCTAATCAAGCAGACTGTACTTGCTTTCAAAATGTGTTCAACAATGGAGTACAACAGAAGCAAGCCTTTCACTTAACTGTGCCAACTTGCTGCAGATGAATTGTTCATTAATTTCAATTGAGCCTAATGGATGTTTCATTAGGATAGAACACCAAACCACCAAACTGTTGATTTGAAAAGCCTATTTTTAATACATTTTGAATCAATTTTTTAGGAAATAATAAGCTGGAAAAGCTGGAAAAATCATTGTTACACAGCAAAAACGTTTTAATTAATTTGTTGAAAACCGTTTACACTTTTATCTCTGTGAAATAAAACAGAAAATTTTCAAATCAATTAGGTACTTTGATTTAGTCTCTGTAGGCTTTGGTGTAACACTATAAAAAATGTTGGTCACTATGAAATGTTCAACTTTAAACTCTTGTATAATACTAACCACTTTCTGCCTAACCAACTTGGAAGAAATCAATCAAACACACTAACTATAAATTGTTAACAATATTTTTTAAAAATCGGCAAATTGATAGCATTTAAAACTATTTTAGCATATGTTTTATAATTTAACTTCTCAAAGGTTTCACACATATTAACACCATAAAAATCATCAACGAACCTTTAACCTTTTTCAACTGAAAAGTACAAATCTTCACCACTATAATAAATAACACTTACATCTAACACCGATGATCGGATATCGCAATCAACATGCCATACACAGCAACACACTCAACATAGCACGACCTTGGAATAAAAAACCGGGATTGATAGCAGCACAGATCGGAACACATGACAACAATAGGATCTCGGACATGGAGTCGCCGTGAGCGGCCGACGTTATGAAAATAGTCTGTCTGGCACAAGCACAGGCCATCAGGCCACACTGACCCACACGGTACCAGCATTATATCCACCTACGGCACCCAACTGCTACGCTATCCAGACTCTATCACTGTTTTTACTTGGCACCCAGCCATTCACCATTATTGGCTTTCTAAAAATGGTTCTACATATGTCTATTTATACATTGGACTGACCGATACCGACACTGTGGAATTGTGGAAATAAACAACTCTAGGGAAAATTCATACTGGAAGTGGGTGACATCTCCCTTATCATTATTGAGTATAAATCATTAAATGGTAATTAACTAAGCTTTACAATTAGGGTTGGTCTAGATTGATTTGTATGAAACTGATCATGTAGGCCTACACCAATTTAATATGTAAAGGAAATAGTATGTTAGGTACGTTACTAAAGTCTGGAAAATAGGTGTTTACAGGATGAGTATGGTTATTCCCGGGATTACCATAGGAGTACGGTAAACACATATTGGACGAGTGATTTACAACATGTTTCGCTATACTACTCTGAAATAACCTAACAATATAAATAAACGGTATCATAAATCTGACACATACTTTCTCTCATTAGCTTGTCAACAACCTTTATCATGGGAAAGCGGTGGGAGTAACTATGATATTTTATAGGGAAAATCACAAAAGTTGCAATTACTCTTGAACCGTAATTGTTACAGCAATCCGGTAGCACTATTTTGTTTAGAATTATAAGGACCATAACACATTAATTTTAATCAAAACCGGCTTTTTTATTGAAATCAGATTTTTTTTTTATGGGAAAATAACATAAGTTACAATAACTTTTGAACCCTAATTTTTACGGAAATGGGGTTTCTACCATTTTGTTCAGAATTTAAAAGACTATGACATAATGGATTTTAATCAAATCGTTCGGTCCGTTTTTGAGAAAATCCGATTTTTCTGTTACTTTATGGGAAAAACACCATTAAATATCAAAATTTTAAAAAATAATATAACTCCTGGAGATATTATGGATTAGAATCTACATACCAAATTACATCAAAATCGGGCTACAGGTATGGTATGTAGCTCTGTACACATCCACACTTACAGAGAACAGACACAGACACACACACAGACATTACTTCGAAAACCACTTTTTTTGGTCCAGGGGGACCCAAAACGGATATATCCACTCAAAACTCAAACTCGAAAAATTTTGATAAAAACAATACTTTCTTCAAGCAGTTGTTTTCCGAAATAATATCATTCATGGAAAGTCTATCAAAACAGTATAGTGTAGCAAAAAGGTATTTTATTATTCTTTGTAACTATACCTGTAGGCACAGAAAAGGAATATAATATTTAGACAAAATCTGAACCGTTTTCAACTGGTTTTTTCACTATGGTGGGGTTAGATAAATATTTTCAAGGATTTTTATCCTTAAACTTAAAAAATTAAAACTCTTGCTGTGTTTCAGTGTAAGACTATTAGTCATAAAATATGATTATAGTTGTAAATTAAATTACCTAAATCAAATCTATATATTTAAAAGACCAACATGAATTTTGTGATAATTGTTTTTAATCTGCTACACATCCGACCAGCAAGTTTAAGGTGTCCTTGAATAGGTCGTTGCATGTAGATTTGTCATCAAACAAAAAATGTTTGAAAATCCATCAGAGCTCTGCCCCAGTGGCCTTCAAAGTTCCCATGTTATTGTTAGGGAGAAAATGTTTGTTTACATTTGAACAGACGAATACTTTTAATTTACACTAATATTTTAAACAGCTGGTTATACTAATTGAAAATAATGGAAAGAAAAGGTATCTATATATTTAATACGCTAGGCATATTTTTGTCATAATTGTTTTGGAGTGGTGGTGCTACCGATCACCATGTCCAAAGTGTCGTTAGAAAGGTCTTAGCATGTAGTTTTGCCATCAAACATTAAAATTTTGGAATTCCATCAGGGCTCTGCCCCAGTGGCCTTCAAAGTTCCCATGCTATTCTTAGGGAGAAGTTCTATAAGGATTTTGATGTTTCACTGTTTTTTTTTGTTTTGTTTTTTTTTGTTTTAACATGTGCATAAGCCAAATACATACAGGGTGAGTTTTAAATAAGTTCCCCCCCCCTACTTTTTTCTACATTTCTTAAGATATCAACTCCGGACCACGTCAGATCATTGTAGAAAAGTAAGTACTTCATTTTGACTGGGTATAAATTTTTGGCTGCCATCTTGGATCCGCCATATTGGATACAAAGTTTTTTTTTTCAAATGTAAAGGTAGGGTTGTGACCCATCGTTTTAAACTAGATTTTTATGCTGAATACGATGCTGCAATTCAATTTTCATTCTAAAGTTATGAGAACTTTATATAAAATTATTTTTAGTCCATTTTAACATTGTGCATTTAGAAACTAAGAACATAATCACAAAATAGTGCTAGATAAAGATTTATGTATATTATGTGGTGTATACTAATCGTTATTATGGACAACCTAATGTGGCTATGAGTAAGGCTATTCGTAGAAAACACTATTTAACCTACAAGAAATGTTGATTATATCGATCTGTTATGTACATCTTGAGTATTTCCATTATCTTTTAGTTGAATCTTTTAAAGTCATAAGAAATTATGACCGTTATTCAATAACGCCTGTAATACTTAGCAATTGCTTGAATTCGAGCAACAGGTACACTAGTAAGGATTTATTAGATTTGTTGAAAAGATACTCTGTTTTTGTGAAACATTTTTACAGAAACATGGCTCTTATCATTACAAAGCTAGGTATATGCCAACAAACACCTTGTGACCCACCATTTCAAGAGTGACCCAAATTACAAGTAATGTAGGTCACGTGACTGACATTGCACAGTGACTCAAACGCATAATTGGAGAACTTCTATGAGAAATGAGAATAGGTCAAGTAAAGAAAGTAAACAGAAATAATTTTCTGGTCCATAATTTTTCTAACCCAATTTTTCCATAATTTCCCATGGATTTTCATAATTTACTGGAAATAATTTTGGGTTACCGGTACCAAAAAAATAATTCTTGACATTGAAAACTCATAAGAGAAGTAATTTGGGTCACACATCAGATCCTCAGATTTTGTGACCCAAATTACAGTGACCAACATTAGCCTTTTCACTCTCGTCATTTACTAAAATGGAACATAGAGGCCATGGTTCCCTTTGCTGGCCATAAGTTTGGTTAAGTATGCGTTTGACTTATATTTTCTTAGTTTTAAATAAGTTATTTGCCTTATTGTAACAGTTATTATCAGTAGGCCTACCGACCATTACACAAAAACTTAACGCTTAGGCCTACAAAACAGATTTTAAATAAAGACTTTCCGAATAAACTGGAAAGCCTGGCATAACATCACGCCTAACCTACTTCACCCACAGTCAACAACGAACTGAGAGAGGCCGAAATATCGATCCGCCCGTAGTCGATAGGATTAAAGACCTGACCAGAACTGGTTCCGACCCTCAAATCCAGCATTACATTCACAGCCAGGGACGCGACTTTTAACAATTGTTATTGCCAGTATAATTTCAAAAAGCCTGTTTGGTAATTTTTGTCAATATTTTAACATTAAAAATTAATTCAAACCAAATATTTAAAATTTATTGCCTTAATATTTCTGAAAATATAAGCTTATGTATCCAACTTCTAACCTAGGTGACAGGGTTTTCACTAAATTGTTTACCCATTTTGGAACTTTTCAAACACACTTTTCTTTACTACATAGGTAGTATTAAAATCGAGAAACATAAACATTTTTATTCAAAGGAAGGTATAATAAATTATTTTAAAACTATTTGGAGCAGGAATAGATAGCGGAAGAGGTATAAATAGCTGGGGACAGCAATTGTACTGTTTTCAAGTTTTTACCCACAGGGATCTCTCCTGACAAACAGACAAACGCTTGAGCTTTTCAGGGACTTAAGTTATGTCCCTACAAGCCACTAGTTCCTTTTAAAAATGAATACTTATAAGATTAACATGGGCAACTCTACAGCCACTGGGGCGGAGCCCAAAAGGATTTTTGAAATAATAATGTGTCGATATGTTAATCTGGAATGTGAGCTATCATCATACCAAATTTCAATCAAATCCGACCAGTAGTTATTGCGTGATTGAACTTCAAACAAACAAACAAACTTTCACATTTATAATATTAGTTAGATTATTTTCAGGGTGTCCACAAAAAATTTGTCATTAATTTCCAGTTCATTAATTTGCAGAAAATACTAAAATATGTAATAACAGATAACAATGGAGTACAATAGGTACAACAATAAACTAAAACAAACCGAAAACTCATAAAATAATACAACTGTAATAAATTAAATTGTCGAACATTTGTGAAAAATCCTGAAAAATGCTACAACAGTCCGGGTTACAGCTGACTAGAGCATTGAATGGTCCCCTCAAATCCATCCATAATTGGAAATTTCCATGACTTTCCATGACTTCTTGCCTATTTCCCTGACTTTCCATGACCAAAATTTTTTTCCATGACTTTCCATGACTATCCCTGACTTTCCAGAATGTGGACACCCTGATTTTCTACTTTTTAGTCTTTAATGTGGTTAAATCTATTTTATATGGCCTGTTAATACATAACCAAAACCTTAATTATCTGTAATCAGATGTTTTATCTTTACTTTGAAATGCTTGTTTTATATTTATAATATCTCTGGAGTAGAACCTGTACCGGTACCTCTTAACCTCTGCTCTTCGAACTGTCAAATTTAAGTAGGTAGGTACCGTATTTACAGCTGCCTTAAGTTAATTGATATAGGCTAGGTACAGTAGACCCCCTCTTAACCGACCTCGTATTAACCGATAATCGGATTATCCGCCTTTGATCGTAAAATAATACAGTTTGTTTTAACCGACCTTGCTTTGAGAGCAGCTCGGTTTAACCGCCGCTTTCTAGGAATCTCGGCATTTCCGCTCCCACGCTGGGCAATGAGAACTGAACCATACGCTTATCTCCACAGGATATGACTAACAATAAGTTATTTTGTGATGATCACAAAAAATATAGCATTACCTATTGTCAGTTTGTCATCATCGTTCGTAGCTCGAGCACATCTGATCTGATTTGTTATCTGTGCGGCAAATTTATAACATCATAAAGTGCGTTACGATTTTGAGAACTGATTATCTTATCGCTGGAGTAAAC